GGCCGAAATTAGGCCATGCCCACTTCTAAAGTGGCCACACCCCCACGGATACCTGGTGTGTGTCCCCAGAGTAAAGACTGGATGGGGAGAAGAGACCAGCTCGACTTGGGCGGCGGAAAGGGAGAGGCAGAGAGGCTCAGATCTGCTTTGTCTCCCGGCATCTGGGGGACGTCTGGGGGCTTGCACGGTGGAATCCACGTCCCGGGTTTGAGAGGTGGCAGGAAAACTGACCTGGGTGGGTGGGAAGAAGAGGCCAGCTCGGCTTGGGCGGTGTAAAGGGAGAGACAGAGAGGCTAAGATCTGCTTTGTCTCCCGCGTCTGGGGGACACCTCGGGGCTTGCACGGTGGAATCCATGTTAATGTGCTTTTTGGTTTTTTTTTTTTATTTTTTTTTTATTTTTGCTTTTTGGGTCACACCTGGCGATTCACAGGGATTACTCCTGGCTCTGCACTCAGGAATTACCCCTGGCGGTGTTCAGAGGACCTTATGGAATGCTGGGAATCAAACCCGGGTCGACCGCGTGCAAGGCAAATGCCCTACCTGCTGTGCTATCCCTTCAGCCCCTGTTTGGTTTTTTTTTTTAGTTGGAGTTGGAGAAGAGTTCTAGCCCAGCAGTGCTGGAGGACCTAGATGCCAGGGATCTATATAGGGTCAGCAAATGCCATAATCCCTATACTGTCTCTCTGACCTTACATAGGGTTTTTTTGGTTTTGGTGTTTGGGCCTGCAGGAGACTGCACTGTTCTCTTCCGGGAGCTGGTTTTTATAGTCTCTGCGTCTTGGCCGCTGATGGGATTACACGGCGCCAGGGGGCCAGTTGGTGGGTGTGACCCCCGCCTACTGGAGTTTGGAGGATCTGGGTGGAGGATACTCGACCCCAATCCGAGTAGGCTTGGAGATCTCGGCCCCGGAACCCACGTGACTTTGTCCCTCTGCCAGTACCTTCATGTGTGCGGAGAGTGGTCTCAGCATGGTGGTGGCTGGTCCTGGAGGTCTTCGGCTGCCAGAGCCCTGGTCGGGGCGGGGAGGAAAGCTCAACCCGCTCCCCTCCAAGGGACCCCGGCGAGGAACAGCCAGGCGCAGGGGCAGGAGACTGCACTGTTCTCGTCCGGGAGCTGGATTTTATAGTCTCTGAGTCTTGGCCGTTGATGGGATTACACCTTATTATGACATCTTATTATCTCACTCCTACTTTGAACAAACTGGCAGGCTACCGAATGTAGCCTGCCCACACGGCAGAGTCTGGCAAACTCCCCGTGGCGTACCCAATATGCCAAACACCAGTAACAATGATGGATCTCATTCTCTTAAAGGGCCTTGAATATAATCTCAGGTCTAGGATGAAAGAGACGTTACTGGGGCCTGCTCGAGGCAATCGACGTATAACAGGATGATTTGTGATTTGTGATTTGTGGTGTTTGGGCCACAACAGCAATGCTCAGGTACCACACTTGGCTCTGTATTCAGGCCACATGTGGGTTGCCTGGGAGACCATATCTGGTGCCAGGATTCAACCTAGCAAGCTACGTAAGGGTGTTAACCCTTGTACCTTCTCTCTGGCCCTCTCATTTTTATGCTCTCAACAGTTTTGGAGGTTAGCTTTTCAAAAAACATAGTTCATCTTTTCACTTAAGATCTATTTTTTGTGGTATCTTTTCTTTTAAAAGGCATTGAAAACTAAGTATTTCAGTAATCGGCCAGGGCCAACACCTGGATGTCAGTTGCCAAGACCAAACTGTCCAGTGGAAACTTTAAAGGAGCAGTCAAACCCAGCTGTGGCAACAAAGCGGAAACGAACAGAGACCTTGGAACAAGGTAAAAAAACAAAACAAAACAAAAACCCTTGAAGTGAGTTCAGAAAACGAAATAGCTAATTTATATCTAGTGACTGAAGGACATCTAAAAAATGTAGTTGTGAGCTATTCCCAGCACTACTTTATGAACGTAAATTACAAAGAGTGTAGGGGCTGGAGCGATAGCACAGCGAGTAGGGCATTTGCCTTCCACGCTCCCGACCTGGGTTCGGTTCCCAGCATCCCATATGGTCCCCTGAGCTCTGAGTGCAGAGCCAGGAGTAACCCCTGTGAGTCGCTGGGTGTGACCCAAAAAGCAAAAAAAAAAAAAAAAAAAAAAGAGTGGATAGAGTAGTATTTTAGCTAAATTTGCTTCCATTAAGAATTCTACTACCGGAGTGATAGTACAATGAGTGGAGTGTTTGCCTTGTGCACAGTTGACCCAAGTTTGGATCCAGGCTTGATCCCTGGCATCTAAGACGCTCTCCCAGCTCTGCCAAGAATGATTCCTGAGTGCAGCGCCAGGAGTACCCCTGAGCACTGCACAGGCACAAAAGCAAAAACAGGAAAAGAATACTTAGGTCATAGAAATGGGCACTTAGAAGTATATCTGAGTTTTGAGAATTGTGTAACTACATTATAAATTCCAGCTATTATAGAGTGTGGTTAATATTTAACAAGTGCTACTAAAAAATAATTGGTTGGAATGCAGTGGTAGCTGGTTAAAATTTTCATAAGATTACCTATGAACAACTTCATTCTTTTCCCCCTCTAGGAGTATTACCCAAGAAGCTAATTTTTTAGTTACAGAGAACACTGGACAGTATTTTACTACTGAAGAAAAAGAAGTCCAAAAGGCAAATGATGGAAAAATAGTAAACAGTAAATGCTGTAGAAGGAATCTGTAAATATTCTACACATGTAAAATATGTAAAACTGGGTTATTTTTATTAAATGTATTTTAAAACAATTCTCTTTCTTTAAATTGAAGTTCAAAAGTTCCCAGAAGCAGGGCTGGAGAGATAGCACAGCAGGTAGGGCGTTTGCCTTGCACGCGGCCGACCCGGGTTCAATTCCCAGCATCCCATATGGTCCCCCGAGCACCGCCAGGAGTAACTCCTGAGTGCAGAGCCAGGAGCAACCCCTGTGCATCGCCAGGTGTGACCCCCCAAAAAAAGTTCCCAGAAGTATAGAATTATAAATGCATTTTATTAATACAGTAATAAAAATCACTACTAGTTGCTTTGATGATATGGTCCGTACGTCATCACAGGTTTACAGTAGTGTGCAAGGCGAGCAAGCACCCTGCCTGCCGTACCATCTCTCCAGCTCCTAGAATCCCTTTTTGTGGACTGTTGATTCACTTCCTTTTTTCCCCCACTATACCGTGACGTATTCGATATGCCAAAAACAGAAACAACAAGTCTCATCATGGAGACGTTACTGGTGCCCGCTCAAGCAAGTCAACGAACAGCAGGAGGACAGTGCTACAGTGCTACTATACGCAGTGGTGCTCAGGGGCTACAGCAGTCCTCAGAGGACTGTTTGGATTGAGAACCAGACCTGAACCTCCTGCTTGCAGACCATGAGCTCCAGCTCTTTTAGTTACCTCTCTGGCCTCGATTCACTTCTGTGTGCTTGTACGGGAGTGGGGGCCCTAAGGCTCACTCTTAGCGGTGCTTGGGGACCTAATGCACAGTTTAATTCTGGTTCTACGCTCAGGGATCACCCCCGGCTGGCTGGGGGTCATATGGGGTGTATGGGGTCAAACCTAGGTCAGCCACATGACAGCAAATATCCTGGTAAGTGAGCTGTCTTTCCTGCCCGTGTCTGGTCTTTCCTAGTTTACTGTCCTGCTGATAAAACATTTCCTTAAACAGTATAGCTCAGTGGACTGTAACACATGCTTTCAGACAGGGACCCTGATTTTGCTACCTAGTACCACATGGTCCCCCAAGCACTGAGTAGGGAGTAGCCCTGGTATGACCCAAAAACCAAGAGAAAACAAAAGTGTTCATTACAACTTCTGACAAGTTTTCTTCAGCATAATTGTGAAGCTATTAATATAACAATATTCCTTTAAAATATTAAAGATTATTACGGGGCTGGAGCAATAGCACGGCTGGTAGAGCGTTTACCTTGCAAGCAGCCAACCCGGGTTCGATTCCCAGCATCCCATATGGTCCCCTGAGCACCGCCAGGAGTATCTGCGCTCACCATTCCTGAGCGTAGAGCCAGGAGTAACCCCTGTGCATCGCCGGGTATGACCCAAAAAGCAAAATAAAAAAAAAATTACAAGGTAACATAGAAAAAAAAATTTTTAAGGCCAGAAATTTAGCATCAAAACCAAAGAATTAGTTCAGAATGATCTGAGTGCCAGAATTCTCTACACTTCCAACAAGAAAGGCCATAAAAGTAACAGTAACATTGAAGATACTATAGTGGAAATCCTGCAACATCTTTTTTAAAAAAGGAAACTATCTGTTAAAAATCTTATGTCACAACAATAAATCCTGAAAAACACAAGATAAAATATTTTAAAAGTTAAGTCACTCCTAAGCAGTATTTCTTTAGAGCATTTTCTGTTTTTCTCAAAAATCATTTTGTTTTTAAGATACTAGCAATATAGATCACTTCATAAAATATAAGTAGTATAATTTTTTTTAAATTGACGGGTTGGAGCAATAGTCCAGCAGTTAGAGGACCAGGAGTGATCCCTGAGTACTGCCAGTTGTGACCCAAAACAAAAAACACAAACCCAAAAAACATCAAGAGACTACTAATAAGTTTACTGTGGAAAACTTGAGTATTACGGTTGGAGTGATAGCACAGTGGTTAGGGCATCTGCCTTGCGGCCGACCCGGGTTCAATTCCCAGCATACCATATGGTCCCCCGAATACTGCCAGGCGTAGTTCCTGAGTGCATGAGCTAGAAATAACTCGTGCATCGCAGGGTGTGACCCAAAAAGCCAAAAAAAAAAAAAAGTCTCAAAATTCAGAAATAACGGGGAGCCCGAGTGATAGTACAGCAGGAATGGGGTTTGACTTACACCTGGCCTACTGGGTTCCATCCCCAGCATCACATATGGTCCCCCAAGCCTAACAGGAGTGATCCTTGAATGTTGAGCCAGGAGTAAGCACTGAGCACCACCAAGTATGGCCCAAGACCAAACCAAAAAAAAAAAAAAAAAAGCAATAACTGGAAAACACAACTTCTGAAGATACAGTAAAATTTAGAGTTACTCAGTCTCCTGATATAAACAGTTCAGTTCTTATTTCAACTGGCTTGTATTCAGAATATTATACTTGATGGCAAAGAACAGGATCTTTTAAGAGTTCTTGGACAGTTTTGATCTGTGTGGAGGTGATGGATTGAGCAAATACAGGCAGTAGAATTAAAAATTTGAATGCTTGAATGTATAGTATCAGACAAAATGCAGAAGTCTTGAGTTTCGTGCCAGGGGGGTTTGAATGGAAAATTCTCTCTCCTAGGATTTTTTTCATTTTCTTTTGAGGCGGAGCTTTTGTCTTCTAATGCCCGAGCAAGCATATAACTAACTTTTCTTTGATGAGCCAGTGCTTCTTCTTTATCATTCAACTGCATGCACAGAAATTTAAAATGTGGAGTTGAGGAGGGTGGAGATCAAACGTACCAGTGAGACAACAATGACATGATATAAAGTTATATTCATAGAAATAAGTTATTACAGCATTTCATCACAGTGTCTCATCTTGAATCAGTAAATATGAATGAGTTAATCCATAATTTCTAAGCATTCTAACATATTACTGAGGATTTTTAAGGAAGAACACGAAATAGCATTCCTTGTATTGAAAACGTTTTGAATCATCTAAAGAAAAAGAAGACATCTGAAGAGAAAGAAACTCTGGTAGAGAATATGTTATAAAACCCATATATACTCAGAATTTCTAAGATTGTTAAAGTTATTTACATATATACAATTGTATATTCATAGCTTCAACCCTCTTCTATAGATATGTATGTTCGTACGAGTGTCGGTTTAGTGAAATATGGACTTGGGCTAACAGGACCGAGTGCAGGGCTGTGGTGGTGATTAAAGGATAGCATTTGTGAGGAAGCACCTTGAGTACTTAAAAGTATTCTGAAGGGGCTGGAGCGATAGCACAGTGGGTAAGGAGTTTTCCTTGCACGCAGCTGACCCAGCTTAAATTCCCAGCATCCCATATGGTCCCCAAGCATCACCAGGAGTCATTACTGAGTGCAGAGCCAGGAGCAACCCCTGAGCATCGCTGGGTGTGACCCAAAAAGGGGGAAAAAAAAAAAACAACCAAAACATAGGAACAGAGGTGACAGAATGTCTGACTTTAATAATGACATGTGCCTCTTTTCAGAGGTGGAGTTTCATTTATTTTGGGTTTTTTTAGGGGAGTCATACACAGTATGCTCAGGACTTACTCCTGGTGTGCTTTGGTGCTGGAAATCAAATCAGGGTCAGAGCATGCAAGTACACCTTAACCCCTGTACTATGTCTCTAGTCCCTAGAAGTGGGTCTTTAAATGTGTAGAGGAAGAATATGGCTAAGAAATGTTGGAAGGACATGCGGGGAGATGTAAGCGAAGATCCTAATTCTGCAGAAAGTATTCCCGTAAGAAGGAAAAGGACATAAAGGCAAGCACAGAATGATAGGAGGTTAAAAAAAAATCTTCAACACAAGCTCTAACAAAAAGAAAACAGAGATACTAACCAAATCAACTAGCATCTTAAGGACTTCTTGAGGACTATCCTGGTCCTCAGTTCTCTTAGAAATGTTGTCTGTAGGGAGCATACTCAGTAATTTCTGTCTGAAGGTTTTCTTGTTCCTTGACGGTAATCCTAAAACTGAACATGGAAATCAGCTGAGGCATCAGAATACATTCATTTACAGCTGGATAGGTGTCTCGGGGGGCTGGAGTGCATCCTTTGCATGCAGGAGGCTTAAAACATTCAGTACAATCGCAGCACCATGTGGTCCCTTGGCCACAGCCAGGAGTGACTCCTGAACACTACTGGATACGGCTCAGATACCAATAAATAGATAAATGGATGAACAAAATTACAAAACATAGATGACATTAAAAAATAAAAATGAGCACTTAAATACTCCAGGAAGAGGTGAGTATGAAGGACTGGGCCAGTGTCATCCCTGAATCATTGAGGAGGTGCCTGGAACAGTGAGTCACCAGCATGGGGAGTGGGGTGGGGAGATAGAACACACTTTAGATCCAGGAGGGTGCAGCAGGGGGGAGGGCCCAAACCCCAGACTTGTATGTTCTTGGGGTTAAAGTTTGCCTTGCACCCGGCAGACCTTGGTTCAGTCCATGGTCCCCTGAGCACAGCTGGGTAGTCCTAAAACAAGTTCCTTAGTATTTTTGAGAACTTGTCGAAACTACAATATCAAGTCAAAAAAAGTTGAAGTGTGTTGTAACCACACATAGCAAGAATATGAGGTCTACCAGTCATTCACACCTTTCCAGATTATTGTAATACAATAATAAAATGGATCAAACTCATTGATAAGTTTCTGAAATTCGTGTGGACCTGTAACAGCTTTTCAGAAATCAGTTATATTTTTATATTTTTTGTTTTGGCGCTCTACCTGGCAATGCTGTATAACTAGGGGTTACTTCTGGTTGTGTGCTCAGAAATTACTCCTAGTAGTCCTCAGGGGACTATATGAAGTGTCAGGGATGGAGCGCAGGTTCGTCAGGTACAAGGAAAGCGCCCTACCACTGTATTATCGCTCCAGCCCAAGAATCAGTTATTTTAAATTCTGTGTCTGGTCTCTCTCAGAATCTCCTAATGGATCACAAAAATTGGGGCTGTACCTCTCAGCAGTATATTTTCTTTGTAAATGGTCCAGAAATTTGCAAGTAGCTTAGAGAAGCAGGAATATAGATTATATTCCAGAATATAAAAGTCTGGAATATAAAATTGAGCACACTGAAGTACTAACATGAATTGAATCAGCACAGAAAAGCTTCGTCTACAAAGGACTGTTTTCTGTTATTCAGTGACTTGACAACTCCCATCCACCCACCCACGGGTGTGTGTGTCTCTAGGTCACTGGGGGCAGGGGGAAGGATGGGTCTTGAGCTACGGGGCTACAGACCACAGTGAGGATTGAAGGTGGTCTCACATTTCCAAAGCAGGTGTTCTAGTGAACTCTCCCAGGGGGTTTCTGCCCTTACTACCAGACTCCTGCAGACAAGACCAGATTTGCAAGGCGAGAGAAGGGCACAGAATAGCAAGACCCCCTTGGAGAGTTTGCCTTTGGAAGGCGAGCCGCAGGGCACACCCAGCTTCAAGAGGAGGAAAGAGATCAGGAATGACCCGAGGGACACACAGCACATTAACTGCCCGGACAAGGGCATGTTTCCCACCAGTTCCAAAAAGGCTACAGCTGTGTGGCAGACGTGTACTGTTGGCTGCCCTTTGGGCTAGCTCCCCACCCCTGCTACACTTTCATCATCCCTGTTAAGTCTCTTCTTGTCATTTCAGTACAGAGATGGGTGAAGTTAAGGTAAAACTGACAGCACTGGACATAATACTGTTTACTTAGATATGTCCTATTTCAATTTCTTTTTACATTTTTTTCCTAATTTTGTGCCACTCCTGTGATGCTTGTGTTACTCCTAGTTATGCACTCAAAAATCACTCCTGGTGGTGCTTAGGGAACTATATGGGATGCTGGGGATTGACCCAGATCAGCCACATGCAAGGCAAGTGCCTTACTCTCTGTGCTAACTCTCCAGCCCCAATTAAAAAATATTTAAAATGAAGTTAATACTTGTAAAATGTGGGGGCTGGAGCGATAGCACAGCGGGTAGGGCGTTTGCCTTGCATGCGGCCAACCTGGGTTCAATTCCCAGCCTCCCATATGGACCCTGAGTACCGCCAGGAGTAATTCATGAGTGCATGAGCCAGGAATAACCCCTGAGCATCGCTGGGTGTAACCCAAAAAGCAACAACAACAACAAAAAAATCTTGTAAAATGCTTATTGGCACTGTAGTTCAACTAAAAAAATGTGAGATCAGAATTAGGGTTATAGATTTTGACAATATTAGAAAATATTGGGTAGTCAGGGAGAGAGCTCCAAGGGCTAGGCAGAGCTCTGCATGCAGAAGACTCGGGTTTGAGCTCAGGACTACACGGTCTCCAAGAAACTGATTTGGAAATAGTCCCTAATCATTGCCAAGATTGGCAAACACACACACAAAAAAACAATAATAATGATCTTAATTATTTCTGGTGGGGGTTCACTCCCAGCAGTACTAAGGAGTGTTATTTATGGTCTTGCTGATCTGAATAGCTTATGTGTGTATATAACACCCAGTGACCAAATTTTTTCCCCATATGTGCTCATTTCTTTTCCAGGGGGTGCTAGGGGTGCAAGCCCAGGGTGTCACACATGTGAAGCATATACTCTACCTCTCAGTCACTGTTGATAGATTTTTAAATCACAACTGTATGTGAAAGTTCAATTAAATCATTAGGTTAACCATGCTGAGTTTTGATAATTGCCCAAAGCAACTGAAAGCACAGCTGATTATTGCCGATAATATTCATATTTACCTTCTTCTTTAAGGTTCTTCCAATTGATCCGTTTTGTTGCTTTTTCACACATTTTATCCATTTGTGTCCATTTTAGTGCCTGGTCGTTTTTCCTCATCAGTTGCTGCTCAAATGCAATTCTGAATGCATCTGCCATTATGTAAGCTTCTTCTGTACTCTTCTGTGAAAGTTGCAGCTGGTTTCAGAAGAAAGTTTGGGAGTTGTCAGAGACAAAACTAGAACAAACCTTGTCTGCCAGCTAAGTCGGAATGGCAAATGCCCTGCTGACACGCAGTCGCTGCTGAGTCTCTTCTGTCATTTCGAGTTAAATGACCGATTTCCCTGCAAAGCCTTTCAACTCCCTGTTCATTCAGCCCTTGGCCCTCATTGCTCAGAAAGGCCCTTATGGATGCTGGAGGCAGAGTCGGCCTTGGGCTGTTCTAGACCAGACACTGAGAATTAAGAAGACCGCCTCTCAGGGGCCAGAAATATAGTAGAAAAGTTAAGGCACTTGTGTTGCATACGGCCAACTTTGGTGATGTTCCCAGCACCACAGGGTTCCCTGGGCATCGCCGGGCAGGGAGACCCACACAGCAATGCATCCTTGGCCCTTTGCATACCTCTTGTCTGAGCTGAAGAAGCGTTTTCTGGGTGGATGCCGCCATTTCTGCACAGGAACAGGGGCTCTCTCCGGGGCCACGACAGAGACAGGCTCGGAGCACTGCAAGCTTTAAACCCCAGGCAAGAGTTCGTTACCTTAGAGGCCCCCCAGGCAGCACATACCCACAGGCACACACAGACCCATGTACATTTCTCTGCAAGTGTCTGATCCCAAGAAACTGGAAAGGAAAAGAGAAACAGGAGAGTGAGAGCAGGGTTACAGGATCCAAGTGGAAATTCAGAGGAAAGAGTATTGCTCGGAACACACGCAGGATGTCGACCTGTTTTTCAGTCTGTAAAAACTTTCCATCTTGGGGGTGGAGCGAAAGAAAAGTGGGTAGGGCATTTGCCTTGCATGCAGCCAACCCAGATTTGATTCCCAACATCCCATAGGGTCCCCTGAGCACCGCCAGGAGTAATTCCTGAGTTCAAGATCCAGGAGTAACCCCTGAGCATCACCAGTGTGACCCAAAAGAAAAGAAAAAAAAAAAACCTTTCCATCTTCAGTTTTCCTACTGCCTTGGCAGAAACTTGACCGAATGAAATAGACTAACATCCACAACGTGGATTTTCTGTGACTGTGCTTGGCCCTGCTTCAGTGTTCGCTCCTGCTGGCTCCTGCCACAGTGAGCTGCATGCTGCGAAATGATGAGCCCAGTGGGGGCCAGCGAGCTAGGTTGGGGACAAGGTGCCTTGTATGTGACTAATCCCAGTTCGATCCCAGGACTACACAGGATCTCTGAGCACCACCTGAGCATCACCAGGATGTGTGCATATTTAACTTGCAGATCACATGATCCTCTGGGCACCATCAGGAGTGACCTCAAGCACAAAGCCAGGATTAGCCCATGAGTATCACTGGGTATGATCCAAATTATCCCCTCATCCCAATAAGGAAAGCAATGATGAACTAATCTTAATATCAATGGGGAAAACAATTATCCTTCTTCTCCTTAAAGACTTTAAATGTAACAGGGAGCCAGAAATAGCTCAGTGGGCTGGAGTACCTTCTGTGCATACAGGAGACCCAGGTTCAGGCCCCTTGTCTCACTTCTCCAGCCCCAAAATTGCACTGGGGGGCTGGAGGAGGATGGGCCATACCCAACAGTGCTCAGGCCATACCCAAAATTGCACTGGGGGGCTGGAGGAGGATGTGCCATACCCAACAGTGCAAGTATCTCTAAATAATCCTAATTCTATTCTTGATCATGGCCTCAGGATCTACTCAAGACCATAATGAAGCCCTCATTTTTGGCTTTCTGTCAGTTCAGTTTCTTACTGTTTTGCTATTACACTAGTTTTCTTGAGTGAATCCTGGTTGTACCTAGTGGATCATATATAGTACTGAGGGTTGAACCAGAATCAGCAGGATGTAAGGCAAATGCCTGGTCCCTTATACTATCTCTCTGACCCCTACTATCCTATTTTAGAGATTCTGAGGGAGGAAGATTTACTGCCTTTATAACTATAAGGGATGGTTTCAGAAAATCCTTTTTGTGTGTGTGTGTCAAAGATTATTATTAATGACATAGCTTTCAGTTATAAATTATAAATAAATAAGAGGGTTGGAGAGATATTACAGTAAGTAGATAAGGCACTTCCCTTGCATGTGGCTGACCTTGGTTCTATTCCTGGCATCCCATATGGCCCCTGAGCATATTAGGAGTAATCTGTGAGTACAGAGCCAGGAGTAAGGCCTAAGTACTGCCAGGTGTGGCACAAAAATTAAAAATAGATATCTGGTGGCTGCATGGAACATTGGTACTTTCCCTTTTCATTTTTCTACTCCTGATAATTATCCTTATAAACTTTGCCAAAAGCAATTCTGTGACTGGCCTGAGGAGACAATATAAAAACAAGGCTTTTGCAAGTATCTCTAAATAATCCTAATTCTATTCTTGATCATGGCCTCAGGATCTACCCAAGACCATAATGAAGCCCTCATTTTTGGCTTTCTGTCAGTTCAGTTTCTTACTGTTTTGCTATTACACTAGTTTTCTACCCAGGCAGTAGAATATAGTGATCAAAAAAGCACAGTTCTAAATTCAGTCCAGGGTTGGGGAGAGAGAGAGCTCAATGGTTGAGCACGTTTGCATGCCCAGGATTCCCAGGTTTGATCCCCAGCATCACATGGCCCCCTGAGCATTGCTGGGAGTGACCCCCAAAGACCAAGTCGAGATTGGCCCCTTAGCACTGTGAGTGATCCCAAAACAAATAAAACTTCATTCTAATCCCAGTTAGCCTTTGGCAGTCATGGAACTTTGAGCTCACTGCTTCACCCACTGGTGCCTCTGCTGTCTCATCTGTAGCACTGGGAGAATAACTGTTCACCTTACGGACAGCTGGGAGAATTCGGTGACTTAGACTGCAGAGCCTTGCAGCACAGCCCACCTGGCACTTCGTAAGGGTCATGCTCCTTACAGTAGCAGTAATTATTGATTGTTCCCATGGTCGAAGTGGCTGCTCCTTCTGGCTCCACAGGGCAATGCTTTTTTTTCCCTCTTGGGTCATGCCCGGTGATGCACAGGGGTTACTCCTGGCTCTGCACTCAGGAATTACTCCTGGCGGTGCTCGGGGGACCATATGGGATGCTGGGAATCGAACCTGGGTTGGCTGTGTGCAAGGCAAACGCCCTACCAGCTGTGCCATTGCTCCAGCCCCATGCTTTATTTCTTGATGCACTTGTTTGTTTCCTGGGGTACTTGCTAGTTTCTTTTTTTCAGTTTGGTGCCAGGAATTAAACCTGGCGCCTCATGCAGGCCCTTGTTCTGAGCTGCATCCCCAGCTTAACTTGCTTCTTAGGAGCCTGAGAACACTTTGACCCCAATTAGCCACACTTGCACCTAGTAAGACATTTGACACCCCAGCATCGATCAGTAACGAGTTCACAGATCCTTATTCTGAATCTGGCTCCACGACGTAATAACCATGTACTTTGGGACATAAGTTGAACTTGTCTGAGCCCTGGTGCCCTTCTCTGTGAAGTGAAGGACAAAATATTCACTTTGCAAAAACAAAAAAAAAAAACAGAACTATTTTGTAGCCCTTCCAAAACCACGGGAAGGTGCAGGTAAAATAATGTGCAAAAGGACCCTAAAAGCTGTATCCAGGTAGCACCCACAACAAGCAAGACTTATGTGGCAGTGTAAGAGGAAACCAGAGAAATAAGTAGCCTGTACACGCACACTTCCCACACCACCCCCACCCATAGTCTCCTGTGAGGGTCTGGTACCTGGTTCCCCCCAAAATCAGCCTCCTTTGGCCGAGGATGGTGCCCAAGCTTAGAACATGAGGCAGAGGGTGCTAGTGGGATGAAAGGGAAAGTAGAAAAACTTCCTGCCGCCCGATCGCCTACCTCCAGAGGGGACACCTCTGTGAAGCCACTCACATCACAGCGCATGTTCTCCTCCTCTGTCTTTGGCTGTCTGATGTCCAGCATGGCAAGGGCTTCCAAGTAGTGTTGGTTCAAAACTAGGAAGGGCCATAGAACCCAGTATTACCTAGAGGACTCGGTCCCACTTCACCTAACCTCGTTACCCCAACATCATACAACTCACTTCTTACAAACGAGGCACATATAAGAACACCTGCAAAAATCTGCACCCCTCAGAAAACTGATAGATCAGTAGGGATTGAGTGAGATAAAACCCATGTGACCCGGATCACATGTGGTTAAAATTTACTGCTGTTGTCAATTATGATTTGGGGGCCACACCTAGCAGTGCTCGGGGTCACTGCTAGCAGGAGACCTTATGGAGTGCTGGGAATGGAATCAGGGTCAGCCATATACGTGGAAACTGGTGTAAGCCCTGTATTGTCTCTCCAGCCTAAATGTCACTATTTTTAATAGAATCTTTGGGTTGTGAGTCATATGGTAGGGCTCCGGGAACCCAAACTTGTACTCCAGCCCCCTTTGAGCCCCAACACTTAAGCCAGCACTCTAAGAAGGTTTCTCTAGGGCCTGTGCCTGCCTCCCACCTGGCTGACCTGGGTTTGACCCCCAGCTCCTCCAGGAGTGAATCCTGAGCACAGAGCCAGAAGTAAGCCCTGAGCACCACTTGGTGTGTCCCAAAAGCAGAAAAAAAAAAGTTTCTCTGAAAAGGTAGAACAGCCAGCAGTCACTCCTCGGGGGACCATATGGGGTACCAGGGAATGAACCCGGGTTGGCAATGTATGCAAGGCATATGCCTACCAGTTGTACTCTCTGGTCCCTTAAAAGATGTTCATCAAATTATCAAAATAATACTTCACTTACTTGCATTTTCAGACTTTAGCACTTTAACTTCTTCTGTTTTCAATTTCAAAGTTTCCTTGAGAACTTCATTTTCACAGTTTAGCCTGGGGAAAAGTAGCCTCCAGATCACTAAACTAGTAACACTTCGAAGTTGAATGAGAATTTTTATACCACAATTAGAACATAAAAATCTAAATATAATTTTTCCTGCTTCAAAAAAGCTTAGAATTTTAGATGTTTCACAAATAAAAATAATTTAAAGAGCCAGAAGTAAGCCCTAGTAAGATTTTTTTTTTTTTTGCTATATGGGTTACACCCAGCGATGCACAGGGGTTATTCCTGGCTCATGCACTCAGTAATTACTCCTGGGGGTGCTTGGGGGACCATATGGGATGCTGGGAATCGAACCCCGGTCAGCTGCGTGCAAGACAAACACCCTACCTACTGTGCTATCACTCCAGCCCCGGCCCTAGTAAGATTTTGAACACACTCTTTAGCCTTCTGTATATTTGGATGAGAGGCAGAACCAGAAATATTGAGAGACACCCATTTTGAATATTTATTTAAAGTTTTAATTCAATTAAATAACCATGTGAACACCAACAGGAGAATGATACCCTTAAAAACATTTATAATGTTGGGGCAGGAGAGATAGTACAGTGTGTAGAGCAGTTGTCTACATGCTGCCAACCTGGGTTTGATCCCCAGTACCGTATGGTCCACAGAGCATTATCAGAAGTGTTCCCTGCCAACAGAGCCAGGAGTAAGCCCCAACCCAAAAACAAATAAATAAAGTAAAAACACACAGAATGGGCTGTAGAGATAGTATAGTAAATAGGGCACTTGCCTTGCACGCTGCTGACCTGAGTTCAATCTCCAGGACCTCATATGGTCCCCTGAGCCCAACCAGGAGTGATTGTTTAGCACAGAGCCAGGAGTAAGTTCTGAAGATCACCAGGAATGACCCCAAAACAAAAACTTAAAAAACAAAACCAAAAACATGTATACAGCTAGAGACATGGCTCAATGGGTTGAGCACGTGCCTTGCAGGCCGGAGGCCTGGGTTCCATTCCCAGCTCGAGGTGGTCTCCCAGGCCAGCTGGGCACAGCTCTGGAGGCTCCTGGATGTGGCCGTGGAGATGATGGAGCACTCAGGGCTGGTCGGAGTAACCCCAGCATCACAGGGCTACATCACTAGCACTGGACCACTGTCCCAGTTGGCAGAGGATCACAGAGAATGGACCCTGGATCCCCCAAAACAAGGCTTGATCCTGAAGTGGCCAGAGGGAGAGCTCATAGGCTTGGAGTGTGGGAGGCTGGATCTGGTCTCCAGCACACACAGAGTGACTGTTGAGCACTGCTGAAAGTGGCCCCAAAACAAGAAATGTTCCTTATGGACCAGGGAGATAGTCTAGGCGAGTTTAAGACTCGCCTTGCATGTGGCCACCCAGGTTCAATCTCCGGCACCACATGGTCCACCCAGCCTGCCAGGTACAGTGCTGGAGGCCCCAGCATGGCTGGGTGTGGCCTGAGTACTCCCTGGTGGTGCATCTGGGGCCTCACATTGAACTGCCAACGTGGTTTGCTGAAAGTCAGTGCGATGGTTCTCAGGGAAGAGCACTACCCCAAGGTGCAGAAAACAGAGTTAAAATCTTTTGAATTTCTGGATCCACCCCCGGAAGTACCCAGAGGCTACTCCTGACTCAGTGCTTGGGATTGGGGGTGTCACTGGGAGAACATTCAGTGTCTGGAGGATCAAACTCAGGCCTCCAGCATGCAAAGCACGCACCAGCCCCAGCTTTCCAAAATAGATTTCCAAAGTAGAGTAATAGAGAAATGGTTTGTACATAGGTCAAAAACAGACAACTGGTAGGTCACTAGATGGATGAGAGAGTGATGATGAAAAGAAAAGAGAGAGAAAGAATGAGAGAGAGAGAGAGAGAGAGAGAGAGAGAGAGAGTCTTCCAACTGTCCTCTGATAAGACCTTAGGACCTTTCAGCAATTCCTAGTAGTTATGTGGTACCAGGGATCAAACTCAAGCCCTCTAACTTACAATGCACACCTTTCACCCTTTGCGAAATCTCCCAGAAGTTTATAATATTTGCAGATAGCTCAAAGAAGAAAGCCTAAGGTGCACTGGAGTCACACACATAATTCTTTAAGTGGAGGTCCTAGGGGTGATGAAGGTTTGACTGGTCCGCAGGGCAGTGGCACTCAGAGGCCACACCTGACCCAGTGGCCAGGAATCAAACTTGGGGCCTCATACATGCAAGATGTGTGTTCCACCCCTTGGGCTACCTCTCAGAGAATACACACATTAGAGATTTCAAAAATAAAGATTTCCAAAGGAAAAAGTACATACTATTGATGTACAAACCTGTCATACTTCTGGGTCCAAGAGTCCTCTATATTTTTAAATCGACTCTGATCAAATTCTATTTCCCACTGCAATGCATTTATTTCCTAGAGAAAATAGCAGAGTTATGGAAAATTACTACCAGTCCGGGACTTCAGCATGTAAGAACAGCAGGGGGAAAAATCATTTCGTCATTTCACAGAAATAGGTTAAAGATTTTGCTTCAGTCCATGAAGTCTGTCAACATATCCCCTGCTGCTTTAGCACACAGACAGATAAGCATTGGCAAGACTTCTTGCTAAAGAGATTTGGGGTGAGGGGGGAGATCAGATTATTTCGCTTTCAAAGGAAAAGTGCTCATTTGCACCTAGATCTCTCATTGTTGCCAACAACCCCTGCAAGTCCCACAGGCAAAACCCAGTCCTGAAGTTTTGTGGAAGTTTTGAAGGAAGCAGGTGCCCCAGGAAGGAGACATGGGCATCTGCACACAGCCACTGAGGGTGTCCTGAGTACCAGCAGTGGGGAGAGAGAAAGAAGAGCGTCTTGCCAGGCAGCTGGGAACTTAAAAAAGAAAAAGCAGGAGCAGGCTCCTCAGCTAAGGCAGCAGGTAAGGCTATTGCCTTGTACACAGCCAACCAGGGTTCGAGCCCTGACACCATATAGCCCTGCCCTGAGTCCTCCTGCCTGTGCACTGCCAGGTATGGCCCAAGAAACAAAAGGGGAAAAAACACAGCAGAAAGATAGAATTAGCAGGTGCCCTCCACATTAAAATTGGGACAGGGAAGGGACCTTGATCCTGCGCCCATGACAGTGTCTGGCTCGCACATGCCAAAGGGCAAGCAGCAAGGGGAAGGAAGAGACTCCGTCTGGATGACAACAGAGGGCGGCCGGCCGGAAGGAGTCTGTGCTACTCAGAGCGAATACCTTTTCCAAGGATCTCTTCTGTTCCACAGTTTTCTGCAGCACTGCCTGGGTATGACTGGTGGCTTTGTCCAAGACAGCCTAAGGAAAATACAGAGCATGTCAGTACAAATGAACTTTCCCAGCACACTCACATGCAGGGCAGAGTTCAGTTTTACAAGGAAAGTGAACAGAAAACCAGCTTGAGCTGAGGATTTCCACACCCCCTTTGGTTGGAGTGTTTGGCTCTTTCCCCAGGAACAGGGGAATGAATGAGTTTTCCAAACTAAGCGTGTGTATACAGAGGAAACAGGAATGTTTATTCATACTTTATTCATACATACTTATTCCAGGAGTATTTACTAGCTTACTGCTTATCCACTGGTGAGTGGAGAAACAAAACATGGTGTGTCTCTACAGTATGGAATCACTTAGCAATAAAAAGGGAGATTCTGACCCGGGCTCTACCTATGGACCTCCAAAGCAGGTGCTTGGAAGAACCCTGCCAACGCTTTTGAGAGCTTATCTATGGCCGTAGGAATAGCTGCTGGAGACCTGCAGACCAGAGGCTGTGTGGGGAGAAGGGGATGCTCAGGAGTGTGCATGACGTTCTTGGGGTGGTGCTATTGGGAAATGTTCTGAAATTAGGCTGTGGTGAGGGTTGCACACTTCCTGGTGAAAGTTAATTGTTTAACACGAGTGACATTCATGGCATATAGTTAAAATATAATTAAAATACCAAAACAGCAACAACAACAGAAACCCACATAACTGTTACATTCATAAATATTGTGGCTTTTGTGCTAAGGGGGGCCAGAGAGATAGTCCAGCGGGTAGGGCACTTGCCATGCACAAGACCAGTTGGGGATGGATCCCCCAAACCGGATGAAGCCCCCTGAGCCCCTCCAGGAGTGAGCCCTTAGCGCAGAGCCAGTGGTAAGCCCTGAGCACCACTAGGTGTTGCCAAAAAGACAACACAAATAATTTTAAAAAATGAAAGCTAAAGCTATGCCACTTGTTACTGGTGTGAAAGGTGAGAGTTTAAATTGCTCTAGGGTGTGTTCTTACCATATTCTGAAGAATTTTCAGTGCTTCCTCTTTACCTTCCAATTGTCTTTGAAATGCTTCAAGTTCAGTTTTTAATATTTCTACCTCCTGAGAACAGAAAGAAAATGAATTGCTCTCTGCAAAATTTACAACCCAAACAAGTCATGCAGTTTGGTGTGCCCGGGGCGGGTTTGGTTTGCTTCCCCCACATGCCTCCCCTTTGTTGCTGTCATGGGCAACTGACTGCCAGAGTCTGGGGAGGCGCCCCTCCACCCGCGCGCTTGGCACCTTGATTTGAACTTCTGGGCTCTTGAATGAGAAGGCAAAGCTCTGTTGTATTTGTGCACTTTCTCCCATCTGTCCCTCCCAGTGGTTCATGCCTCCCATACCAGCCTTTCCAGTCTTCCAATTTACAAAATCAGCCTCTTCCACATACAAGGGAGAACTGTGGGGGGTTTGAGGGAGACCTGCAAAGGGAACTGGGGGAATATTTACATCAGCAGCCCCCATGATCTGCGAGGGGCATAAAGCACAGGAGCCCGTAAGGAGTGTGAGATTGTGCCTCATGACATATATATATATATTTTTTCTTTTTTGGGCCACACCCAGCTGATGCTCAGGGGTTACTCCTGGTTCTGCACTCAGGAATTACTCCTGGCGGTGCCTGAGGGACCATATGGAGTGCTGGGGATTGAACTCGGGTCAGCCACATGCAAGGCAAACGCCCTACCCGCTGTACTATCACTCTGGCCTCACAAATATCTTTTCTGTGTGTGTGTGGGAGGGCAGGAGGGTGCTCCACCCAGAAGTGCTGAGGGTCTATGCCCAGGGTTGCATATGGGCTGCTGGGAATCAAACCCAGGTGAGCCATGTGCAGGGCAAGCACCTTACCTGCTGCACTCCAGCCCCTGTCACAAACATCTTGAAAGCCATGATTTTCCTTCCATTTTCTGTGCTAATTAGCATATCAGTTATTTGTTCACATGAGAATTTGCATACAGATTACATACCTCTAAAGTTTCATGGAGACGATGCCTTAATTCTGCATTTGACAATTCTGAATTAGAATCTATTGGGGGGGGGGAGAGAACTGGATATTTTTAACTAATCAAACACAGAACTTTTCTTGATGAAATATCACATTCAAGTTTCTCTCTACATTAAAAAGAGAAAGGAGCTGTAACTAAAACCAAAGAATTATCAAAAATTAGTATCTCGGATCATTTCACAAATGGAAAGACACTAGGTTAAATAAAAAAAAAGACCACAAAAAGGACAAATATAAAATACTTGCTAACAAATTGGGCCATTACTGCATTTAAAACATTATTAAAAACTATGAACATGGTGGGTGAAATAAATTTTGATGTTTTTCTTAAGTTTTATCTAAGAAATCACATATTTAATTTCTTCCCATGGAAAATGACTAAGAAGACTCGTGTAAGTTCAGTGATTCTTGCCTTTAATGTGACCAGTTGAGACATTAATCTGAGCTTTCCAGAAGCTTCAGATTCACTGGCAACAGAAAAAGATTCAAGGCTGGGGAGAGAGCCCCAAGGGCTAGAGCACAGAGTCTGGCCCCAACACCACTGGGTTCCTCAGCCCTACCAGGAATGATCCCCCAAGCAATACCAAATGTGACCTGAAAATCAAAAAGAAGAAAAAAAAGGGAAAAGATTCAAGTGGTACAAGTAAGAGATTAAGAGCAAATGGGGCCAAGGATTTTGTTCAGGGCCATAAGGCCATCAACCAGCAATTCTGTCCCCAGGAGCTGTGCAGCGTGCAGGCAGGCGTGGAGCCCACCACACACTCCCAGACACTGGGGAGCAGTCACCTTCCACCCCAGCACGCTTCTGAACTGATTCTTTCGTTCATGCATGGTATTATTTATCTGGGTTTATCAGATAATAAGATTAATCTGAGGAGAAAAGTAATTTTGTTGAGTCCTTGGTGGTATTGCTAAAATCACTGTAAGCAGGTACACGTGTGTGTGTGTGTGTGTGTGTGTGTTTGTGTGTGTGTGTGTGTTCATCTGTGTTCCGCCTGAAGCCCTCCTGCCACACACACATGCCAGACTTGCTCCTCTATCCATTATGGGGCTCTGGCTTCTCCCCAGGGATGCTGACCCTGACCCTGGCCGGAAGAAGCCCCGCCAGAGTCCCTGGCCTCATTCACTCTCCCTTCCCTTCCTGCACCTGACATTCCAGAGCCAACGACCTTGGGGACTTCCCGTCTGTCTCCTGCTAGGATGTAACACGGTGACGGTGACGTAAGGGCCTTTGGCGACTTTGCTTCCTGGTGTTACCCCCTCCCCCCCCCCCCCCCCGAGAGCCTGGAGCTATCCTAGGCACCGGGTGGGTTCCCAGCCTTGTTTGTTGGAGCGCCCGCTTCCCCCCAAAGCCACAGCCAGGCAGGTCATCAAGCAAATGCATCACACATGGTAACAGGTCTGGAAGCAGAAGCACCGATACTTGCGCACTTGCCATCTCATGAAGGGAATAAAGATAAATTTTTGGACATCCACGCTGGTGACCCTTTTTTGGTATATTTGGAAGGGTGCCAGCCTGAAAGAATCAAATGGGATTGTACAGTGGGCACAGGGACGGAGGCACCTGGGTTTTCTTTTCTTTTCTTTTGGTCTTGGGGCCACACCTCGCAGTACTTGGGTGTTACTCCTGGCTCTGCACTCAGCAATCACTCCTGGTGGGCTCAGGGGACCAAGTACGATGCCAGGGGCTGAACCCAAGACAGTTGTGTGCAAGGCAAGCGCCCTTTCCACTGTGCTGAATCTTACCTGGGCTACTTTGGCGTCTGTAACAGGAGATTCTGGATTCTCCAGGGTTCGTATCTTGCCAGCTGTGCTGCTGGGAATACTGGCAGAGGGCTCCTCTTCTTTCTTCCCTCTTTCTGAGCGATGGAGGCGGGCTAGAGTCCTTTGCATCTGATCTCTTTCTAGACGTACATATGTGTGAAACTTGCGCCTCGTAAATACCACCCGGCCTTCTTCCCAGACCGTACCCTAAGTCGCCTTCGGCCATGTCATCTTGCTGGGTTGCCCAGGGCCCAGCCTCTGCCTCCCATGGCGGACTCGTCTCCCTGCTCATCAGCCAGGTGCTGTGGGGACCATAAGGGAAACCAGGTAGTCTGCATAGAAAAAAACAAGGGTCAGAAGCCATCAGTGTCATAAAGTTGTTTTTAGAGGGAAAAGTAGTTCTTTTCTCTATGATGCCAGGCACGCCCTGTCCCCAAAATACTAGCCAACACCCTGTAAGGAATCAGGACTTTGTAAGTAAGAAATGACCCAGCTCTGGAGGGGGGGCAGTATGATAGCATAGCAGGTGAGGTGTTTGCCTTGCACGTGGCCAACCTTGATTCAATCCTCAGTACTCCATATGGTCCCTCGGGCCCTGCTAGGAGTAATTCCTGAGTGCAGACCCAGGAGTAACCCGGAAGTTACTCAGTGTTCGCCCAGTTGTTGCCCACCCCTACAAAAGGCCCTCCCATTGATCGTCGATTTGCTCGAGCGGGCCCAGTAACGTCTCCATTGGAGACTTTGTTGTTACTGTGTCTGGCATATCGAATACTCTCGGTAGCTTGCCGGGCTCTCCGAGAGGGGCAGAGGAATCGAACTCGGGTCGGCCATGTTGGCCGCGTGTAAGGCGAATGCCCTACCCGCTGTGCTATCGCTCCAGCCCCTACAAAAAAAATATAATAAATGCTGTCCCAGCCATTATTTCAGAGAGAGGCATGCATGGTCAGGAAGTAGAAAGGCTTTCAAAATTTCTATCACCTGCCGACTGGGATCGAACAGGTTATTCTGAACCAGGAAACAGAACATGCTTGGTGTAGCAGCTCCTAAAAGAGTGTTTTCATGATTGCCACTCAATGCCTCTCTTGCAAAACACAGGACCCAAAAGAAGAGAGAGAGAACAAAAGGGAATGCCCTGCCACAGAGGCAGGGTGGGATGGGGTGGGGGGGGATGGAGGGTGGGAAGGATGCTGGGACCCGTGGTGGTGGAGGATGAGCACTGGTGGAGGGATGGGTACTTGATCATTGTATAACTGAAACCCAAGCACAGAAATTTATAAGTCTATAACTGTACCTCATGGTGTTTCACTAATAAAAATTTTTAAAAAATAAATAAAAATAAATAAAAATAAAAGAGTGTTTTCACAAGTCTTAAGAGCATTAGGATATTGAGAAAAGCTTTTGAAGAAACAAACTTTCAGTGGCTGAAATTCCGTCACCTCCAGCCCCACCAGCCTCTTCCCCTCCATGGTCTCTGACCTGTTGGGGTATTTGGGGACCTGGCAGTGCCATTGGGCTCATTGCCCTTCAGACACTGTTTGCAGACGTTTTGCGTATGGAGTAGGAATGAAGGAAGAGGGTGATCCTCCCTTTCCCCACCCTGCTCCTTCTAGCTGAAGTTGCATGTCCTGTGTCGTAGTCCTCCACGGTCCCACATGGCAATCCAGCCAGGGCTAAGCAGCCCATACTCTCCTAAATCAGCTTCCTGGTTTCCCTGCTGTTCTCAACTAGGTCCTGGTGTTTTGCATGTTTATCGGTAATCTGTATGCCCTCTTCTGTCCAGTTGGTTGTTTGGTCATTTCTCTTGTTGCTGGGTATTTAGGGGTCCAATTTGTTCAAAATGTACTTCACTGTCTCTACCATGTAGTGCCAACCCCCACCCCCAACTATCAGCAATGATGTTTTAGTGCTACAATAATTGCTGGCACCTGTTGATTACTTTCCAAGCATTCCCAAGTATTTCATTTAGATGCATCTATTTCATCTTCACAGACTGTCAGACTATACTCTTATTGTTTGAGCACAGACAAATGGAAGCATACAGAGGTTGGATAACAAGGCCAATAAGAGCTCAGAGCCTGGCCACTGTTCTACTCAGTCACTGCTTTCTGTCATTTGGAGACTTTCAATAAGATTAACCCTGAAGTAAACCAAATTTCTATTAATTATGCCATCAAATCAAAGTGAAAGGGAAAGTCTAAACTAACTATTCTGGCAACACTCAACAGTTAACTGAACCCATTTTCCTTCCAATTTTTATTAAATTATCTTGATTCTTCTAGAAGACTTCTTTTACAAGGTTCTTTTATTTATTGGCCCTGAGTGAGTCCATCAATTTTTATTTGATGGTAAATAGAAGGTTACTTATTGGAAAAAGAAGAATCCCAAGAGGCTGGGCTCCACTCCTGGTGCAGGAGATTCCTGCTTGTAAAGACAACCACACACTCCATCGAGGTTAGGGTGGAGTTTGGCAGCCACCAGTGATGAAAATGGAATGAGGCAATACAAAGGGAAACATTAGTAACAGGAAAGAGTAAGCAACTGTGGGGTTGGTTAAGAATATAAGTACTTTTTTTTTTGGTTTGGGGAACACATCTGGCAGTGCTTGGGGATTACTTCTGGCTCTGAGCTCAGGAATCATTCCAGTGGGGCTCAGGGGACATCTGCAGTGCCATGGTCAAACTGGGTTGAACATGGGCATGTGCCTTACCTGCTGTACTCTCTGGCCCTGGGTGAACCTGGGTAGGATACATGCAAGAAAAGCATCTTACCTGCTGTATTTTATCTCTTTAGTCAAGAATATTTTTAATATTCCACATATTCAGGTATCATGGGTACCTCTGCCCTCGCTTGACAGGGGGCACACTCCGGGGTGCTCAGGGCTTAACTATTGGCTCTGTGCTCAAGGATCACCCCTGGTGGTGCTAGGGGACATTTGTGGTGCAGGGGACGGAACCCAGCCAGGTCTGTCAAGTCAGGCACCTGAACCCCCATGCTACCTCACCTGCCCATACATTATTTTCAAGCAAGGGGAAGCATCTGCAGTTACAGTCCTTTCATCCAATTCAATTTGATGCTGATGGGCAGAAGGCAGCAGAATGATGTCCTAGAAAGCCTGGACTCAAACAATCTGGGTGCAAATCTCATCACGTTATGCTCCCCCAGACTAAGTCTACACATGCATCGACCATGACTCCAAACACTGGAGGCTGCAATGTTTTGTCCCCCACCTCCCTTCTCTTTAATATCCTTCATTGACAAGTTTTCTTGGTTCACAAAATCTCCCCCAAACCTTGACTTTGTATTTTCAGAGTCCTGGCTGAATTTCTCAGGACCTCTGCAGGATTAAACCAGTGATCCCCCAGCTGGTGGTGGTTCCAGTCCCTGCCACACACACACGCCAGTCAGCCACTGTCTCCCAGCACCCAGCACTGAGGCAGCCTCGCCTCTCCTGTCCTAGAGCAGGTGCCGTGGCTCCCACATCATATAGACTTAATGAGTCACCAGTGTTTTCTACCGGGAGGTCCCCGTTTTCACTTCCCGTTTGGTCAGTCACGACTCCCTGTGCTGGCTTTGTGCTTCTAAGGGGCTTTGCACCTGCTCCCAGTCCCTCCACCTCTTGGAAGCCTCCCCCACCCCAGGAAGGCTGTCTCCTCTGCCCTGGGCCACCAGTGATTCCTCACTCACTCGGTCCTGTGTAATGGGCCCCTTCCTCCCTGACTCAGGTATCGCCCTCCACCCTGGCCACAGAGCCCCGCCTCACTATGCTTACCAGATGTTCCAAAGAGAACGGAAAGAGAAATCCTGGCTTAGGGGCAGCCGCCCCACGACCGCCCCAGCTCTGCCGGGCCAGCAGGCTGGTCAAAGAGCCGCTTCAGCGCCCCCCTGCTGATCCATGGCGCTGGCCCGCACTGTGTCTTGGCTTCTGAAAACTGCAGACTTAAAGCATGATGCTAAAATTGCATCGGCAGCTCCTATACGCCCTCTAATGCGAACATCAAGGCTCCACGGATCCAAGTGAACAAAGTATCGTTGGTACAGGAGTAACGAAACCACAGGCCCTGCTAAAAGTATTTCCCCAACTCTCCCGGACCCTGGGCAGGACAGCACAGCGCAATTACGGCGCTCTAGTTCGAAGGCTTGACATGAATAGAAAAAATATCGCTACAATGGAGGAGGGGCGGAAGCAGAAAGCCTTTCAATTCCAGTTGTTACTATTATTATTTTTAAATGCCAGCGGAGCCAGGAAACCAGTAATCGTGGGGGCAGGGGCCAGTTGGCGGCTCATCTGCAACCTGCCGAGGGGCTCCAAGCCAGTGCGCTCCTGCCCCGGGGTTCCCACTTGCCAAGCCCTGCGGCCCGCCGCGTCGACCGCCTCCCGCGCGGGTGCTGGACCCGGGAGCCCCCCACCCCCGAGGTACCCCCACCCCCGCGACCGCGCGCTCACCCCGCGCCGAGCCTCCACGTAGGCGCTGCCGCCGCCGGGGACGCCCGGGCACGTGACGAGCCGCGCAGCCGGCCGGAAAGGCGCGTCCGCGAGGCAACGGAGCGTTCCGAGGCGGGCTCGGCCCGGGCTCCTGGGGACACTGCCCTTGCACAGAGCCCAGCTTCTGTGTCCTGCAGGAGGCGGGTCTTCGGAACCACGCCTGCCTTTAAGGGCCACCGAGTGTGGGGCGGGGAGCTGGGGGGCGCTTCCCACTGATGCTCAGGGCCCGGCCCTCCCGCTGGCAGGGTCCTAAGGCAGTGCCCGACCCCTGCACCATCGCCTCGACTCCTCGAGTGCTTTTTCTTTAGACATAAATTTCATTTTGGGAAATACCCACTTCATTCCGATTCTGTGATGAATTTAGAGGCCATACATTTGGTCAAATTTTACTCTCGTTCCTTTATTATACTCATTATACCTGAGATTTACCTTTCTCATGGAGAAAACCCAAACATAAACTTTAGTATAATCCATCTTCTAGTCTTGTAACAGTGTTTTTTGGGGAGTAGGGTGGGGGGGTGTGCATAGTGGTGGTGGACTTGGAGACACACTTGGCCATGCTCAGGGGTTTCTCCTGGCTCTGCACTTAGAAATCACTCCTGGTGAACTCGGAGGGCCATATGGTATGCTGGGGATCAAACCCCAGTCAGCTGTCATGTAAGGACCTATCAGCTGTACTATCTCTCCTACCCCACTTGCAACGTTTTGTTTTTTTAATTTATTAACAATTGGGTAATTTATATGGGGAGAGAAATAGCAAGAGATCATAAAGTGTCGATCGTATACTTCAAGAGCTATGATCTTTGACCCATTGTTCAATCCATGCCATTATCTGGTTGATATTATTCTCTAGATCATCTGGACTATTGCTGAGCAGCTGATGCACTATTTCTTCCTTGTACGATGCTAAGGCTTCTTCATAAAGAACTTGAAAAATTTCACACTGAATGTTCTCTTTCAGTTTCTTCTCACTATAACCCCTAGAAGGCAAGAAGATAAGCAAACAAAAGCAAAGTAAATGACATTAATTAGGGACATTATGAAAATCTGGACCCTTTAAAAATGTAAAACCAAACACAAATACTTCTCAGTCCCCTTATCTGGAAAAATTAGACTCTCATTTATAAATATAGAGGCTTTTTTTTTTTTTAAAAAAAATTTATTTATTTTGCTTTTTGGGTCACACCAGGCGATGCACAGGGGTTACTCCTGGCTTTGCACTCAGGAATTACTCCTGGCGGTGCTCAGGGGACCATCGGGGATGCTGGGAATTGAACCTGGGTCAGCTGCGTGCAAGGCAAAGGCCCTACCCGCTGTGCTATCGCTCCAGCCCCTAGGCTTGTTTCTTTAAGGGAAACTAAACAAGGGACCAATATCCAGGTTTGTCTGAGTTCCTATCTCGCCCAATAATTTGTCAGGCACTCAGTATGCAAACATATATACTTATCTTAAGCCAGATTCTTTTTTCTTTTTTCTTAAATTGTTTTATTAGTGAAACACCATGAGGTACAGTTACAGACTTATAAACTTTTGTGCTTGGGTTTCAGTTATACAATGACCAAGTACCCATCCCTCCACCAGTGCCCATCCTCCCCCACCACGGGTCCCAGCATCCCCCCCTTCCCACCCTGCCCCTGTGGGAGGGCATTCTCCCTTGTTCTCTCTCTCTTCTTTTGGGTACTGTGTTTTGCAAGAGAGGCATTGAGTGGCAATCATGTTTGGTCTATAGACTACTTTCAGCATGCTTCTCCCACCCTGGGAGGGTCCTCACAACACCCTTAATTTGTTGCTCTCTTCTCTATCTGAGCTTCCTTTTCACCTAGCACGTGTGGCTGGCCTTCAAGTCATGGAGCAAAATTTCTGGTACTAATCTCAGCCATTCCTGGGTGTTAGTCTCCCTTTTTGTTGTTAAGCCAGATTCTTAACTGTGAGACAGCTCTAGCTAGGGTTTCAGATTTTAGAGTCAAGAGGTGGGCCAACAGATAAAAGTACAGCAGTTCAGGTACATGCCTAGCAGGTGCCCAACCTGGTGAAGTTTCACCCCCAGATGTAGAGTGCCCAGAGCACCACTGGTTGTGGCCTGGGTATCTGCAGCACTGCAGGGCAGAATGGCCTCCTCAGGCCATTGGACTGAATCACTGACCAGGTTGAATGAGAATAATAATGGGGGGCCCAGCCTCCTAAGCACAGATTGGGAGATTAAAAAAAAAAAAGTTGGAATTTCCAAGAACCTGTCCACAATGTTCAGTACACCTGTATCTTAACTCCTGTTCTTTCAGCTATTAAGGGGTTAAGGTGCTTGCTTTGCATGAGGCACAACACTGCAATAAGGTCCCCAGAGCATCACGAAGAGTGATTCCTAAAGACCTGGAGAACCACACATTTTCCCTGTAATTAAATGCTCATGTAAGAACAATTTTATATTATTTGATGTATGATTAGATACATCTGTACATTATCAATCCCAAAGAGAGCTAAAAAACTCTATCTTTCAGCAGATGTTACCTGGTAAAAAGATAAAAATAAATTTCGGGTGTGGGAACTTTTGAGCCCCACCTGGCTGTCTTCACTTCACAGACTGCTCTTGTAATATCAAATTGTAGATACCATGGAAAGCAGTCTTAACAATTCACCCTAAGTGTATATGATACAAAAATCCCATTCCTACCCAATGAACGAGTAATGGCCACACAAAAATGTAACAAGGGCCAGAGCCCTAGTACAGCAAGTAGGGCACCTCTCTTGCACGCATCTAACCCGAGTTCCATCTCTGACGTTCCATATGGCCTTGCCAGGAGTGATTCCTAAGCACAGAGCCAGAAGTCAGCCCTGAGCATTGCTGATGTGGTCACCAAACACAACAAACTTGGTCCCCAAACAAAACCAACAACAAAAGGCCCAAATCTTCATGGTAGCATTATTTTTTTTTTAATCTATCATTTGGCAAGTAAACACTAAATATGGTCTATCCATACAATATACCACAATTTGGAGGTAAAAAGAAATGCAACCACACAGATGAGCTTTGAAACATTACAACAGATGAAACCCAAACACTAATCATCTCATTTATATGAAATGCTCTCATTTATTTAAATTCTACATGGGTGAAAAGTTGCGTGTTACTTAGAGCTGAAGAACTGAGGGGAAATGGGGAGTGACTGCTGATATGGAGTGACTTTTGAGAAGGTGACTTTTGTGCTTCTACTACTAAAACTGGCTGTAGTATAGAAGCAGAATTCTGTAAATATACTAAGTACTAATGTAAACTTCAGATGGGTAAATTATGTGGTATGTAGACTTATCTCAATAAAACTGCTTCTCTGTGTTTTGGATTTGGTGCAACATCCAGCAACGCTCAGAAGCCCCTGAGGTATGTGTGTATCCAAGTATACACTCTGGTCTCTGAACCAACTCCCAAACCCTCTATTCTTTTCTTCTTCTTCTTTTTTTTTGCCTTTAGTTTTTGTCTTAGGGCTACACCTGGTGGTGTTCAGGGTGTATGCATCTCTGTCATCTGGGTCACTCCTGGTACTGAGGGGACAACATGTAGTACTGGGGATTGATCCCAGGTTAAACGTGTGTAAGGCATGTGCCCTACCTGCTATACTATCTCTCTGGCCCACTTATGAAAAGTTTATTTTAAAAGGTTTTCTAAAAACAGGTGACTGTGACTTTTTCACAATTAAAAAAAACTAAAAAGACTAGTTCCAACCAAGCTTTCTCTAGACATTCGCTACTATACTCCTTTGTGCAAGACCTTCTACAAGTAATTCAATGACAGCATTGACTACAGTGAGAAGCAGAAATTCTGCGCTGGACTTTAGTTGAAGTCTGGAGTTTTTCTTCCTACAACTGCCCCCTCAATTTTACTATATACCCCACTGCTTGAAACAAGACAGTGGGAAAATGTGTTTCATAAAAATCTGTGTTTTCTGGATTAAATCTGACGCTCTCTTAGAGGGACATCTCAAATGTATTTTATGGGTTATGAAATGCTGATTTATCTTGTTATTTTTTCTATTCATGTTATGAGGACAATTTGGCTAATGTTTGTTCATTTAGTAGCAAGGAATATTACTGCTGTAGGTGTCTTCCTATCAAGGTTTTACACAAAGGAAAAAGCATGTCTGAATGGAATTGTTTTATGGAGTTTATGCTAAATCAAACTGTCCATTTAAGTATTGACTTACTCAGAAAATGCCATGTTTTAAAACTTTTACTCTTTTATATTCAAAATACTGGTCTTACAAGTTGGGGATGCAGCTGAGCAGCAGTGCACTTGCCTTGCATGTATAAAGCACTTGATCCCCAACAACAGGAAAAAGAAAGAGTCGGGGGGTGGTTCAAAGGGCTAGAGAGTACGCTGTACATGCAGGAGCTCTGGCTCCGATGTCTGGCACAACGTAATCCCCAACACCATCAAGTATGAGCCAAAAAAAAGAAAACCCAAAAAGACAAACTGGCTGCGGATAGAGGGTAAAACCAGCTAGGGTTAGATTTTCAGCAATGCATAGTGCCCCCAAGCACCACCTGGAGGGATCCCTGAGCACAGAGCTGGCTGGGTATGATCAAACAAAACAAAAACAATCAAATCAATAAAAAATAAAGCACTTACATTCCTAAACATAATAAAGTAGTACATTTCTAAACATAATTCCTCAACACAGTAGTATCAGCCTATTTCAGAAATCTGAACAAAGCTTATACTGTAAGAATTTAAGGGTGGGGGTAAGAGAGATGACTCAAAGGGCTAGAGTACACATTTCACGTGTGGGTGCCCATCTGATCCCTGTCACTGCATGATTCCCAAGCTTCTGGGTGAGTCAACCTCCCCCAAAATAATTTAATGTCTTTCCTTTTTTTACCTTGTTTCAAGTCTTTTGTACAGCACTGTGTTATCTGTTCTTAGCACAAAAACGATATGAAACCAGCGTTCTGGGAAGAAATCACAACCGTGGTAATCCACAATAACTCCACCTTCACTCATTTGATTTTCCAACTCATCAATCACCTGTAAGAAAGGTTTAAAATTAAAAAAAAAAAAAAGCCAGGGCCAAACATGTATAGGAGGCAAAAGGCACGAAAGGCACTTGGCATGTGGCTGACCCAGTTTAAATCCCCAGCACTACATCAGATCCCCAGAGCACCACGAGAGGTCCCTTCTGAGCAGTCAGGAAGAGCATCTGAGCAATGCTGGCTGTGGCCTGAGAAACCACTCCACTCCACCCTCCAAATTAAGGCCAGGGGGTAGAGGAAAGGCAGTACAGAAAAAGCGCTTGTTTTGCATGCAGCTGACCCCAGTCAGATTCCTGGGACTGCATATGGTTCCTGGATTACTACCTGAGGTCACTCCTGAGAACAGAGCCAGGAATAACCTGAATTGGATGTGTCCCCAACCTCCCCAACCCCCAAAATGTAAACTTTACTATTAAATTTAAAAAGGTACACTGCGTGCAAAATTGTACTTACTCTATCTTCATCTAAAATGGAGCACTCATACTCTTCATCATAGCCATCAAACAACTGCCCTGAAAGAAATATTGGATTATTAGATTAGTGTTTTCTAAGTAATTTTCAAGTTATCTGTGGATTTTCAGAATAGAATCTCTATCAAGTACTTTATTAGAATTCAAGGGAAGGCACTAATATAGATGTTACACAGACACAGATACAGCTATATATATAATAAAATAGAAAATATTGGTCAATTAGTTGTGTCTAGAAGGAAATTTGAATAGCAATTTATGTGATGCTTTTTAAAAGCAATGGTGAAACCTATTTAAAAAACGAGAGGAAGAGGGGGCCAGAATGATAGTACAGCAGGCGGGGCATTTGCTTTGAACACAGCCGACCTGGGTTTAACCGCCAGCATCCCATATGGTTCCCATGCACTGCATGGAGTAAATCCTAAGTGCAGAGCTAGGAGTAACCCCTGAGCACTGCTGGGTATGGCTCAAATACCAAAATCAACCAACAAAACACCTCACAGATTTAAATCTAACACTAAGAACTTTTTTCCATTGGGATGGGGGGGTCACACCCAACAGTGAGTGTGTGGGGTGGAGGGAGAAGGGTCTCCATGCTGAGCCTAGAATTAAACCCAGGGCTTGCCTGTGAAAAGCATGTGCTATACCACTAGAGCACAACTGCAGCCTGTAAGAACTTTCATTTCTAAAGTGAGAACACGGATTGTGTAATTTATCATGGAAACCCTCAAGATAACCAGGATACTTTCGCAGCTATTCTCTGACTTAGGGGTGCATCTGTCACAAAGGTCCCGCCTGAATCAGCATGCTACACTGTCCAGGAGCTATGTTCGACAGGATGCAGCAGCACCTGGTCTTTCATCTTGGGCACTCGTTATGTTTTCTGCCACTGGGCAGGGTGGTCTTGTTTGCACAGGACAACTTCTAATGTGGTAGGTCTTAAAGCACAATGTGAGTCTTTTGTGATGCTATTTAAGTAATGCAATTCTCTTTGCTCAGTGTTTACACCTGGCTCTATGCTCAGGGAATCACTCCTGGTGTAGCTGGGAGGACGATTTTTGTTAACAGGGACTGAAGTGGGCACATGCAAGGCAGGCACCTTGCCCGCTGTACTCTCTCTCCAGTCCCTCTCTTTGGCATCTTACTTGTGACTAACAGAATTTCCCAATAAGCCATATCCATTTCCAAAGTCTTCAAGAAATGAAGCTTACTATTCCCACCCTTAGCATGAATCATAGATGAGGGATCTCCGGCAGGCTTATCCTTTGAGCCACGTTTAAGCACGTGCTATAAAGTTTGCTCCCTACCTCCCGCCCCCCCCCCCCCCCCCCCGTTTTGGCACAGCGTGAAATGAAGTGAAAAGGAGCAAGTGTCATCAAGTGAGGAAGGGCAGTCCTGAGGGTAAGCAGAAAATGAGAGGCATCTGCACTTCGTCTTGCCTGAAGGGTACATGGACACACTCTAGATCTGTAAGCCCCCTTTCCACCAAGTATAGCTTTTGTCTGCTTGGGTTACTGCTCAGTTACCAGGAAATCTATCATCCTAAAGAGTTCAGCCCTCTTGGGCTCAGACAGATCGCTCAATGGGCTGGAGAACATGCAGGCAGATTTGATCCCCAAAACTGCATGGACCCCTGGAGCAATGAGTCAAGATTAGGAGATGTTAGCCAGAATGGAATTATTTTTCCATACATCTTTAAAATTAATAAGTGTTTTAGTGCCAAAATTCTCTTACAGGTGACTATACTATGTCATAATCTAGAATTTATTAATGTGAGGTTTCTTCATATTTTAAGTATGAATTATCTGCCTATTCAAGAACTAGTGAAATCTTAAAAAAAAAAAAGAAAGAAAAAAACTCCCAAGCAACATTGACTGTTTTTTTAGGTCACACCCAGCAGTGCTCAGGGCTCAGAGGCTCTGCGCTTAGGTATCAATCACTCCTGGCAGGGCTCAGGGGACCATACTGTGGCGCTGATGACTAAATCCCAGTCAGCTGCACACAAGATGCCCTGCCAGCTGTACAGTCACTCCAGCCCCAGAAATGCTTTCAGATTAATCTTTATACTGTAAGACTATACATACTTTTTTGAACGAGGGTGGGCAGGGGGAAGGAGCACAGCTGGCAGTGTTCAGGGGTTTCAGTTTTATTGGTCAGGGGTCTCAGAAGTGTTCCGGGAGTATTGAACCATGAGCTTCTGCATGCTAAGCATGTATACTTATCCTTTGAGCCAATTCCTAGGCCTGCACTGTAATTCGTTACTTTTGGATCACACCTGGCAGTGCTCAGGTGGTGCTTGGGGAATGATATGGGTTGCCGGAGATCAAATTCGGGTTGGCAAGTACCCTCTCACTGTCTATCTCTCCAGTCCCTGCTGTACTTAAGGGAGGCTAAAACAAATGAGAAGACGGTCTTTTCATCAGCTTGCAATAAATGGGGGCAGACAATTACCTAAAACTTAGACTGTGATCATACTGTAATGTTATAGCTCATGATGCTATAGTATGGACATTGAATATGTTAGAAATACAAACGTAAAATATTAGGGAGTTTCCTGGAGGAACTGACTTCTGTGATTGAGTGAACCCTGGCGGTACTTGGACGACCACATGAAACTGAAGGTTTGAAGACAAGTCAGCACACACTAGGCAAGTGTCTTATCTCCTATACTTTCTCTGGCCCCTTCATTTCAAACTTTGGGGGTCAGAGCAATATTACAGCAGGTTGGGTGCTTGTCTTGCACACAGCTGCCCTGGGTTCTATTCCCAACACCCACCAAGAGTGATTCCTGAACTCCAGGAATATCCCTAAGCACTGCTGGGTGTGACTTTAAAACAATCAAATTTTGGAAGAAGAAAATAATTTATGTGACATTAGAAAACTTAGGTTTCAAACCCAATTTATAGTTGTTTAGGATAGTATTTCATAACTGGAGGCCATATGGCCCCATGTCTGCCCTCAGAATATTCCAAGTGGGGTATGGTCTCCCAATCACCGCCAGGAGTGATCCCTGAATACAGAGCCAGGAATAAACCCTGAACACAACCAGGTCTGTCCCCCAAAACAAAAACAAACAAAAATATTGCAGTAGCCACAGGTAAAAACTGCATAAAATGACAGCTACACATAAGACGAGGGGGCCAACACAAAGGAAACAGGATTGGAAAGGGGTTGAGAAACTCTGGTCTAGTATAATAGGTAGGGTGCTTGCCTTGCAGGTGGCCAGCCCAGGTTTGATCCCCAGCACTCCGTATGGTCTTCTGAGCCCACCAGGGGAGATCCCTAATTGCAAACCCAGGAGTAAGCCCTAAGCATTGCCAGGAATGGCCAAAAAGCCAAAAAAAACAAAAACAAAAACAAAAACAAAACTGGTCTAGACTCTGGATCTAAAGGCAACAAAAGACAAAAGTGAATTTAGGAAAAGAATGCTGCAGATGAAGGAGACATGGGGCGTGCTAAGAATGACTGCAGCCGAAACGGCTGTTTTTCCTGGGTTAACAGCACAAATTTCAGGCAGCATTGTATCCTCAGGCCAGGACATTGCTCAGTGGTAGAAGGCTGGTTTTGCCCATGTGAAACTCAGGGTTTGATTCCCAGTATAACAAGAAACATGATGGTATGGAAGAAAAAGTGATAATCAAAGAGTAAATTTCAACATGGTCCTCAGAACAGGATGGAGTAACAGTGGCACAGTCTCTAGCATGACACAGGGTACCAAATTAAGGTCCTGAGATCCACAATCCCCAGCACTTCAAAGTAGTGCTGAGCAGTGTGTGAACGTGTACTGTTTCTCTGGCCCCAGAGCTTGTGCTTTTTAAATGTGATTGGATACATTACTAACTCTACAGAGATGATTCCATCTTATAGCAATCTAGAAAATCTAGAGATCTGAATGTTGTTTTGTATCCATGGCCTCAGACATGGAGAGGCTTGTGCTTCACCACTAAGCTTCCTCCCAACACCCTCAACTAAGTTGTAATTATAAAGAGGTAACAAGTCTCACAATTTGGTGTGAGATGTTACTGGTGCCCGCTCGAGCAAATAAATGAACAACGGGAGGACAGTGACAGTGACCCTAGAAGGAGGGGATTAAGTCCTGAATAATTAATGCTATCAGAGGCAAAGGCTGTAACAAAATCACTGGAGAAAGTTACTGTGAGAAGGCAGATGCTAAGATTGGGACAGCAATGTCGATGAGGCCAAGTGAGCTCAAGTCAAAAAAGGCTGGCAGGGGGTAATGTCTGTCATAAAAGTTTAAAGCAGGGATGACAGTCTTCTCTAAAGGATATAAAACACCTCAGGCTGCCATTATTGATTGCTATAAAAACAAACACTGCTGGGCAATAAACATCAGGTTTCAAGTAGCTTTTATTGTTTTGTTTTCAGGCCACACCAGGCAGTGGGAGCAGTGCTCAGGGCTTACTCCTGACTCTAGGCTTAGGGATCAGGTATGGCTCCCTGCAGGTAAAGGAACCATATGGAGTATAGGGATGGAATCTGGGTTGGGTTCATTGTAAATATGATCCTATTACTTTTAGATCTATGAATACTGAGGGGGGAGAAACAGCTGAAGATTGACAACTGGTATTAGGAAATGGACATTGGCATGTTATGTATTTTTTGTTTCCAATCTATCAGAAGTTTTCAAGGCTTACTCCTGGTGGGCCTCAAGGGACAATACAGAATGCCAGGGATTGAACCTGGGTTGGCTGTATGTAAGGCAAGCACCTTACCTGTTGTACCACTTCTCCATCTCCTGGTATATTAAGCCAATTCATCAATTTTTCTTGAATTTAAAGGGAATAAAATATTGTATTTTACAGATTTTAATTTAGTATGACAATTCCATTTAGACATATTTGCTTAAGTGTTTTTTAGCGGGGATGGATTGGGAGGAGGGGTAGGAGGCCATCCTAGCTGTGCTAAGGGTTCATTCCCGGTTCTGTTCAGAGATCACTCCTTGTGGTACTTGGGGGACCATAGTCAGTGCTAGGGATTGAACCGAGGTGGCCCCCATGCAAGGCAAACACACTACAGACTATGTATCTCCCTGGCGCAAGAATATTTTTTTGGTTCACAAAGGTGGTGCTCAGCAGTAGGGGTATTATATGCATTTGAGGATCACAATGGGGCTGGCTATACAACCTCTCCAGCTTCACTCTGGCTTATAGAGACCAGTTTTTTGTGGGTTGAAGAATGGAGAATTGTCTTGTTCACTGTATGCTATTGAGTAGCACCCCTGCCTCTTATCCTCTTATGGTTAATAGCAGCACCCTCCCTCCCCACCCCCCCACAGTCCAGTTACAACTACAAAAAAGTCTTCAGAAGTTGTCAGATATCACAAAATGACTCACCCCCATTAGCAGTGCTTTATAGACAATTTGCCTTAGAATACATATCTCAGATTATTTATTTGGGTGTGTGTTGGAGAGGAACCCTCACCAATGTTCAGGGCTTACTTTTGCTCTGTGCTCAAAGGACCCTAACTGGTGCTGAACTTGAACTGGGGCACAGCTGTGTTCAAAGTAAGTGCTTTAGCTTTGTACTATCTCTCCGGCCTGTCTCAGATTATTTTTCAGATAAAATAAAATAGTATCAGGGAACTACATAGGGGAAATCTGGTATATTAATAAGAACTCTGTGAAGTACTTTATCTAGTACCATAAATTCTTTAGCTGGCATTACAGAAGGAAAACACTTTTCAGATTCAATCACCTCACCAACGGAATACAGAGGATGGTAAGCACACACCGGGCTAAATTACTCAATACAAGGAGGAGAGAAGTCAGTGATGAGGAAGGTATCTCTCTCACCATAAAGACTATTCTAGGTGAGCTGTTCCTCTCAACATGGTAGATTATATAGTAACTTCAATATTGAGAAATACTGAGCAGGTGATTTCAACTGGAAAACAAGACCATATTACTGAAACCAACTTGTCAAAATATTCAAAAACAGTTAACACTCAATAAGGGACATTTTGTGAAAATATAAAGAATGCCTATTTATAATAATAAACAAAAGTCTGTTATCTTTTTTGTGCCAGGGATCAAACCCCCACTGCCTTACACACTAAGGGAGGTGCTCTGCTTGGGAGGTGCAAGGAAAAAAAAGTGCCCCCCCCAAAGAAAGTGCAAGAATGACTCATATTCCAGAGATTCTAATTGCAATCTAAACTAGACATATGGCCCCTTTCACCAGAGAAATTCTCACACAATCCAGATACATATGAATATACATATTTATGAAATAGGTGTGTAAACCATTTACTGATAATAAATCACAAAGAAATTTATTTCAGAACAAAATGTTTTAGTTACACAATCCCACATCTGAAGAAGCTCCAATCTAAACATCTGAAGACATCAGCGGTGACATGCTAAAGGTATAGCAACTTTAGAGTTGTTGCTGGTTATTCCTGGTAGTGATAGAGGAAAACTTCTGAAAACAATTCCCAAAGTACTAACAATCAAACTGACAAATGAAAACTTTATTTTTAAAGGCCATTTTTAAACTTAAGGAAAATCCAACATGTAAACATCAAAGTATGGTAACTATATTTACTCAAAACTCAAAATATTCAGCATGCATTTTCAATCTCAATGCAATTAACTCAAGGCCAAGTATACACATTACATGTCTCAAGGCTAGATTACAAATTATCATAATCATCATCATCATCATCATCGTCATCATCATCATCTTCACGTTTTCTTTTCAATGCATTTGATGATTCATTGGCAGTATTTTGTGATGACACCATATTCGTGGTAATAAGAATGTTTTTGGATCCAATTAGAGATGGATTAATAAGAACATTCTGAACTGCTGATGCTGTAGGAATTGATGCTTTTACAGCCGGGGCCTGTGAAGTGGGCATCTGTACAGTAAACCTTTGCCCTGTAAGGGACATTGGAGTCCCTACTTTAGTTGCAACAGACATTGTTTGTGGGGTTGGTGTGCCAAGTGTAGGAGTACTTGGTCTACTACTAACTGAACCAACACTTAATCGTGGAACTGTTATTCTTCCCGCAGAAGTGGATGCCTTTTTTTGTAAAGACTTAAGTCTATAGTTTGGAGCAGTCAAGCAGTATCTATCAGGCGGTAATCTAGGGCCAGAATATGGCTTGATCAATGGCAAAGGGGTCTGATTTCTTTGCCTTGCAATATCCAATAAAAAATCTCTCGGGGGAGGAGAGGTAAAAGACTGGTCAGCACGACATTGGATTGCCAATCGCACATCATCTGCATCAACAGTAGCTTTCTTAGCATGACTTGAATAGATTTTTGCATCATCTAAAATTGTAGTCACATATCGGAAGGCAAACTCCAACATCTGATTTATAACTCTCGGTTCATATTCTGTAATCCCCATATCCTTCAGGATTTGTGCCATCATCTGTGCATCTTTCGGCATGCTCTTGGGAGAAGCCATCTTGCCAGTCTCCATGATATCCGGTGATCAGACTTTAGATCATTTGAAAAAAATACGTACATTAGATCAAACCTAAAATAGTTACTTCAGCAGCAACTGTCAGGAACTGATATGTCAAAAATTTAAAACACATGCAAAATATTTGAAATTTTTATGAGGCACGCTTGAAAGTTCTCTCTACACTTCCTCAACTTTTACTTCATGCAAATCGTTGTAGAAAAAAAGGTGAAGATGACAATAAGGACTTGGGTGAAAAAGGAGTAAAATAAGTAAAAATTAATCATTTAAAAAATATGCAGTTTTGTGCAGGCATGCAACTATGAAACTAATTTAAGGTATCAAACGGACAGTCTGAGTTCAAAATAATCTAACCTGGGGCTGGGGATGTAGGAGTACATGTCAACCACACACGAGTTAAGACCCCGTACTTGCTCCCTGGCACCATAAAACCAAACCAAACCAATAAACACACTAACTCTCCACGCCCCCCATCCCAGTCCCTGGTAACCACCACGGAAACACTCACCTTTCCGTAACTGTATCTTATGACTCCCCCAAATCTTAATGCTAGTGAGCGACCTCATTCAAAACCTTTTCCCTCCTCCCTAGTCACATTCTAGCTGACCTAAGTCTAATCTCTTCAGAGCAGTCGTGCTCCCAGTGATTACTGTCCAGAGGAACTGCTAGTCTAACATGGGGCTAGAGGGGATCAGGTCACATCCAGAACGAACAGGACACACAACTAGACACCATATTTCTATTTCTGAGCCCCCCAAGAAAGCATCAATTCCTTCATAATCATCTTTCCTGTTTTTCTCCCCTCTCACAACACCAACTCTCTACAATACTTTTTCTTCAGAAAGAGAAAATCTAAACCAATGTGTCCCTTACCTTCTCGAGCTAAATCACCCACATTAACGTATTTCAGTCCTGCTCTTGATGCAAGTTCTTTGCCCAGCGTGGTTTTTCCAACACCCGGAGTACCTGTAGACAAACCACAAAGACACTGTACGTGAAATACTTATTGCATACGTTGGCTATCTACCTATCCTGACGGGTCTTAACTGAAACGAAGTTTCCGAATTAGTAATCCCACAAGAAAACACCCTGTGATTCAATCAAAACTACCCAAAGCCTCTTAGATCCCAGGATCTCACCTACCCTACCTGACGCTACCAGAAGCAGGGTTTGAGCAACTCCAACTGGCTCGCAGCACCCTGAAAATACCCAGAAGAAACTAGCAACCCCCAGTACAGTGCAATTGGGGGAAGATTAGGGAGGGGAGGGGGAAGCCAAGCAGAAAAATCCCATTACCAACACTGAAACTCGCCCCCACATTCTACCCTAGAGACCACCGCGAACAGTTGAGCGCGCTCTCCCGCGTCTGGGCACAGACGTTCTCCTTAGACAAACAGTAACAGCAATGCTGCTCTGTCGTTCCGCCCCTCCCTTCTCCTTACCCACAGCAGTTCCAGCCAATTAAACGCAGAACCTGCAGCAGGTTAAGGCATCACCAGGAGAGACCACCGGGATCGACCACAGGACGGTCACGCTCACCCAAGCCCGCGTCCTCCCACGCCACGCACGAACCCCCGGAGACGACACCCTCCCCTGCACGAGTCTCCCCGGGCCCACCCGAACAGGCGCTCCGGTTCCGCTCTGCGCGAGCCCACGACCCCCCCCCCTCCCCGACCCCCGTCGTCCTTTCCCGGCCGGGCCCGTGGGAGGCGCGCGGGAGACGCGCCCGGGGACGCGGGTCCTCGCGACGCTGCCCGTTCGCGGGCGCCGAGGTGGACGCCCCGCGCCGGGGACCCGGACTCACGGACGTGTCCGGCTCCCGCGGTGCCCGGGGGTCCCGGAACACGGCCCCGCGGCGCCCCAGCGAAAGCTCCGGGACCGTCTTTCCTCCGTCAAAACAAAAAATTTTAAATAAGCCGACGACAAACACAAGAAAGGAAGAGCCTCTGGGGCGCCCTCGGCCTCCGTCCACAGGCGCGGGCCGCGGCGCCGATCCGAGCGGGCGCGCCGAGGAGACCAGGAGGAAACGGAAAGCGGCGTCGCGGGCGGCGGCTCGGCGGGGGCAGAGCCCGAGCGAGACGCGCCGAGGAAAGGCGCCGCGCAGGCCGTCACGGGGCCGGGGCCGGCGGGCGAGGAGCTCGGGGCCGCCGCGCCGCGCGTTACCTGCTCGCCGCCGCCCGAGCCGCCGCGGCCCTCAGCGTCCCGGACCGGCCCGTCGCGGCCCCTCCCCCCCGGGCGCGCGCGCGCACGCGGGCGCCGTCCGGAGGCGCAGCCGCTCTCGCCCCGCCACGCGGGCCCGCGCGGAAACGCAGTCGGCCGCCCCGCCCGCCCCCACCGCCCCGGAAAGCGAGCCCGACGCCGCGGCGGGGCTCAGGCGTCCCGGCCGGCCCTCGCCGGCCCCTCCCCGCCGCGCGCCCTGACCCGTGAGCAGGATGTTCGGCAGCTGCATGGTCCTCGCCGCGGCAGCTCCGGGAGCAGCGGGCTGGGGGCGGAGCGTTCGCGCGCGCGACGCGCACGGGGAGGAGGCGGATGGGGCGGGCCGCTGCGAACGCCCGCGCCGCCTCCGGGGGCCTCGACGCCAAGCGCCGCGCGAGGCCACCCGCCTCCTCGGCCCCGGCCGGGCGCTCACCGCGCGCCTCGCCCCACGCTCGCGCCGCGGGGGCTGAGGCGGGCGCCCCGGGCCCGGTGTGCGTCCGGCGCAGGCGGCGCGCGGGAGGCCTAAGTCGCCCGCTCGGGGGCGGCCCCGCCCTTCAGCGGCGTCGCACGTGCGCCGGCCGCTGAGGAAGGACCCCGGGAGGCGGGGCCTGCGAGCGGCTCTGCTGGGAGCCCGGGTCGGGCTCTGCGGCGCTGCCCTTCCAGCTGCAGCTGGGCCTGGACGCCGCCGCGCCCCTGCCCGCGAGGGGATGCGGCTCCCGGAACGTAAGGCGGCCGCGCTCGTGGCGTGTGTGTGTGTGTGTGTGTGTGTGTGTGTGTGTGTGTGTGTGTGTGTGTGTGTGCGTGCGTGTGTGCCGGACGCCCGGGGCCGCCGCTGCCTTCAAGCCTTCCCGGGCTCCCGAGGCTCCGCCCCCCGACGAGCCCCTCCCTTCCAGGGGTGAGAGGGGCGGGGGTGCAGGGCGCCGGCCGGGGGCCCGGGGCTCGCGAGCTCCGCTGGGCGCTTCGCTGGTTGCAGCATTGCTGCTTTTGCACGCGCGTTTGAACCTCTTGTCGCCAGTGTAGCGCGTTGGGCGGGGGTGATTCGGCTGGACAATTTTTTGAAATCTCTCCTCCCTCTGACGTCTCGTTTCAGGAACCTGGAGTCATCAGTGCCGGTTATCTGTTGGGTTTTTTTTTGTTTTTTTTTTTACCCAAAGGAGGTAATTATTAATCTTGTTTCCGAAAAGCGGCTGGAGACTGGGTGAATTGTAACAACGTTCTAGGTCTGTTACTGTGATTGGCCACCTATATTCGCTCAAATACATGTTGTTCCCACCTGCCTACCTCTTTGAAATTCCAAAGGGGAGGGGAGAAAACCCAGGACTGAACGATTTGTGTGTGTGCCTATGATTTATTTTCTAAGAAAGTATGCGTAACTTTTCTAATTGTCTAATATTCACCCGTTGTAATTGTTTTCTCGAACTTCTCATGAGTTAAATACTTATGCCTTCCAATTCCTAGATATTTAGACATTGAAATTTTTGCTTTCTCCAAATTGGTTGAATTCAGTACTTGTTTGTCAGTAAATATTGATAGATCAGTGAAATCGGAGAAGGATGTTGCCAAAAACTGTAGCAGTATAGGAGTCGGAGATGAGGCTCAGTAAAAGAGCCCTGGCATAGTATTTATTTTCTATCTGGTTTCCATCTCTGATACCACAAAAATAATAGGAAATAGTTAAAAACTATATCAGAAAAATTTAGAATCAATCCTCCGAAGCTAATGACAGGTCTGAGTTCATTCTTTGAGGGAATTTGGGAATAAAAATAATTGCTACTGTAATTTGAAATGAGGACATTTTAATTTTCAGTATGAAATCTGTGCTAATACAATTAATTTTCCTTAATGACGAAGGGTAGGTGCACAAATACGTCTTTTTTTTCCTCTTCTATATTCTCTAATGCCGCTGAGAGTTTTTTTGTTTGTGTTTGTTTGCTGGTTTTGGACCATGCTCAGCAGTGTCAGGGCTTATTCCTGGCTATTTGCTCAGGGGACTATAAGTCACTGTGGATTGAAGGTGGTTGGCTCTATGCAAGGCAAGCACCCTACCCACTATACTGTTGCTCTGGTCCCTATACCATTGAGTTTTGATTTAAACAAACAGAAAAAGCCTAAACAGATTGAGCTCATGCTTTGCATGCAGGAGACCCAGACTGGATTCCCCATAAGGTTTTCTGAGCCCTGTCAGTAGCTGTTCTTGATCCCAGAGTAGTGCCTGAGGGCTACAGTGTGTGATCCAGAATCCAAACAATAGCAAAGAGAAACATTCATCTATAGTACTGCAAATAATATGACAGTTGCAGTCATTAGAAGTTAAATTTCCTTTAGCATTTTGATTTTTTTATCTTTTTTTTATTAGTGAAACACCATGACATAAATTTTTGTTACAGACATAAATTTTTGTGCTTGGGTTTCAGTTATACTCAAGTACCCATCCTCCCCCACCACGGGTCCTAGCATCCCCACCCCCCCACCCCCCTGGCAGGGTATTCCCCCTTGTTCTCTCTCTCTTCTTTTGGGTACTGTGTTTTGCAAGAGAGGCATTGAGTGGCAATCATGTTTGGTCTATAGACTACTTTTAGCATGTCTCTCCCACCCTGGGAGGGTCCTCACAACACCCTTTGGTGCTCTCTTCTCTATCTGAGCTTCCTTTTCACCTAGCACGTGTGGCTGGCCTTCAAGTTATGGAGCAAAATTTCTGGTACTAATCTCAGCCATTCCTGGGTGTTAGTCTCCCGTTTTGTTGCTTTATGTTCCCCAGATGAATGCAATCTTTCTATGTCTATCCCTCTCTTTCTGACTCATTTCGCTTAGCATGATACTTTCCATGTTGTACCACTTGTATGTGAATTTCATGACTTCATCTTTTCTAACAGCTACATAGTACTCCATTGTGTAAATGTACCAAAGTTTCTTTAACCAGTCATCTGTTCTTGGGCACTCAGGTTTTTTCCAGATTCTGGCTGTTGTAAAGAGTGCTAGCATTTTGATTTTTGCTTCATTTTGTTTGCTATTTTCTTATATTCTTGAGCCTTACGCTATTGATAACTGGTGTACATCAATTGCCATACTCTGTTTAGTTTTAATTTGAAATTTTCTTCTTTTTGCCCTAGGAGAATTATACTTTAATGTAATATAGGTTGTATACTATGGATGGGAACTGTTAAAGTTTATGATGTCAGAAACTTCTCTTAGACCAAAGCTGTCTTCTACAAAGGTATGATACATTCAAATGGTCATATAATAATTGCCTAAAAGGAGCTATAAACCCTCACATGTTCTTAATGATTTCTTAGTGCTGTCGAACTAATTATTTCTAGTCTCTGTTATGGTTGATCTTAAACTGTCTAATAAAGGGCCAGACTGATAGTGTAGCAAGTAGGGTGCTTACCTTGCCTGCAGCCCACCTGCCTACCGGCTTTAATCTGTAGTGCCGCATACTGTTTCTGAGCCCCGCCAGGAGTGATCCTTGAGCACCACTGGGTGTGGTGCACTGTCTCTTCCCAGTTCCCCCCCCCCACACACACCCACTCACCAAAAACAGATACCTAAGAAATTGCGAAACACTTGTATACTGCCAGCACATCCTTCACTTTGGAAGATTATTTGCGTTTCCAGTTTCAGTGTTGAAATAAATGAAAGCAGAGAAATGAAAAAGGACAAATACATGATTTGGACCTGGTGTTGGAACCCAGTTCTTAGCAAAGCTAAAGCAGTAGAATAGGGTGGTCGTCGGCCAGTGCTGGGTGTGACTCCTGACTCTGCTCAGAGATCATTCCTGCAGGGCTTAGGAGACCATATGCGGTGTTGGGGGATCAAACAGGTTGGCTGTTTGCAAGTGTTTTACCCATTGTATTAGATTTTTTGGCCCCTATGTTTACATCTATGTTTATATATTACTAATTGAGTTTTGCAGTTAACTCAGAGTCCAGATTTTTGTAAAAAAATTTTTTTGAATGTTTAAAATGCAGATCAAAATTGCTATAGAAGGTTTAGTATAATAGATAATTTTTATGTATTGTTGAAAATAGAGGGAAAAGACTAAATGAGTTTTATTGATTGCTGTCTTTTGAAGAGAAAGAAATGAATAAGGTGGATATAATTTAATGTGTTCCCAGTTGTCTTTATTTCTCTTTCCACTGCTAATAATAATTTTCATCCTCTGTCCTTTAAAAGAGATGGACCCAGGGAGATAGCTGCTAAGGCTGGAGTGTGTGCTTTGAATACTGGGACTCCTAGTTGGATACTTGACACCACAAGCATCCCTGGATTAGTCGCTCCAGCACTGCCAGTTGTGACCAGAAAACCACAAGAAGGGAGGGAAGGAGGGAGAGAGGGGAAGAGAAGGAGATAGGGAAGAGAGAGAGGAGCGAGAAGAGGTACAGAGAGGAAGAGAGAGAGCTAACTTGCTTCTTCCAAGCCTCTTTTTTTAGCTCTGGGTTCTTTTTCTTCCAAAGAGAAGCACTGCACTGCACTGTCCTCCCTTGTTCATCAATTTGCTCAAGCAGGCACCAGTAATATCTCACAACAAATTGTGAGACTTGTTACTGTGTTTGGCATATCAAATACATCACGGGGAGCTTGCCAGGTTTTGCCGTGTGGGCAAGATACTCTTGGTAGCTTGCCGGGCTCTCCGAGAGGGGTGGAGGAATCGCACAGGGGTCAGCCATGTCGGCTGTGTGCAAGGCAAATGCCTTACCTGCTGTGCTATCGCTCCAGCCCCCAAAGAGGAACATTTTTAAATAAATTCTCATAGTTACCGATGAATTTTTATTTTATTTTTTTTGGGGGGGGGAGTCACACCTGGCAGTGCACAGGAGTTACTCCTGGTGGTGCTCAGGGTACCATGTGGGATGCTGGGAATCGAACCCAGGTCGGCCACGTGCAAGGCAAACACCCTCCCCGCTGTGCTGTCGCTCCAGCCCCTAGGTGAATATTTTTACAGGGAAATAGGATCTTGTTTCTCTTTGTTAACCAGGCAAGAAATTTCCCAAGCCCAAGAATTAATGTAGATTTTTGTAGATTTTTTTTTTTTTTTTGGTATTGGGGTGGATTTGGGGCCACACCTGTCTGGTGTTCAGGGGCTTTGTGGTTTTGCTCAGGAACTACTCCTCGCTGATCTGGGGGTGTGCAGACACAACCTGTATGTGATGCTAAGAACCTGATTGACCGCATGCAAAACAAGGGCCTTAATCCCTGTACTGTCGGTCTGAACTTAACTGCTAAAACCGTAAGAAAATGCATCTTAAAGCTGAAGAGAGAGTACAGGCGTAAAGAAACTTGCCTTGCATGTGCCTGTTTAGTCCTGAGCACAGAGCCAGCACTGGCTTCTAAACACTGCCAGATGAAGAAAATTTATTTTTAAAAAATTCTCGTCATTGGGGCTGGAGATGTAGCTCAGCAGAAGAACACATGCATTGCTCAGGGACCATATGGGATGCTGGGGATCGAACTGGGTCGTCCACATGCAAACAGGTGCTTTACCCACTCTATTATCTCTCTGGCCTTGAGACCCTGGGTTTCATTCCAAGCATCATATAACACTCTGACCCAGTATTAGAATTCTCACATCTTTACAAAGTCTTAAAAATTAGAGGATTTACTCAGATATGTAGGAAATGCTTCTTAGATTATAAATGTATTAACCTGGTCAAGGTAGGGGTTTTACTTTTTTTAGTATGTGGCTAGCTGATATTTTATGTATTGGTTTTGCTTTCTTGAGGGCAGATAATCTGATACTTATAATTTATTACAATAGATGAGTTTTTTTTTTCTTTTTCTTTCTGGGTCACACCTGGTGATGCTCAGGGGTTACTCCTGGCAGTGCTCGGGGAACCATATGAGATGCTAGGAATCAAACTTGGGTCTGCCGCCTGCAAGGCAAACGCCCTGCCCTCTGTGCTATTGCTCCAGCCCCTCCAACAGATGAGGTTTTTGGGGGTTTTGTGTGTGTGTGTGTGTGTGTGTGTGTGTGTGTGTGTGTGCGTGCGTGCTGCCGAGGTCTCCCTCAAGCACGGGTGTCAAGGACTCTTGAGAGTTGTAGTCATCTCCAATAGATGAGTTTTTAACAGAATGATTTTACTTGGGAAGATTGCAATTATTTAAAAGAATTAAGTTTGTATTCTATATTTCTTTACATGGCATTTACCATTACTCTGGTCAGATGGATTTCCGAGTTTTTTATTTTAAATATTGCAAATATATTTAATGAGCAGGGAGCTGAGTTAGGTCTCCAGCACCTTATGATCCCCCAAAGCACCACTGTGGGAATAGTCCCCCTCACAACAGCAATGAAGATACCTGAGGATGGGTTATGCTCTAGGCAAATAGTTTAGGTCATAGAATGCAAAGGATTTGCAAATGTGCACCTAGGAGAGAATAGATGACATATCTGCTAGCTACAAATGCCAGACAAGTATAGAATAAGAATGTTTCGGATCTTTTCAGATGGAGGGGCAGGATGGGCAAAAATAGAACAGGAAGGGTGCCTGCTGCTTAACTAGGTGAAGTATGCCCCAGTCTCTGTTCTTTACCTGTTGAATGTTGGTGTCCTAACTAACTGTCCTTAATGTCTCTGTGAACTTAAAACCCAGGCTTACCTCTTGGGAGCTGTGGGGTGGTCGGCTTATATTGAATATTGTATTGAATAAATGGCCTGCCTTGCTATGAGCTCAATGATGGCTTTTAGGTGACTTAAAGCTTGGATAGTCTGTGTGTGTTTGTCTCCGTATGTTTGTTTCATTCTCTGTGATTTTTTTTTTTTTGGGACGGCAGTTGAAGGTGCCAATCTGATTGGCATTAGACACCACTAGAAACATCCCCTGAGCACAGAGCCAGGAATTGGCTCCAAAGCACTGCCAGTATGGCCCCAAAACCTAAGATACTGCAAATGAAAGAATTTATTCTTATAGAGTACAATATATAAAAGTAATTCATTAATGTTGGGAGTAAATACAAAAAAATAAAATGTTATTTCCATGTTTGTTTTTCAGGTAACAGATTGGGTAGATCCATCATTTGATGATTTTTCGGTGAATGCAAGTCTCTCTACCATCATTACCACATCAGTTGGTGTGAATAACTCAAATCGTAGAAGAAAAAATTTTCCTTCCACATTAAGAAATGGTAGATGTCCACCTGGAAAAAGAGGAAAATTATCTTCCTCAGAACAGACTTTTCTAGAAAATTCAAAAGAGTGCCTACCTGACAATGAACCATGGGTGGATAAATACAGACCAGAAACTCAGGTATTCAATACCATGTAAATGAATCTACATAATTTGATTTCAGGGAGAAGGATGTGTGTTCTCAGATTATTACTCGTAAAAATCAGTCTAAAGGACAAAACCCAAATCATTTAGGTCCTCCCTAACCCCCACTCAGATTTTTTCTATAGTTATTCTAAGTCTATGCCATTAGCCATTAGTTATCTGTCTTGGTTTAATTTAACCCCCAAAGAAAATTGTTCTGTTTATTTTTGTAATTTCAGTGCCTGATCAAATAAGTACCTTCTCCAGATATATTTTTTTAAAAAAGGCTGGGGCGGGGGGGGACTGGAAAGATTGTACAGGGGTTAAGGCACTTGCCTTGCATCTGGCCAATTCCATTTTGATACCCAGCACCATATTTGGTCTCCCTACTACTGCCAGGAGTGATCCCTGAGCACAAAGCCAAGAGTTAAGCTCTTAACAGAGCTGGGTGTGCCCCAAACATTCCTGCCCCCCCGCCCATTTTTTTTAATTAAAAATTTATGATTGGGAATCTGTCCAAATTTTCATGTTAACTTAATGATAAAATTTTTCCTGACCAATATTAAGTAATTCGGGGGCGGTTGCTGGAGCAAGAGCACAGTGGGTAAGGCGTTTACCTTGCATGCGGCCAACCGGGGTTCGATTCCCAGCATCCTATATGGTCCCCTGAGCACTGCCAGGAGTAATTGCTGAGTGTAGAGCTGGGAGTAACCCCTGTGCATCGCTGGTTGGGTCCCAAAAAGGAAAAAAAAAAGAAATTAGGGGGTTGGGCTATAGTACAGAGGGTAAGGTGTTTTCTTTGCACCCGGCCAGCCTGGGTTCAATTCCCAGCATCCCATACGGTCCCCCAAGCACTGCCAGAACTAATTCCTGATTGCAGAGCCAGGAGTAACCACTGTGCATCTCCGGGTGTAACACAAAAAGAAAAAAAAATAGTATAATCAGAAGGACTTTTAAAATTATAGTTCATATTTTTACCTAACATATTTTATGTTAGTTTTTGCTGATTCACCAGAAGTTCTTGGGTTAATATGTTTTATTTTAATCTTGAATTGTTTAGCATGAACTTGCTGTGCATAAAAAGAAAATCGAAGAAGTTGAAAATTGGTTAAAAACTGAAATCTTGGAAAGGCACCTCAAACAGGTAACTGAATTGATGTATTTTAAGATGTTTACTATCAAATGTTACAATTATACTGTAAAAATTTAAAGTTAAACCTCTACAAAGAAAGAAGAAACTTTTTTTATTTGTATTTTTCCTTTTCAAATCTTATCAACATAAAACACAATAAGTCAGTTAGGGAGTTAGTGTATTTACATTAGCTTATCTCAAATCGAAACAAGCAGGCAAATTACATGGTAGTTTTTGAACTAAATGTGTCCTAAAGCAGTCATCATTGGTTTTCTTTCACTTTCTGATTCTACAGTTACCTTTAGCCCACAGGGTAGAATATTCTTTCTCTTTAAACTTTTATTTTGAGATCCTTTGAACATAATGGGAAGAAAGAATACTAAATGAATATTTATAGATTCATAAGATTGTCTTTTTTTGGGGGGGGCTCACACCCAACGATGCACAGGGGTTTACTTCTGGCTCTGCACTCAGGAATTACTTCTGGCAGTGCTCGGGGGACCATATGGGATGCTGGGAATCCCGGGTTGGCCGCATGCAAGGCACATGCCCTACCCGCTGTGTTATCACTCCAACCCTCATAAGATCTTCTTTACATCCTCCCCCTCCCAGTTAAGTATCTGAAAATAAATGTGTTTTTGTCAGACTTGAAGAGTGTTTGATACACTTTGCTTACCTTTTTGTTGTTGTGTGATTAAGTCTTAACTGCACTTGTTCATGGTCCCTGCAAAAATCTCCCTAACAGTGGTAATCACTTTCTGGTTATGTTCTTGCACATTTTGGTTATGATGCTCACCAGCACGGTTCCACAGGTGATAAGGGCAAATCTGGCAACACTGCTTCTGGAATCACAGGGACCCAACAAAGATCATTGTGTGGGTGAAGGGTAAATGTGGAAAACCAGTGGTGACAAAAATATATATATTTACACACACATACACATACACACACACACACAATCCTCCAAAGAGAGGTTTGTTAATTAAGATTAAATTTTAAGTGGTTTTTTTTTTTGTTTTTTTTTTTTTGTTTTTTGTTTTGCTTTTTGGGTCACACCCAGTGATGCACAGGGATTACTCCTGGTTCATGCACTCAGGAATTACTCCTGGCCATGCTTGGGGGACCATATGGGATGCTGGGAATTAAACCCGGGTCAGGCCATATGTAAGGCAAACGCCCTACCTGCTGTGTTATCACTCCAACCCCAAATTTTAAGGTTTTGTTTTTTTTTCTTTTTGGGTCACACCCAACGATGCACTGGGGTTACTCCTGGCTCTGCACTCAGGAATCACTCCTGGCGGTGATCAGAGACCATGTGGGATGCTGGGAATCGAACCTGGGGCGGCTGCGTGCAAGGCAAACACTCTACCCGCTGTGCTATCGCTCCAGCCCCATTAAGTTTTAAAAAATAAATTTTATAAGTTTATGTAACCTATAAAAATCTACTTGTTTCAAATGCTTTCTTTTTTTAAGCTTTTCTGTCTGTAAGTAGTCCTCTGGAGAGATAAAATACAAAAATTGAGAATTTACAGTTCATGAAATAAATTGTTCTTATTTTATCTAAAGCTGGATTGCAACATTGTTAAATTTAGGTTGCTTATAAGAGATATTCGGTTTAGGAAGAAAGTTCAGGTACAGTATTAGAGCATTTTGATTACTTTCTGGAGGAAGGGGGTGGGGGCTGTTGTGGTTCTACCTGGCAGTGCTTTGGGCTTGTTCTGGCTCTGTGCCCAGAGATCATTTTTGTCAGTGCTAAGAGGACCACATGGGGTACTGGGGATTGAACTGGGGTCAGCCATTTACAGTGCAAGTGTTTTTACTGCTCTGGTATTTCTCCCATCCACTTCTTTGATTTTTGACTATGTGTTTGGTTGCAGCGTGGCTCTATTTTATTAGTAACGGGTCCTCCTGGATGTGGAAAAACAGCCACTATAAAAATACTCTCAAAGGAGTATGGTATTCAAGTTCAAGAATGGATTAATCCAGTTTTACCAGACTTCCAAAAAGATGATTTCAATGAGATGTTTAATCCTGGTAAGGTTTTGTGTGAAAATGGTAGGAATAGTGGGAGAAGTCTGTGTCGTGGTGGTTAACACATAGACATCTTGTCTCTATCCTTAAGGTTCTTGAATTCTTGTTGGATATAATTTTTTAAGATGTCAGTCTTTTTTTTCAGGGGTCCACACTTGGCTCTTTTCAGTACAAAGGGTGGGGAGGGAGGCTGACCATGAGATGCTGGGTATTAAACCCAGGACCCCCACATGCAAAGCATGTACTCTCGCCCTTGGAGCCATCTCCCTGGCTGAGAGGAAGGTACATATTGCCACTCCTTTTCTTGGTTGACCTCCAGTTGCTATATCAAGTCAGAGTCATGATCTAATGAAATTTACTTGAAAGCATTTCTTCCTCTTCCTGAAAATTTTCAGTTGTAGTAGGAGGAAGAAAATGGTGTCCCTAGTAGAGAGTATATGATTCTTTGAGTATCAAGTTTTGTTCCTCAACTGTTTTGTTAGATTAAAAACCTTATTTGCACTGTTCATACACTTTTTTTCTGACTCTGCTTCGGAAGTCAGTAAATAAAATCTTTTAACTGTAAATCAAAAAGTAAGGCAAAGGCTCTCTTTGGAAATAGACGACCTTCCAGACAAAGATCCAGAGCCCAGAGAGATATTAAAGTGCTTTCCTTGCATTTAGCCAACCCTCATTGGATTCCTGGTACCACATTTGGTCCCCTGAGCACATACCAAAGAGCCCTGAGAATTAACCAGGTTTGGTCGCAATACTCCTGACCCTCAACAAAAAGATACAGTAGCAATAATGGTAACAATTCAAAGATGTAAACTGGGGAACTAAACATACATGCTTATTATATTAATTCAATGCAGTCATGTGTGTGTGTGTGTGTGCGCACACGCGCGTCTGTGTGTCCCTGTCCGTGTCTCCCAAGCATATTTGCTTATTAATGCTTATTATATTACTTCAATGCAGTCTCGTGTGTGTGTGTGTGTGTGTGTGTGTGTGTGTGTGTGTGTGTGTGTTCCTGTCTCCCAAGCATACATGCTTATTACTTCAATTCTGTCTTTTTGGGTGTATGTGTGTGTGCGTATGTGTCTCCCAAGCATACATGCTTATTATATTACTTCAGTGCAGTCTTTTTTGGGGGATGGGGGTTGGGTGTCTGTCTCCCAAGCAATGCCTAAGACATCCAGGGGCCACTTGGCCAGCTGGTGGCCTGCGGGTCAGTTTTAGGGCTAAGAATACATTGCTACTTGGGCTTTGTGCCTTATGGCCATACTTGGTGATGGATGAAAGACCCTGTGTTACTGGGTTAGAAACCAGCTCGGCCCTCAGTCATTTTTAACTGCCTGTTTTATTATTACTCTAGGTAATTAACCAGGGCAGGTAGAATCTTCTGGCTACTCCGACTTTTGCTTTTGTTATTTCCCATTTGGCAGCCAAACTGGCAGTGCTCCGGGGCTGCTCCACGCTCTGCTCTCAGTCGCTCCCAGCAGTGTCAGGAACCAGACCTGGGCCCATTATATCCAAAGCATGCACTAATCCCTTTGAGCTTCCTCTCTGGAAGCTTCCTCTCTTAAGACAGGCAGGAGTAACAGTTTCTCTCGGAAGACAGTTTTATTTAATGATTTTCCATCTCACCCCCAAGCCCTTCCCTTCATTGTTCTTGATGTTGCTATTGGGCTGACACATACTCGGCTGTGGTGTCCAGTGGGACTTGCACACTTGGTTTTGGTACATGCTGAGGTTTGGTGCCCTTCAGCTGCAGAGCTAAGACATCAGTTTGCCAAGGGTTGCGTTCTTTAGTGGAAATACACCTGCTGCAGGGGCTAGAGTGATGGTGGATAGTGCCGCAAGCACCGCCAGGAGTAATTCCTGAGTGCATGAGCCAGGAGTAACCCCTGAGCGTCGCCGGGTGTGACCCAAAAAGAAAAAAAAAAGAACACCTGCTACACTTGTTCTGGGGATCATGGGAATTGTTGCAGAGTCCACACATCACATGTGCATGGCCAGAGTTCGTACTTTCCATCACACTTTTTGGTGGGGAGCGTGGGCCAGAGGGTTGTGGCATCATATCCAGCTTTTCTCAAAGCTAGCTGCTGGTCCTGTGCTAAGGGATCCCTCCTAGCAGTGCCAGGGACCAAAACAGGGTCAGCCACATAAACAACAAGTACCTTAGCTCCGATTCTCCCTCTCTGGCTCACGGTCACAGTTTTATTTTATTTTACTTGTGCCCACTGGGAACCAAGGTCCTTTGTAATAGTGCTTAGACATACCCCACTACAGTATGGCTAGAAATCACAAAACATGGTAATACTGTGTTTTGAATGTGATAGTAGGGCTGGAGCGATAGCACAGCGGTAGGGCATTTGCCTTACAAGCAGCCAACATGGCCAACCCAAGTTCGATTCCTCCGCCCCTCTCGGAGAGCCCGGCAAGCTACCGAGAGTATCTCGCCCGCATGGCAGAGCCTGGCAAGCTCCCCGTGATGTATTCAGTATGCCAAACACAGTAACAACAAGTCTCACGATGGAGATGTTACTGGGCCCGCTTGAGCAAATCGATGAACAACGGGAGGACCCTGACCGTGAATTTGGTAGCACCAGGGATTCAGACTTGCAACCATAATAGTTTTGATGATTTTAATCTTTAGGGTCGGGGAGGGGGTTGTCGGGGAGGAGAGGAGAGGAGAAGAGAGAGGAGAGAGGAGAGGAGAGAGAGTAGGGCCACACCTGGACGTTTAGGCTGCTGATACTCTGGCAGTTATTGGCAACCATATGAATACTGAACTGGGATCAGACGCATGCCTCAAGTCCTGCACTATCCCTCTGGTCCTGAAGGTTTTACTTTAATATAGAGTATTCCTCAGAGTCCAATCAGTAGGCTCAATGCTCCCATTGCTTGTGTTTGTGCACGTATGTAAGTTTTGGGGCCACACCTGGCAGTGCTTGGTGCTTATTTTTGGCTTTGCACGCAGAAATCACTCTTCTTGATGGGACTTGGACCATATGGGACGCTGGGCTCAAACCCGGGTTAGCTGCGTTTAAGGCAAGCACCCTACCTCTCGTACTATTTCTCCAGCTCCAGCTTATGCTCTGTTGAGTGTATAACTTATGGTTCTCCGATCCTTTGCTCTTCAAGAATATTTACTACTTTCAGCAGTCACTTTTGACAGTATAGCAAGTCTATTTGTAAGTAGTCTTTTATATAAAACATTTCTTCATATAAAACTCCCCAAGCCAGGGAGAGCTCAGTGTTAGGGGGTGCATTTATTATGCTTACTCTTGACTCCAAAGCATCTCTAGGAGTGGTCCTGGTTGTCAGTATTATTCATGTACTCCCAACTGCCCTATGTCACCAAACCTAAGCATTAAGCCATCTGATTTGGCTGGCCAAATATCCCCTGGGCCCCTTGAGCATTGCTCAGTAGTGTGTGTGTGTGTGTGTGTGTGTGTGTGTGTGTGTGTGATATGTGTGATATATATTGTATACTTATAAATGCACACATAACTTTTCATGTTCTCATTAGTTCGCTAACTCATTTGTTTTTCACTTTTTGGGTCACACCCAGTGATGCTTAGGGGTTACCCCTGACTCTGCACTCAGGAATTACTCCTAGCAATGCTCAGGGGACCATATAGGATGCCAGGGATTGAACCCAGGTTGGCTGCATGCAAGACAAATGCCCTACCAGCTGTACTATTGCTTCAGCCCACTAACTCGTTTTTGATATTTAACGATTGTTGGAAATAATCATTTGTAATGTAACCCATTTGGAGAATTTCCATTCTGTAGACAGAACCTGAAAGATTTTTATCAGTTATATTACCATTGTACTGATAGTTGTGTCGCCTTATAATAGCTGAAGTCCTTTAGCACCATGTTAGATTATTGTTGTAGAGAATTTACTGTGGTCCATGGTGACTATTGTTTTTGCCAGTGACTGTCCTGAGGCCACAGAGGTAGCACAAGTGATAGAGCACAAGCCTGGCATGTACATAGACCTGCGTTCCATTCCACACATCACTATGAATGACCCCTATATTTAAAATAACTGAAAGTAATTTTATTTTAAGTTTGAACCATTTCTTGGTTTAGAAGACAATCTATAGTATTGTAAACTACTTCTCAAGTATGTAAATATTTATGTATTATGTATATTTTATGCATACATATATATAAAATTTGTGAAAATAAAAGTGTGAAATATCTTTCCTTTTAGAATCAAGCTTTCATATGTTTTCGTATCAGTCTCAGATAGCAGTTTTTAAAGAGTTTCTTCTAAGAGCAACCAAGTACAACAAACTACAAATGCTTGGAGATGACCTAAGAACTGAAAAGAAGATAATTCTGGTTGAAGTAAGAAAGACTTTTGAAATCCTGTTCTAATAATTGAGTAAAGAGTTGCATGATACATTATGTAATAATATCTTTTTCCATAGTATTAATAATGGCAAAATAAAATTTATGTATTTTTTACATTTTTGGGTCACACCCAGCAGTGCTCAGGGCTTACTCCTGGCTCTGCACTCAGGAATTACTCCCAGAGGTGCATGGGGGAACGAAATGGGATGTCGGGGATCGAACCTGGGTCTGCTGCATGAAAGGCAAACGCCTACCTGTTGTGCTATCACTCCAGCCCCATAAAATATCTTCGGTGGCAGAAATGTAAAATCTTTTTCAGTAAATTTGACAAGGCGAGATATAGTGAACTTTAAATTTTAATGGCTTAAGTACAACAGAATGAAGCAAATATTTTTAAAATGCTGTCTAAAATCCTATGTCATAGAGTGATTTAATAAAATTTGACCTGAAAATTTCAGCTTCCGCTGACACGTATTAACTATAACTATCAACTATTTAGTGTTTCCCTATAAGATTCTGGTTATAGTATATTATTTTGGTATGATTTTTTGTATTAATAAATATGAATGTCAAAATAAGTTTTTGTGGGACTAAAACTAAACTCATGTTTATCCTGTGTCTTTATTAGGATTTACCTAATCAGTTTTATCGAGATTCTCATACTTTACATGAAGTTCTAAGGTGAGTTTCAGTAAAAATTTTCTGAACCTCCCAATTAAATGTGAATTGCTTAAGTTTCAGTGCGACTTTGCTTTATTTTAGGAAGTATGTACAGATCGGTCGGTGTCCTCTAGTATTCATCATTTCTGACAGTGTGACTGGGGATAGTACTCAGAGGTTGCTGTTTCCCAAGGAAATACAAGAAGAGTGTAGTATTTCAAATATTAGGTAAAAAAGAAATTTTTGCTCTTAATTTTCACATATGAAGTATGTGTTTTAAATAGCAATTTTGGTGACATTCTTTGAAATTTTTACAGTTTCAATCCTGTGGCTCCAACAATTATGATGAAAGTTCTGAGTCGAATAATGACAAGAGAAACTAATAAGGTAAGTCTTCTTATAATTGATTCATTGGAATCTTGCATTTGCAATTATAGAAAGCCCGACTTAGTTTATGTATAATAGCTGAAATATTGTGTGGATATGGTCGATGGTGCTGAATCCTTTGCGGAACCTGGCTTGCTCGCATGGTTGTCCTTCATCTAGTGTTCTGCCAATCCTATTTAGGATGACTCGAGTGAACAACTTGTAGATGACAGACAATAGGCAGATCGGGCGATAGTTGCCAATGTCATGGATGTCTCCCTTCTTGAACAGTAGTACGGTCCTGCTGGTTTTCCATTGGGACGGAACCTTGCATTCAGACAGGTAGCGAGTGAAGAGCCGAGCCAGCTTATTGATGAGTACTGGTGGCGGGTTCTTCAGGTGTTCAGGTCTGACCTTGTCTGGGCCGGGTGCTTTACTGACAAAATGGCGTGTCGGATTTTGGAAGGGAGAACATCAGGAACGACATATCCATCCTGAGGAATTTGGTGTGTCGGCAAGTGGACATGGCTATCGAAGAGATTTGAGTAGAAGTCATGGATAATCTTCTCCATTGCCGTTCTGGAGGATTGATGGATCCATCAGGACGTCGGAGGGCAGTCATCTTGGTCTTGTAGTTGGCGAAGGACAGGCGGGCGTTACGAATACTTTTCCCAGCTTCTGCCGCATCTACCAGTACTTCTGCTCTTCTCTCTTTGAGGTCTTCTTTGATCGCATCTCTGCATTGCTTTGCGAGCTTGGAGGTTCGCTTGCGGTTGCATGAGGCATGCGCCAAACCACGTTGGCGAATAAGCTCAAGCTCATTGAGTTTTCTCGTGAGTTCAAGATGCCGCTCCGTCTAACGTTCATTGATTTAAAGAAGGCTTTTGATTCTGTTGAGACGGAAGCGGTCATGGAAGCCCTAGCCAATCAGGGCATTCAAGCCCAATACATCAGGATCCTCCGTGAGCTGTATTGCGGATTCACTACCAGGATCTCACCATTCTACAAAGAAGTGATCGTTGATGTCAAGAGAGGGGTGCGGCAGGGTGATACCATTTCACCGAAACTCTTCAGTGCCACCCTCGAGAGCATCATGCGAGGACTGGAATGGGAAGGAATGGGAGTGAAGATAGATGGTCGGCAACTACACCACCTCCGCTTTGCTGATGACATTGTTTTAATAACACCAAACATTAGCCAAGCAGCACAAATGCTGGCCGACTTCGAGCGTGAGTGTGGAAAGGTCAGTCTACAGCTGAATCTTACGAAGACAATGTTTATGAGAAACAGCCTTGTTCCTGATGCCCCATTCGCTCTCAACAGAACGACCATCTCCGAATGCAACAGCTTTGTGTACCTAGGTCGAGAAGTCAACATGACAAATGACCTGGCACCCGAGCTGCGCAGGAGGAAGAGAGTGGCTTGGAACAAGAGCCTCGAAGAAATAGCTAAGAGGACGAAGAACCTCCAGCTCCGGGCACATCTCTTTGATTCCTCTGTTTTTCCTGCATTAACATATGCCTCAGAGACCTGGGCCCTACGCAAACAAGATGAGAACGCCATTCAGGTCTCCCAAAGAAGAATTGAAAGAGCTATGCTTGGAATATCACATTTCACTCAAATGAGAGAAAGAATCCGGAGTTCCGACATCGTCGACGATCAAGAATCAGGGACGCTGTCTCATTTGCCAAGGTGTCAAAAATCAGATGGGCTGGTCACGTAATGAGATTTAAAGACGACCGTTGGACTAGAGCTGTTACCAAATGGATTCCACGGGATGTCAAAAGACCGCATGGCCGCCCACCTAGCAGATGGTCAGACTTCTTCATCAAGATCATGAACGATCAGTTTGAGGCCCCTCTTGTTCCTGGAGCGAACAGACGCCATTGGGCTACACTAGCACGCGACAGGGACAAATGGAGATGTTACTGGCGCCTGCTCGAGCAAATCGACGATTAACAGGAAGTCAAGTGATCAAGTGAAACTGAAATATGTAAGAAACTCGAGTTCCCATTGATAGGTGATTAAAGAAGATACAATGTATACAATAGAAGCTATTAAGCTGTTCAAGGGAGATGAAACTTCACTGTCTTTCAGCCAGATAGAAGGACCTTTTTTTGTTTGTTTTTGAACCACACTCATCGATGCTTAGGGCTTACTCCTGGCTCTGTGCTTAGGTATCACTCCTGGAAGGTGCACGGGACTTCATGGGGTGCCAGGGATTGAACCTGGGTCGGCCCCAGGCAGGACAAACACCCTACCCGCTGTACTATCGCTCCAGCCCCAAATAGAAACTTGAGGAAACTGCTAAGTAGAGTGAGTCAGAAGGACTAAAGACAGAACCAGGTGTGTGACTCAGTGCTTATATATGAGAGGCCTTGTATTCCATCCCCAGGGCTGAAAGGAAGTGGGGGCGGGGAGATGAAAAGATTTGTCTTTTGGATCTTTGATTTCACCTTTGTGTACAGTATAAGGATATAAAGTTGAGAGATTGGGCCCAGGGGATGGCTCATTGGTCAGGAAGCTCTTGCTTTGCATGCATGAGGCTGTGATTTCAATCTCAAGTGTAAGTATGTAGAGCATGGTTTACCAGCTCTGCTGTCTGGGATCCTTGATACCAAGTTAAGAGAGATCACTGAACCATCACATCCAAGGCTCCCGTCATATGTGACCCTCAGTCACGGCGCCAGCAGTGGAAAGAAGGAAAGGGGTGGGAGGATGTATGCAGACACAGAAATTGCATCAGCAAAACGAAATCAAACCACTGGACCTTGATGATCGAATAGAACTGAAGTTATGTGAGGAGTTAAAAAAAATAAGATATAATATTCCGGAGTGATAGTACAGCAGGTAGGGTGTTTGCCTTGCACGCAACCAAATTGGTTCAGTCTCTGGTTCAATCCCATATGGTCCTCTCAGCACTGCCAGGAGTGATGCCTGAGCAGTGTTGAGTATGACCCTAAAAGAAAAAATAAATAAATGTAGCCCCAAGTTGTTATTAAATGTCCCCTGTGCATGGAACCAGGAATAACCTAAAAACAAGACCAGAACAGAGCAAAAGTAGCAATGGGAACAAAACAGTAAGAAATGTCCTTGCTTAAAATATAATCAGATAGCGGTGATGGTGATAATGAAATATAAATCTCTGTAGATGTCCCTGAAGATAGATACCGAACAGAGATAAATACAGGAGTAGGTCATCTTAAGATTTAGAATAATTTATGAGTTAATGTTGAATGGGGGAACTCGTTCTTCAATACAATATTTATAAAATATGCAGGGGATTATTGAAAAAAAAACATTCTGAGTCACTGGAATGCTCTGAACTTACCTTTCTGTTGAACTGGGTCTCACAGGGCCTATAATCAAAAACAAAGTCTTTTGTTGACCTGATTAGTATAAATTATATCTTCTTTGTTTGGGGGCCATACCCAGTGGTGCTCTGGGCTTCCTCCTGGCTCTGTGCTCAGGGATCAGTCTCGGGGCCTCAATGGACCATACGGGGTCCTTGGGATTGAACCCAGTTCTACCATGTGCAAGGCAAGTGCCCTTCCCACTGAGCTATTGCTCCCGTCCCTATAAAGTATAGCTTGTCTAATCTTTTTGCTTGTTTTAAAATAGTATATGTGTATGGGAAAATCGTTTTGAAATAAAATACAGCAAAATCTTCCTTTTGGAAGCCAGTGGTAGAGCACATGCGTTGAAGCCTTGGGACCAGACCAAGACGTGCTGGGGCAGGCTTGCTGCAGCATGCTGCTGGGCATTCGCTGTATCCGTAGGCCTCCAGGTTGTGGCCTTTGTTTGTCTTCTGCATTTTGTTTTTGTGCCATATCTGGCATTGCATAGGGGGCTGTTCCTGACCCCATGCTTGGGGTCCTTCTCCTGGCGCTCAGGGGACCATGTGATACAGGGGATTGTATATGGGCCTCCCACATGTAAAGCATGTGCTACAGCCTTTATCTCCCATGGTCTTTTTTAAGGGCATGGGAGATAAAGCACTTACTCCTGACTCTGGGGTAAGCCCTCTGTGACTTCCTTTTTTTTTTTTTCAAAAAATTTTTAAAGAGTGTGTGTGTGTGTGTTTGCTCTGGAGTCACATTTCTGGCCCTTTTATTTCTTTATTTTGGGTCATAGGTGGGGAGGGCATACTCAGCTGCTCAGGGGACTATATGCAGTGCTGGGTTTCAAACCAGAGTCCCAGCTATAGCCGCATTCTAGGCAAGCACCGTGACCTTTACATTATCTCTCTCGCCCTAATTTTAAATGTAACTTCACTGTCGTTATGGTCTGAGGGTCTTACTAGGTCAGTGTCCGATATTAAACCTGGGCTTCCTCCAGGGAGGCAGTCACCCCGACTCTTTGAGCGATCCTCTCAGCCCCTATTATCAGTCAACTATTCTCTGGCCTCTTAAGTACATTAGTCATCATCAACCCAGTTTTGATGGCTGTTTCCTTTTTTATTTTATATTCTGATAAAAAACATAAAATTTATCATTTTTTTTTAGTGTGAGGTATAATTGACATGTAATGCCATGTAAGTTCAAAGTTTGTATATTGCAAAATGATTATCATCGAAGCCTTAGTTGATTCGATCCCCAGCACCCCAGATGGTTGCTCGAGTAGCACTAGGAGTGATTCCTGAGTGCAGTGCCAGGAGTAATCCCCGCGCATCACGAGGTATAATCCAAAAACAAACAAACAGAAAAAGGCATTAGTTAATACCTTCATCATCTCACATAATTACTTTCTTACTTTTTTATTTTTCACTCTGTAAGTTTTCCCTTAAACTATGTTAAGTCATTAACATTTGGATCCTTTACAGGCAGACTGATATTTAACATAGAGCTTTCTTAACAGTCACGTTTGTTTTATAGTTAAATTCTTAGATGCTTCCATTCACTTGTTGGGGATTAGGTCTTTTAGAAAACATTGTTTCCTTGTTTTAATTTTAATTTTCTAATTTTAGAATGGAGGTAAAATTATTGTCCCGGATAAAACATCTCTAGAATTGCTCTGTCAAGGATGTTCTGGTGATATCAGGAGTGCAATAAACAGTCTCCAGTTTTCTTCAAAAGGTAACTCTGGGAGGTGGGGATAGGACTCAGCAGTAGATTGTACTGCTTGTCTGAGGCCCTGGATCCCATCCCCAGCACTGCTCAAATAAAGTAACTGGGAGATACATTCTCATAGACTCACACATCTCGTAGAGATGACTTTTTAAAATCATGAAATGAAATGAAACATTTTTCACTTATAATTGATAGTTTCCTATTTTTGCTTAGTGTTTTTGAGACTCATACATTTACATTTATGTATCTACATATGTAAACATAAACCTTTGTGAGTATAAATATTCATACACATGATTCATCTCTGTGTTTTGGTTTGTTGGTTTGGAGTTAGGCTTCCTGATGAAAATCCTCTCTCTTAATGGTGATTTAGACATGATTTAGTCTTTCTATACCTCTATTTCTCACTTTTTTTTCTTTTAAGAGGGAAAAATAACACATAGCTTCTCCAGAGAAGGAGGGGAAACTCTAGAGTGCACATCTTAGGCAATTCTTCAAGGGATGCGGTGTGCCTAATTCTTCACTTTTTATATTAGAAATTAATGATTAAGTGAAAAGTAAGATAATACAAGGTTTATTACAATGTTTGACTCACATTAAGGATTTTATTTGGCCAACAGTTAAGGAATCTAATAGTATTCTAATATAAAAGATACGTTTACTCGAACTAGCTTCATAATTATATAAAGTTTCCATCTCCTGGTTGATATATTAAAATAGAGTGATAGCACAGTGGTAGGGCGTTTGCCTTGCGCGTGGCCGGCCCGGCCGAGCTGGGTTCAGTTCCTCCGCCCCTCTCGGAGAGCCTGGCAATCTACTGAGCATCTCGCCAGCGCGGCAAAGCCTGGCTAGCTACCCGTGATGTACTCGATATGCCAAACAGAGTAACGACAAGTCTCACAATGGAGACGTTACTGGGCCTGCTCGAGCAAATCGATGAACAATGGGGAGAGAGTGCTACAGTGCATATATGTACTAAAGACAGCCCTTTAAAGACAATTACATTTTTACTCTAATAATTATAGTTTACTGCACAATCCTCATCAGAAAAAAATTCAACAAGTGACTTCATTGACAGTAAGAATTGATATTAAAAAATTAAAAACGACCTCTGGAGCGCTCAAAATTCTAGTTGCTGCCTGTTCATCTTTGTTGAGAAAAATAGCTCCCAACAAATAGGTAGCCTAACCCCACTGAAGTCAGAATTTTGCTTATTGCCGTAGAAGCATGAGTCTAAACAGTGCAGACTTTCACAGCTGGAATGAGCAGTTCCCATATGGACCAGTGACAGTCTTAGGGCCATTCCCAGCACTGTGCCCAGAAGCCGTTCTAGGAGTTGTTGGCTTGGGGGACCACGCAGCTCTGGGCATAGAGCTGGGACTCCTGTGTGCAGCGTGTGCTCTCCAGCTCTCCTTGACTTTTGTCTTGGGACCACGCCTGGTAGTGCCCAGCAGCTTCTCCCACTCTGGCCTCTGGCTGGGCTGGGCTGCGGGGGAGAACTGTGAGGCACGTGGAATCCATTTCATATCTCCCACGTGAAGGCCTGTGCACCAGCCCCTTGGAACTACCTCCCTAGCCCAAGCTCTAGCCCTCTGAGCTCTCTCTCCCCCTCCCACTTGGCATTTAGTGTTTGTGTTCTGGTAGTGCTCAGAGGCTCTTTCTGACCCTGTGCTCAGGGGTTACGTTAGCAGTACTTGGCGGCTGGGGCTCCAGCTGGGCTTGGCCACACCCTAGGCAAGTGCTTTTCCCTAGTACTGATTTGGATTTAAAAAACTGTTCTGTTGCTTGTTTTTTGAGCCACACCCCATGGTGCTCAGGACTTACTCCTGGGTCTGTGCAAAGGGATCACTCCTGGCAGTACTCAGGGACCCTTTGTGGTACCATAGATCAAACCTAAGTCTGCCATGTTTAAGGCAGGTTCCCCTGCCCACTGTACTGTTTCTCTGGCCTACATTTTGGGGTTTTAAAACTATCATTTAAAACATTTCTCTGAGCTTAGAGTGTTTATTATTACTATCACTAATTTTATTTTTTTTAATTTTTTTTGCTTTTTGGGTCACACCTGGCAGTGCTCAGGGGACCATATGTGATGCCAAGGATTGAACCTGGGTCAGCCGCCTGCAAGGCAAATGCCTTACCTGCTGTACTATCTCTCCAGCCCCTATTTTATTTTTATTTTTAAAATATTATTTGATCTTGGGGCCACACTCTGGGCTTAACTTCTGGCACTGTACTCAGGGATTACTCCTGGTGGGTTTAGAGGACCATGTGGGGTGTCAAGTAGAACCCAGGTTGGGTATGTGCAAGCAAGAGTCTCACCCTCTGTACTATATCTCCTGCCCCTATTACTGATTTTAAAGGTAAGAAAAATAGTAGGTTTGGGGTTTGTTATTTTTGTTTTAGGGCTAGTGCTCAGGGGCTACTACCAGCTCTGTGTTTGCGGGAAACTCAGGCGGTGCTGAGGAACCATGAAGTACTTGAGACAAAACCCAGGCCTCCTTCATGCAAAGCCTGTGCTTAGGCAGTTGGGCTTGAGTGAGTTTGGAAAAAGATTGAAAGTGGGTCTGTTTCTCCTTTAATTCTCAGACCAACCTAATAGATTGGCAGTTCTAAAATTGAAGCCAATCCTATGTTCTTACTGCCTTTACAGTCTGCCTTTTTGAAAGTCATGGCATTCTGAGTGGAATTGCAGGTTAACTTAAATATAGATTTATTTGTAAATTAGAGATTACCGTAGTATATAGAGTGATTAAAAAATAATTGGTATGCCTAGATTTAGATTATTACTTAACTGAGACAATTTAAGTATTTTAATCTCATTTTCTTAATCTGTGTGATAGTTCTCTTCTAATAGTATTTCTATGAGGATTAAATTAGATCAAACATATACACTAATTATAGTATACATAATACTGAGAAATCAAGGTGATGGGACTTGGTGTGTCATTGTGTAATGAAAATTTGAAGTGTCATGAGGGATTATCAGATACCATTTTGATAATTTAATAACTTAAAGAGGACTTATTCAGTTCACATATTTTATAACTTGTTTTTTGAAAAATTATTTTGAGCAAAATAGTATGGTATAGTTACCTTAAATATTCTATTTTAATTTTTATATCTTAATTTTAGTTAAAATATTGTCATTTGGGTTTGTTTTTTAGGAAACAACTTATGGACAAGGAAAACAGGAGTGTCTTTAAAATCAGATGTACTGACAAAATCAAAAAGAAGAAAAAGAACTGATGGCGTTTCTGAAAATCACGAGGTTCAAACTCTTGGTGGCAAAGATGTTTCTCTCTTTCTCTTCAGAGCTTTGGGGAAAATACTATATTGTAAGAGTAAGAATTCTTTATACTATTTAAATTATTTGACTTTTAAGCTTAGAACTGGAAATACTTCCTGATTCAGATGTTAGAAGAAAGAGGACTAGGTCTAACTATATGTCAGGGCCTCAGACAAAGCAGGAAAACATTTTATTGAAGTATTTTTGAACTATGAGAGGAATGAAATGTAAAACTTAGCTATTCTAGGTATGGAAATCTTTCTGATTATAATTTGCCCAAAGTAAGACTTTTGTCCATTTGGACCATTTTTGTTTCCCTTTTTGTTTCGGGTCCCACCTGACAGTGTGCAAGACTTACTCCTATCTCTGCTCAGCACTTACTTCTGGCTCTGTGCTCAAGGATCATTCTTGGCAGCCCTTGGGGGAACCAAATGTGGTGCTGGGGATCAACTCTGGTGCCAGCTCTAGTTGGCAGTGTGCAAGGCAAGTGCCTTCACCCTCCTACTATCTTGTTCGCCCTTTCTCAATTTTGGGCTATACCTGGCAGTGCTCAGGGCCCAACTTGGGGCCTTTCCCATGTTAAACATGTGCTGAAGCCCTTTGACCAGCTTCCCGTTGCCAGTCCATCTGAACTCTTTATGGCAGTTTTTGGTGGCCCATAGTGCTCTCACACTGCACTCTGGCCACCAGCACAAGAGGCAAAGTCCTAGTAGTTGAGATTTCTCCGGATTCACTTCTGTGTCTGTGTCTTCACTAGATGCGCTCTCGCCTGGCAGAGATGTGCCAGCAGGGTGCAGCTGTTCAGCGCGTACCCATCTTATTCAGGCGTCGCATTCTGTCCTTGAGATGTCTGTGCCCCCTCAGCTCATTGTCTGTCTCCAGCCCCCCTAAGTTATCCCTCTTTGAAAAAAACACAAACTTTTTCATTTTTATTTTGGCTTTTTGAACAACACCAATGATGCTCAGGGGTCACTCCTGGCTCTGCACTCAGGAATTACTCTTGGTGGTGCTCTGGGGACCATATGGGATGCTAGAATCAAACCCAGGTGGACCATGTGCACGACAAATGTTCTACCTGCTTTACTGTTGCTCCAGCCCTTTTGGGGGGGCAGGAGTGGGAGGCATACCCGGCAGTTCTCAGGACTTACTTCTGGCTCTGCACTCAGGAATCCCACCTGGCAAGCTCGGGGAACCATATGGGTTGCCAGGGATTGAACCCACGTCAGCTGTGTAGAAGGCAAGCGATAGATACCAGCTGTACTCTTTCCAGTGCCCCCTGTTCTATATGTTGGAAATAATTGCTTTATGATTTTGATGAAAGAAAATTGAACTTTCATATTTTTAATCTGATGTTTGTATTTTATAGAGACTAAAACAATTTATACAAAATGATGAGAAAAAGTCTTAACCATAGTTAGGAATAGTTTTGTATGTTAGAACAAAATCACGGTCACGGTCCTCCCGTTGTTCATCGATTTGCTCGAGTGGGCCCAGTAACGTGTCCATTCGAGACTTTGTTGTTACTGTGTCTGGCATATCGAATACGTCACGGGGAGCTTGCCAGGCTCTGCCATGCGGGCGAGATACTCTCAGTAGCTTGCCGGGCTCTCCGAGAGGGGCGGAGGAATCGAACTCGGGTCGGCCATGTTGGCTGTGTGCAAGGCAAACGCCCTACCGCTGTGCTATCGCTCCAGCCCATTAGAACAAAATATAAAAAAATATAAAATCTAAAACACACCATATTTTGTGTGTGAAAAACTTGGGTTTGAGACCCAGCACCACTTGTTTCTCTAACCACTGTCTAACAGACAAGCAAATGATAATCAGGATTAACCATTAAAATAGACCTGTTATATAACAGACTCAATTGGGTTTTTTGTTTTGGAATAATGCGCAGTGATGCTTTTCTGGTATCATGAAATAGCCTCCCATTTTCTCATTAGCTTCCATTTTTTTTAATTTATTTTTTATTTTACTGGGGTTTTTTTTGGGGGGGGGAGGAGGTATACCTGGCAATGCTCAGGGATTTTCTGGTTCTACATTCAGGAACTATTCCTGGTAGTCCTGGAGAACAGCATGGAAGGTTGGAAATTGAACCCGGATCGCCATGTGCAAAGCTTTACCTGCTACACTGTCGCTCCAGCCCCGGTTTTTAACAGATTGCTTAGTATTTAGCATTCTGTACCTAAAATATTGAAAATCTTCTATTGAGAGGCACTCGCTGTTTAACACTACGTATAGTGTTGCTTTGAATAATTGCAGAAAATTTATTTTTCAGGAGCACCTCCAGCGGAATTAAACTCGCCACGATTGCCTTTGCATTTATCAGAGTATGAACGGGATACATTGCTTATTCAACCAGAGGTAAGGTCTTACAACTTGGAGTACTGTTCAGAAGATAGCTATTGTGTGTGTGCATCTACGTATGACTGCATTTGTATTAAAAAATATTTTCCTGTATGCTTTTCTTTTATAGGAAGTAGTGGAAATGTCACACATGCCTGGAGAGTTATTTAATTTATATCTTCATCAAAACTATGTAGACTTCTTCACGGATATAGATGATCTTGTGAGAGCCAGTGAATATCTAAGTTTTGCAGATATCCTCAGCAGTGATTGGAATGTGAGACCATTTGTCTTCAGTGTTTCTATGAATATGTCCTCAGAATTGAGAAAGAACATTTATTGATTATGTTTTGGGACTATATTTAGCAGTGCTCACAGGCTACTTCTGGTTTTGCACTAAAGGGTCCCATCTGACTGTGGTTGGGATGCCATGTGGTGCCAGGGATCAGCTCACGCCTCTGGCATATAGCACATGCACAACAGCCCACTGAGCTATTTCTCTGGCCCAGAGAGTTTACATTTATTCCTTTTCTATTCATAATATTTCAATACAGATTCAGGAGTTTGTTGTTTTTTGATTTGTTTTTAAAGTTTTTTGGAAAGTAGAGGAGAGAGGAAAAGTAACTCCCTGTGTAGGGAGGAATTTATTATCGGACCCAGTTCATTTTCAAGAATTTTGACAGTTTTGAAAAGCCACAGACGGAAAAGAACTGGTGCTTATACTCTGATAGTTTGAAAGAAGTTTGTTTTCTTTGAAAGCGAGGGATTGAGAGAGAGTACCAGATTTAAGGCACTTGCCTTACCTGCAGTGGACCTGGGTTTTACCCACCACACTACATATGTTCCCTCCAGTGCTGCTGTACAAATTTAAAATTAAAGTTACATCCTCACATTAGCTACATTTCTAGCATTTGATACATAGGAACCACTGTTGTGAGCAGCCTGCAAACAAATTATTTCTTGCTGCCCTGGTTTCATCAGAACATTTTTCAGTTATAAATGCTGAAAAAATATTAAATTTTTAAATGAAGAGGGGCTACAGTGATAGTGCAGCAGGCAAGGCCCTTGCCTTACACAGGACCAACTCAGGTTTGATCCTGCACCATATATGGTCCCCTGAGTCTGCTGGGAGTGATCCCTGAGCAGTCAGGACTAAGACCTGAGCACTGCCAGGTATGGTCCAGCATCAAAAAAGAAAAGAGTGCCAGCAGATTGTATAGGATATAGGGCTCTTGCTGACCATAAACATTCCCACCACTGCACCTGGTATCCTAAGCACCACTGGAAGTGACCCCTGAGTACAGGGCCAGTGGTGGTCCCTAATCCCCCCAAAATAAGTAACTTTTTGTTTTTTTTTATTTTGGCGCCACACCTAGTAGTTTTCAGAGTTAACTTCCTACTACACTCACAGATCACTCCCTCCTGCTCCCCCCTCCTCTCAGCATTGCCCAGTAGAACCCTGGAAGCCTCCAGGCATAACCTGGTATGACCCTAGGAGCTCCCAAGCACCACCAGTTGCAGGACTCTGGTGGTCCAGGCACTAGGGCTCAAGCAGCTCACACCAATGGGCCCTCACATTGGACCTTCACTGCTTAGACCGATTTCTACGGAGTGGTCCTGAGGCCCCTGACCACTGCTTAAAGGCCTCTCCTCACCTCACCTGCCACACACATCGCCCCAAAATAGTGACCATGTGGAAAGTAAATATAATTAGACTTTCGTTAATGTCAGTAATGCCTTCTCAATCTCTTATTTCTCAATTTCTCATCTTGTCTCCTTTATTAGACACGCTCGTTACTCAGGGACTATAGCACATCTATAGCTACAAGAGGTGTGATCCATTCCAACAAAGCCCGAGGATTTGCTCATTGTCAAGGAGGAGGATCAGGTTTTCGGCCCTTGCACAAACCTCAGTGGTTTCTAGTAAATAAAAAGGTAAAAAAAAAAAAAATCGTACACATTCAGTAGGTGAACTTTATGTGAAAAGCACTCTTATGTTTTTTAAGTTAGAAATCTGGGACCTGGAATGTCACTCAGTAGTGGGGTGTTTGCCTCACATATCTGCAGCCCTGGGATTGAATTCCAGCCCTGCAAAAATTTAGAAAAAAAGATAAAAGAAAACTAAATGTTTTATTCATAGAAATAAATAGTTGCTAAGGCCCACTACTTGTTTTAGAAGTACAATAAACAGGTCACATGGGCTGGGGATTTATTTCTTTCAGTAGAGCACATGCCTACCAAATGTATGTCAGGCCTCCTGAGTTCCACCCTTGGCCTTACTACACCAGGTATGACAGTTACTAAAAAAATAAAAGAAAAATGGCAGGTCTGGGGATATGGTTCAGTGGTAGAACGTATGCCCTGAATCTGAGACTCTTGAGTTCAGTCTCTAGCAACTCCCCTCCCCCTTTTAAAAGGCTATCACAAGCACTATCTTAAATGCTTTGTGCATCTTTGTGTTTGTAACTCTGATGGTGCTCCGGGACTAATCTCAGTGGTGCTTGGGAGGCCATGCAGGGCTGGAATCAAACCAAGGCCTTTGACATGCAAAGCATGTGCTCAGCCTATTAAAGCTATCTCTAGGCCAAGGTTTATCTTTTCTTTTTTCTTTTTTTTTTTCTTTTTTCTTTTTGGGTCACACCTGTGATGCTCGGGTTATTTCTGGCTCTACACTCACAAATTAACTCCTGGCAGTGCTACCCTATGGGATGCCAAGTATTGAACTTGAATGGGCAGCATGTAAGGCAGATACCCAATCTGCTTAACTATTACTGCCACTGATTTTATTACCTCCTATCCACATCCTATTTTTTAGCCCCTGGACTAAGCCATGTCTAAAGTACCTTTCAGCTCTAAAATAATGTGGCTAAATAATTTTAATTTTTTTAATTATTTTTGGCTTTTTCGGTCACCCCCAGGGATGCTCAGGAGTTACTCTTGAATCTGCACTCAAGAACTCCTGGCGTTGCTCAGGGGACCATATGTGATGCCAGTGATCGAATTTTTTTTTTATAGCTGAGTAGTATTCCATTGCATAAATGTATCATAGTTTCTTTTTTTTTAATCCAGTCACCTGCTCCTGGGTACTTAGTTGTTTCCAGATATTGGTTATTGTGAATAGGGCTCTAATGAACACGGGATTGCAAATGTCTTTTATAAAGAGTGTTTTTGGGACTTGGGGTAGATACCAAGAAGCATATGGAAGCTCAGTTCCTTTTATTTTTGAGAAGTATTTATATTATTTTACAAAAAGGCTGAACAAGTCTGTATTTCTCATCAACAGTGAATGAGTGTCCCTTTTGCCATATCCATACCAGCATTAGTTGCTTTTTGGGGTGTTTTGTTTGTTTCGGGTTTTTTTTTGGGGGGGTGGTTATCTGAGCCAGTCTCTGGTGTGAGATGATTTGCATTTCCTTGATGATTAGTGATGCACAACATTTTTTCATAGGTCTTCTTGCCGCTTTTGTTTTTTAAATTTTTCTACTACCATAAATCTTTTTTTTTTTAATTTATATTGCTTTTATAGCAAATGTAAGTAATTGTATGGGGTCCAGAGCTGTAGCTTGGTGGCAGAATATATGCTTCGGTAGTTTCTTCTTTTTGGGCCACATCCAGTGTTGCTCAAGGCTTACTCCTAGCTTTGCATTCAAGGATCATTCCCGGAGGGCTCAAGGGACCATCTGGGTAACAGAGATCAAACCCAGGTTCACCACATGCAAGTCAAATGCCCTACTATTACTCTGGCCCCTACTTTGGTAGTTTTAATCCTTGTTTGCTATCCCCAATACTAAGTGAATGAATGAATATGAATGAACAAATGAATGTGTTGTGTAAGTAAAATCTTGATGAATGGGGGCTGGACCGATAGCACAGCGGGTAGGGCATTTGCCTTGCATACGGCCAACCCAGGTTCGATTCCCAGCATCCCGTATGGCCCCCTGAGCACCACCAGGAGTAATTCCTGAGTGCAGAGCCAGGAGTACTATGCATTGCCGGGTGCGACCCACAAAACAAAACAAACAAACAAAACTTGATGATAATGCTAGGACATTATAAAAGAACAATTGGAAAACCTCTTGAAAGTATACTTTTATTATATAAACCCACAATTACAACATAGTAAGCTTTATTTAAGAATGTATAAATAGCTTTTTACCAAGATGATGCCAAAAGCCAAGAAGGAAGACCCTGCCCCTCCCAGAGTTGAAGCCAAAGTCAAAGCTTTGAGGACCAAGATGGCAGTGCTGAAAGGCCTCCACAGCCACAAAAAGAAAAAGATCTGCATGTCGCTCCCCTTCTGAAGACTCACAATGCTGTGACTGTGAAGGCAGCCCAGATACCCTCCTAAGAGCGCCCCAGGGGAAACAAGCTTGGCCGTTATGCCATCATTACGTTCCCTCTGAACACTGAGTCGGCCATGAAGAAGGTAGAAGATAACAGCACACTTGTGTTCATTGTGGATGCCAAGGCCAACAAGCTCCAGATCAAACAGGCCGTGAAGAAGCTATGACATTGATGTTGCCGAGGTCAACACCCTGATCAGGCCTGATGGAGAGGAAAAGGCATATGTTCAGCTGACTCCTCACTATGATGCCTTGGATGTTGCCAACAAAATTGAAATCATCAAAACAGCCCAGCTGCCTAACCCTAAATAGAATTTTTTTTTCACTATATATATATAGACAAAGTCTGTAGCACTGTCCTCCCATTCATCAATTTGCTCGAGCGGGTACCAGTAATGTCTCCATTGTGAGACTTGTTACTGTTTTTGGCATATCAGATACACCACGGGGAGCTTGCTAGTCTCTGCCATGCGGGCCATACTCTTGGTAGCTTGCCAGGCTCTCTGAGAGAGATGGAGGAATCGAACCTGGGTCAGCCCATGCAAGGCAAATGCCCTACCCACTGTGCTAAGTAAGATTCAAAATGAATAAAAAACAAGAATATATAATCATTTAATTTTTTTTTTGTTTTATCATTTTCTTCTATATAGTACCGAGAAAATTGCCTGGCAGCAAAAGCACTTTTTTCTGACTTCTGCTTACCAAGTTTATGCCTCCAGACACAGTTGTTGCCGTACCTTGCTTTGCTAACCATTCCAATGAGAAATCAAGGTAAATACCAGTTTTTATTTTCTCTGGGAGTTAGTTTTAGAACATTAATTTTTGTTCGATTCATTAAAGAAATTAAGTGATAAATTGTATAAGTGAAATGAAGTTCTTTATTGGGGGGTGGGGGACATGGGATCAGGGTGTGTGGTTTGGGGCCATACTTGGGGCAACTTGGGCCTTACCTGGTATTGCAGAGAATCCATCCTGGACCTTCACAATTGATACATAAGCTCTCACCTATTGAAGTGTCTCCCTGGCCCCAGTATGATGAGGAGCTACTGTTAGCTCTGTGCTCAGGGATTGCTCCTATTGGTGTTCAGGGAACCCCATGCGGTGTTGGTAATAGAACCAAGGTTTACCGCAAGCAAAGGCAGCACCTAAACCCATGCTATATCTCTGACTCCCAATTATTTTCAAATAGAAGATCTAGAAATGTGATTCACATCTCAGAGAAGAGATATGGTAAATCTCATCCTTTGCATGGCGGACCTAACATACAATCTTGGACACCATGCACTTAAAAAAAGGGAAAAGAAAATAAAAGAGAGGGGCTGGAGTGATAGCACAGCGGGTAGGGCGTTTGCCTTGCACGCAGCCAACATGGCCGACGCAGGTTCGATTCCCAGCATCCCATATTGTCCCCCAAGCACCGCCAGGAGTAATTCCCGAGTGCATGAGCCAGAAGTAACCCCTGAGCATCGCCGGGTGTGACCCAAAAAGCAAAAAAAAAAAAAAAAAGAAAAGAAAAGAGACTTACACTATCCCCATATATAATTTGTTTTGACAAATTGTACAACTAATGGGCATCACTTTAAGTTTGCTCATGTCACTTCCCGTGCATAGTATGCTCTTTGATAAATCAGTGGGCAAGCGACTCTTATTTTTTTGTCATTTGTGTTTCTGGGCCACCCCAGCCAATGCTCAGGGCTTACTCCTGGCTCTGCACTCAGGAGGACCATTTCATGTGCCAGGGATTGAACCCTGGTTGGCTGCGTGCAAAGCAAGCACCCTACACTGTACTATCTCTCCAGCCCCTGAACTATTTTTTAAGTACACAGTTCAGTATTGGCAATTATATTCACCTTGTCTTCACATTTTCATCGTGCATAATTGAAATTACATTTATTAAACATTAACTGATACCCCACAGCATCTGCTTCAGTGATTTGGTTTTGTTTTGGGGTCGGCTACATGTAAGGCAAGTGCCCTACTCATTGTACTATCTCTCCAGCTTCCCTGTTTTAATAATTTAATGATTCTTGGAACCTTGCAGAGTGAAATCATAAAATACTAGCCCTCTTTTGAACTTACTACTTACCATATCAAGGTTCATTCTCTTTTTTTTTTGCATGTATCAAAATACCATTTCCATTTTTAAGATCAAAAGTTGAATAAAATTACATTGTATGTATAACTACATCTTGTTTATCCATCCATCTGTCAGTGAACATTTAAATTGCTTGTTGCTTTCACCCTTTTGGGGGGAGGGGGCGGGGGGTTGCTTGGGCCACATCTTGCTGTGCTCAGGGTCTACTCCTGACACTAGCAGTTCTCAGGATCCATGTAGGTGAAGCGAATAGAACCTTAACCCTTGACCTTAACCCTTAACCCTTGAGCTGTCTCTCCAGCCCGTTTCCACTTAAAAAACAAAACTGTTTGGAATCATGTTTGTTTGAGTTTGGATGTACAGATACCTCCTCGAGGCCCTATTTTCAGTCTTGTTGATTGTATATCTAGTAATAGAATTATTATAGTAGGTGGTAATTCTATTTTTAAATTTTTGAAGAAGTGCCTTATCCTTCTCCGCAGCAGCTACGCTGTTAGCAGTGCATAGGCTTCCGGATTCTTTGCATCCTTGACAAGCCTTGGCATTTTCTGTTTTGGTATTCATAATCCTTGGAGTGTAAAATAGTATCCTATGGTTTTACTGTATTTTCTTTACGTTGTTTGTTTCTACCTAGAAGTGATCAGTATTTTCCTAAGTAGTGATTTTAAAATATCTTTTCTTATATTGGCCATTTGTGGATCTTCTTGGAGAAATACCTGTTTACTTTTTTGTTTTAAATTTTTGTTCCAGGTCAAATTTCTTTCATCCAGGATATTGGAAGGCTTCCTCTGAAACGACACTTTGGAAGGTAAGCTGATAATTATTTCATAGGCTGTTCCTAAAATGTCTTGGATGTTATCTATTTAGTTAATCAGCTTAACAATAACTCTGCCCCTCAGAGTTATTAACTCTCAGAGCCCGGCCAGCTACTGAGAGTATCTCACCTGCACGGCAAAGCCTGGCAAGCTACCCGTGACATATTCGATATACCAGACACAGTAACAACAGGTCTCACAATGGAGACATGACTGTGCTCGCTCGAGCAAATTGATGAACAGCGGGAGGACAGTGCTACAGTGCTGTCTATTTAGTATACACTAACTGTAGTTAGCCATGTGCAAGCAAGCACCTGACCTGTACTATCTCTCTAGCTCCAGAGAATATTATTTTGCATTTTTTTTATTTTTTAAGATTTTATTATTGAATCACTGTGAGATCTTTACAAAGCTGTTCATAATTAGTTTTCATTCAGACAGTGTTCCAACACCCATCCCTCCACTAGTGTACATTTCCCAGCACCAGTATCCCCAGGTTCCCTCCATCACTTCCTCCTCCACCCAGTCTTCTCTCTTTTCTTCTCTGTCTCTGTCTGTCTATCTGTCTGTCTCTCTCTCTCTCTCTCTCTCTCTCTTTCTCTCTTTCTCTTTCTCCTCCCCCCCGCCTCTCTCCCAGAGAATTTTTTAAAATTCTCTAATTCAGCAAATCTTGCATGTCTGAAAATGCTTTTTATTTTGGGCCCCACACCTGGTTGTGTTCATGGGTCTCTCACCACTCAGAGCTCAGGTGTAGCTCATGGTGAAGCTCAAGGACCCCTTTCGTGTTAACCCATTCCTCAGGCATGTATGCTAGTCCTTTGAGCCATCTCCCCAGCCTGGAATGGCCTCCTCCCCCTTTTACCCCCCAGCCCTTGCCAAGAAATTTCTTAGCCTATGCTTGAAGCTTTTTGGAACCATGATAACCCCAGGAGACAACATTTTCTTATTTCTTTAGTGTAGAAAATTGAAGGATCTGTCTTTGGGGTGGAAGGAAGGTCTGCTTTTGGTGGGGGGGAGGAGAAGGTGCTTAGGCCACACCCAATGGTGCTCAGCGCTGTGCTTCATCTGGCTCTGTTCTCAGGGATCAGTCCTGGTAGTCCTCGAGGAGACCATATGTGGTGCTGGGGATAGAATTGGGGTCAGCTGCATGCAAGGCAAGTGCCTTAGTCCCTTCATTATCTCTCCAGCCCCGTATTTCTTATATAAAAAATATACACACATATACATACTGTTTTATTGAAAATGGCTTTGAGGCTAATACTAGTAACAGGCACAGCCTCTATGTTTTATCTATACTTAGCTTATTTGTAAGGTTCAAATTATATGCTCTGGTCTTTTTAAAAGGTTTAAAATACCTTGCTTCCTGGTTGTTGGGATAGTTGTAAACGGCACCTATTACTTTGCCCATCTCTTCTATCACTGCTCCTCAATGGAAGTCTTGTGTCCCTGGGCTTTTTTTCCCTCCTCAGATCGAATACAACCTTTGTAATGCTAAATTGGGTGGGTTTTTTCTTTTTTTGGTGATTTTTGGCATAGGTATGTGGAATTTACCTGTTCTATTTTAAAAAAAAAACTATTTTTTTGTTTGTTACTCCTGACTCTGTGTTCAGGGGTCACTCCTGGCGTATCTTGGGGGGCCATATGGGGATCAAATCTGGATCAGCCACATTCAAATCAAGTGCCCGCTTACTGTTCTTTCTCTGGGACTTTCTACAAAAAGACTGTGGTGCTTGAATCCTAGAGTATTACACTTCTGAGCTCTGATAAGAGCTCGTTTCCTTTTATAAAATTTGGTTTTCCCCTTCTAGCCCTCTGACTCAAACAGAACCAACTCTCTTCATCGGCTCCTCTCTCCCCAAGGTTCTGACATCAAAAATCAAGGGAGGATAATAAAAGACAGTTCACAGTTTTTATTGGTTCAGTTACTTAATCTGACATGAGGCAGGTTTTTATCAGTGTTATTACAACGAGAAGTACTGTTAACTTTTCTTTTGCACTCTTTAATATTCAACGTATTTGCTTTTATTTTTATTTAAACTTTTAGCACTATCTTTGTTGCAGTTTTCTATCATTCAGCCTACCCCTTATTTTTTATATATTTAGCTTGTTTCTAGCTATTATTGTTACATTATTATTATTATTATCCCTTGTAGCTAAATCATCTGCATATGAGATGCTGTTTCTGAAAGATGCATTCCAATAAATGAAATAATTGGATAGTGTATATCCTGCTTTTTGAGCATTTGCTATATATTGTCAGATTATTTGCCTGTTTATGTTTACTTAACAATGTATTGGATTTCTTCCTTTCTCCTAGCACTTGCCAAGACTGGGTTTTAATTTTAAAAGGTCTATGTGAGTTTAAAACATCACAATAATAGCTACTTTTTTCTTTTTCTTTTTGGAAAAAACTTTGTTCTTGTTATTTTAATTTTCATTTGTTATATTCTATCCCAGCAGTGCTTGGAGAACCAGAACCATTCGACTATAGTTTTGTCTGGCTTGGACCAGCTGTGGTCAGGCTAGTGGTGTTGGGGGTCCACCAAGAGCCACACTCATCTTTCAGCCGACAGTGTACTCTGGGGGTACCAATTTTTCACTGGGCAGTTTCTAGGGGTCAGAAGGCTTGAACTCAAGGCTTTGCACGCGCTTGGTGTGTATTTTAGCATCTGAACTGTATTTGCTCTCTAATTTCATCTTTAAAGTTACAAATTAAGGGTGAGGGATCTCAGAGGACTGAAACACATGCATTCCGTGCTAGAGACCCAGGTTCAGTCCTTAGCACTGCATGATCCCCTGAGTACCGCTGGCAGTGAATCCCAGGCACTGCTGGATATGGCCCAAAAGTAAAATAGTTTGAACAATTCCTTCATAGCCAGTTGCACATTTCTGTAAATTTCTTTTTACATTTTATGTTCTTTAAAAATTTCTTCCTCTCTTTGCTTTAGACTTATTTACAAATTAACTTACTTGTCCCCTCTTGGAGAGCCCGGCAAGCTACCGAATATGCCAGACTCAGTAACAACAAAGTCTCCAATGGAGACTTAACTGGGCCCGCTCGAGCAACTTACTTGTAAGTTGCAGTTAATTCAGTCATAGAACATGGACAATTTGAATACAGTGAGAACAAGGTAAAAATAAAATAAAAAAAAAAAGAGTAAAGGCTATGGTTTTATAGTCCTCACACTCTTGTTATTTAAAGGACTCCTTTCCTTGGGTGATCAGTAATACTTGCGCTATGAATCTGGCACAGGTTGAAAATGGAAGCACTGACTGACAGAGAACATGGAGTGATGGACCTTGATAGTGGAGACGAAGCTCAGCTCCTCACAGGTCAGCCTGCAAAGGAAGCTTCGAGTGATCCTGCTCACAGAACTGACCTGGAAACCTGCTTGCTTCCTTTAAGTCAGAATAGTGGAAGTGATCTGCCAGCCAGCCAGCCTCGGCCCTTCTTAGCCCAGGAGGATACAGACGAGGAAGAAGTCATGGTCATAGAGGACTATGACAGTGATGGGACATAGACACCATGCTGCCATCACATCGCTACTTGACTGATGCTCATATTGCTTTTACTCAGTGACAGAGAGAGAGAAGATACTTTTCAGGTGACTTGCAGTTTATTCGTTCTTGCAGTGTTTCAGCACAAGGAACTGACTCCACTGTCATCCTGAAGTAAATAGAAGATGCAGCCTCTAAAGTAATCTCTTACCCTTTTTTTGGGTTGGAATGCAGGCCGCACCCTGACCTGCTGGTCCAGGTAGTGGCCACACCCAGCAGAGCCAGGGAGCCTTGCTGACCCCTGGGTCATGCAGAGCACATGCTCCACATTTTCAGCCTCATCCCTGGTCCCTGTAACTCTTTAGTATTTATTGAGTCTTGTGTGTGATACCAGAAGTATATCCGAACATTATGCTAAATCTCAAAATGTGAAGGAACTGAAAATATAGAAAGTTTATGGGGGTTGTAAATATGAAATGTAAAATAGTTCATGGTTACAGTTATAAGTGTAATTAAAACATCTGTGCCTTATTCAATTTCCTTGGTTTCTAGCTTCTCAGATACTATCATTAGCTATTGTACAATGGAGTAGTTTACATTCGGAAGAGTTATTTACATAATTTATATGAGAATTAAAATGTTGAACTTCTCTCTGTTTTCTTCCTCTTAACACGCCCAGCTCGCACTGTTGGCCTTGTATCACTCCCCGGTCATAGTCCATAGTCCACTGTTGTTGTCCTTTCCTACAGTCAAAAAAAAATTTTTTTTTTTTCAAAAAACAGACACGGAAGAGACTGCCACCTTGTAGAGAAACTTGGTGGTGAGGGTTTAGGGGGCCCTTCCCCAGCCTTTCGCGGCGGGGCGGGGCGGGGCGGGGCGGCAGGCTGCGGGGCCGGAGGGGGCGTGGTCTGAGGGGCGTGGCCTGCGGGAGCCCCGCCCCGGGACTCGGGCGTTTCGGTGCCGCGGGCGGCGCGCAGGTGAGTGGGGCGCGGGCCCGGCCCGCTTGCTTGGGGTCCCGGGTCGGACTCGCGGGGGTCGGGGGTGGCGGCGAGACCTCCCGGGGCGCCCTTCGCGGCTGCCCTAGCCGGCGAGGCCAGCGTGGCCGGGCAGCGGGCGCCGGCCGGCTCGGAGCGGGAGCGGCCGCGGGCGGCGCACAGGTGCGCGGCGGGGCGTGCCCTTCGGGGCCGCGGGGCTTCCGGGCGCGGGAACCGGCCGCCCCCGACGTCGTTCCGGCCACTCGGGGGCCTGGGATTGCGTTTCCGGTCGGCAGAGCGCGTTGGGCCGGCACAGCGCACCAGCGGCGGTGCTCCGGAGAGACCCGGGCAGAAGATTCTCCGCCTTTTCATTTCAACTCCCCGGGACCGCTCCCAACCCCCAGGAATCCAGAAAGCCCCGAGAATCGGCCCTTTTCTTGGTCCAACCCCTCCCGGAGGCGGGGATGCTCGACGGTGACAGGCGGACGCCTACCACACTTGCTTCCCAGGGCACGGAGTCGGGTTCTGGGCTGGAGCAGAACAAAGACCCGCTGCGGCTCAGCGCAGAACAGTCTCCGGTGGGATCAAAACCGCGGACCCTTCTAGAGTCACATCCTTGGCTACTCGACCGTCCTTTAAATGTGTATTATCTACGGCTTTGCATTTAAACTCTGGTAAGGTGGTCTAAGTTACATGAGTCACAACAGTTAACTCTTCAGGGAAACACTTTTACCAACGAGCTAAGGCTGGAGAGTTGTCCTGTAAAATGTATCTATAGGGTAACTATAGGGAGCGACTGTAAAAGTTACTCAGGTTACTTGTGCTTTTTTGCTTCTACTTAAGAAAATGTTTCTCTGCTGTAGTACTGTGCTTTTCGAGAATTTCAGCTCTTTAGACAACCAAGAGAGAAGGGAAAGACCCGTCCGTCGCTCTCGCTTACAGAGCTCTTGCTTTCTATGGCACTGCAGGAACTGTTGTTACAACAAAATGTCTAAGGGAATTACCAAAAAATACTTCTGTAAAAGGAAACTGGAGGGTCCCCTCGGGAGGGTCGGAGTTGAGACCTCTGCTCCATCTCCACCCATTCCCGCGGAGGTTGTATTGAATCTGGGATCGTGCACATCTCCTAGGTGGAGACTGCGCACTTGACAGCCCCGGCTGGGTTTCTAACAGGAATTACAAACTCCACCGCGCTGCTTCTCCCCACGGCAGAAGCGGTGAAGAAATGAAAGGGTGGGGAAATGTTGCAGATGAAATTATCTGATGTCTGGGATTTGCTTCAGAGTACTTATTGGCAGAGGGTATGCCGACAAAAGTAGACGGGTCATGAATAGATAACTAGTTGAATTAGATGAAGCTGCTTGATGAGAAGTTATGGGTTCATTCATAGTAGATTTTATTAATTTCAAAAAAAAATTTTTTTTTTTGCTTTTTGGGTCACCCGGCGATGCACAGGGGTTATTCCTGGCTCATGCACTCAGGAATTACTCCTGGCGGTGCTTGGGGGACCATATGGGATGCTGGGAATCGAACCCGGGCTGGCTGCGTGCAAGGCAAACATCCTACCCGCTGTGCTATCACTCCAGCCCCGATTTCAAAATTTTTTTAACTTTATTTAAATACTGCGGTTTACAAAGCTTGTTCATAATACAGTTATTTCGGGCGTTCAGGCTTCCAACACCACCCATGTGACCTACCCTCCTCCACTGTCCCCAATTTCCCATCCAGCCTGGCCTCCTTAGGCACAAAATTATTTTATGTTGCTTGTTACAACAAAATGTCTAAGGTAATTACCAAAAAATACTTCTGTAAAAGGAAATTTGTGAAAATTGTTAAATCTTATAGTGGGGGCTGGAGCGATAGCACAGAGGTAAGGCGTTCGCCTTACAAGCGGCCAACATGGCCGACCCGAGTTCGATTCCTCCGCCCCTCTCCTACTGGAGAGCCCGGCAAGCTACCGAGAGTATTCGATATGCTAAACACAGTAACAACAAAGTCTCCAATGGAGACATTACTGGGCCCACTCGAGCAAATCGACGATCAACGGGAGGGCCTTTACCTTACCTTTTTTATAGTGGGGTCATTAAAGTCTTAAGTACTAAATGAAATTTATTGTTTACCTAGAATTCTATATTTTTCTCCATTTTTTAATTAAATATTAAGGCACCATTGGGACGGGAGTGATAGTACAGCAGGTAAGTGTTTTGTCAACCTGGATTCTATCCCTGGCACCCTGAGCACACTGGAGTAATTCCTAAGCAAAGAGACGGGAATAACCCCTGAGAGCTTTCATGTATCACCCCAAAAGAAAAATAAATACATAAACAAACAAAAAAGAAATTAAGGCACTGTGATTTACCCAGTTATTCATCGTTGAATTTCAGGTTGACAATGTTCCAACCCCAGTCCCACCAACAGTGTCAGCTTCCCTTCACCAGGAAATGCTTTATTTTGATAACTTTTTGTAAGTTGCCTTGGAGCCTCATGAACAGCATGTAGGGGGACGTGTGCTGCTCAAACCCAGGGCTCCCACATGCGCAGCACTTGCTCCAGACCCGTGAACCATCTCACTAGCCCTTTCTGCTTTTTTTTTTTTTTTTTGCTTTTTGGGTCACACCCAGTGATGCTCAGGGGTTACCCCTGGCTCTGCACTGAGGAATTACTCCTGGCGGTACTCAGGGGACCATGTGGGATGCTGGGATTCGAACCCGGATCGACCGCATGCCAGGCAAATGCCCTACCTGCTGTGCTATCACTCCAGCCCCTCTGCTTTCTTTTTAAGTGACTAGAACTCCTTCTAAGTGCTTCTCTATGGCAGCAGCAAATCTCCTTTAAATAACTGCTCTGGAGAGAGTGGTGGACGTGTCATCGCTGCTGTTCTGGGTTGTGCATCGAGGGACTCTTTATCCCCTCCCTTTCTGCTGTTGCCTACTCAGGCTACACACTTCAGCTGTCTTCACGTATGTGAAGACACATCCACGGTGGCTGTGTTCCAGAGCCCAGCAGTCTCTGGCAACACCAGGGTCACAGCCAATAGAGTCCTAGGGACCTCTTGGGCTCTGTGGGTAGCATCAAGGTGCCACCCCTTAGTATCATACTTCCACAGCAGGCATTTTAGCCACCGAGCCAGCCCAGACCCCGTAATCTTAACTTTTGGTGACTTTTTTCACTGCACATGCTTCAGATGTACTGTCAATATTTTAAATGTACTGTCAGGTGTTAATTTTGTTTTGTTTCAGGGCCACACCTGGTAATGCTCAGGGCTTACTCCTGGCTGTGCCCTGAGCCCTTTCACTCCTGGCAGTGCGTGGGGGACCATATGGACTGCCTGGGATTGAACCCAGGTGGACTGCATACTATCACTCTGGCCCTAATGCTCATATTTTTCGGAAAATCTCTCAAAGTGATTTCCCTGCACTAGGAGTGAAAGGGCTCTTCCCTCCCTGCGTGTAACATACTTCTCCCAGGCCATTCCAAGGCAGAGTTGAGTGTATAAAAATGAAGAGTATTTGCTGACCCATCAAGTAATACTCAAACCCGGAAATATTTTGATTTGGGTCTCTAAGGAAAGAACTCTGTTTGGGATATGATGGCAGCCTACATTGCTCACATTTAGTCTCTGCACTTTTATGTATTTTCTGTTTGTTGGTCTCACAGATAAATGAGACTTACATATTTGTGTGTAGGGGGGGATGGTGCTCAGGGCTTAATTCTCACTCTGCTCTGAGGTCACTCCTAGCATGCCCAAGATCAAATTGGGGTCAGTTTTGTGCAAGGCAAGTGCCTTAATCCTCTTAACTTTTTTTTTTTTTTTTTTGCTTTTTTGAGTCACACCTGGCAATGCACAGAAGTTACTTCTGCCTCTGCACTCAGAAATGACTCCTGGCAGTGCTCGTGGGACCATATGGGAGGCTGGGGATTGAAGCCAGGTCAGCTGCGTGCAAGGCAAACGCCCTACCTGCTGTACTATAGCTCCAGCCCCTTAACTTTGTTTGTTTGTTTATTTATTTATTTATTTACTTATTTTGGAGCTACAACTACAGTACTTTGAGGGGCTTCTCCTACCTTGGTGCTCAGGGGACTTTGTGGTATCTTGTAAACCCTATGAAAAATGCACCCCGCCTGTCAAGCACTCTTACTGGCCCTTAACTTCTCGGTGTTTTAATTCAGAGTTAGTATTTAAATTTCAAATTTCAGGGCCCGTAATGTGGTTCAAGAGGTAGATTATCTCTTGCATATAGGGGGCCCCGGGTTTGATCTCCAGAACAGCACCGCATGACCCCTGAGCCCCAGCAGGAGTGACCCTCAAGCACTGAGCCAGAAGTACTCCCTGAATACTTCCAGGTGTGACTCTAAAGCAAAATTTTAAAAAAAAAACACTTTATTTTTTTGACTGCCCGAAATCTGCATATGGACCCCAGTGCCTTAGAGCAGGCCTCCTTAAACTACTTTTCACTTGTGACCCCTTTTTTCTAGAGAAATTTTTATATGGCATTGAGTATATAAACTGTACATACACAAATCAAATGTTTACTTATAATAAATCATAAATTTAAAATAAAAATTTCATGGCCCCACATTTAGGGACTCTACCCCCTAGAGGGTTGCAACCCACAGTTCAAGAATCTGGGACCTTCTAAGCCTCAGAGCGAGCCACAGAGCCTTAATTTCCTGAGGCCCCCGTGTCTGCTGGTCTCAGTCCCAGTGGCTCTGCTCTTTGTACCTGGTAGTTGTGCTGTCTCTGATTGCGGGGCTACAGGTTGTTTCCGGTCACACTGTCGCCAGGTGTGTGCGATGCTTCAGCAAAAGGGAGGAACCCCTGGTATCATTGCGGCTAAAATAGGTGTGTGTGAGGAGCCAGTGGCGATAACTGGCTAAAGCGCTTACATCCTCGAGCCCCGGGTTCAGTCTCCAGCCCTGCCCAGTGCCCCTGAGCACCAAAGGTGTGGCACCCCACCACCACCAGCAAAAAGGCGGGGGAAATACAGGTGTGTACACAGCAGCATCGGGAGTTGTGAATCCCGGCAAACACGTGTGCCTGCTCCACAGCAGCCCCTGGCCAGCTCTACAGCCGGATTGTTCTCAGGCTGTACAGTCAAAGGAATCTGGTCCCTGGCCCGGTGCGCCACCTCATGTGCCACCTACGGTTCCGTGCGCAAGCGTCACAGCCCGGGCGTGTGCCTGACCCCTGCTCGTCCGAGCAGTAGCAGACAGGACGAGAAGGAGGGGGTGGGGGAGAACTGCATGGGAAACGAACTCCATCCAGGTCCACTGACCAGAGTCCTATGGAGCTGTTGGGTATATTGAAAATGCACACTTCTGTGTTTTTCTTTGTAGAATGCACGTGATCATCTGCTTTCCTGGATGTATCCATTTGCTCCTCGGCACATAAAATGTGCTCCTGGGTGCAGCATCCGTAAGAGAAGTGACAAGCCAGAGCAATAGCACGGCCAGCAGAGTGCTTGCTTTGCCCGCTGCCGCCCCGGCTTCTGTCGTTGGCATCCCGTGTGGTCCCCCAGCACTGCCAGGAGTGATCCCCGAGTGCAGAGCCAGGAGTAAGCCCGGAGCACCAACTGGTGTGCACCCCTCACCCCGCAAAACAGATCAGTAAGTTACTTAGAGAAAGCATAGATGACCACAGGGACGGCGTTTCTTTTCTTGGCCGCAGACGTGAACCTCACCGATGCCGGCCAGTGACAGACGGCGGAGGGGCCAGGACCGGCACTACGACGAGGTCCCGCAGGGCGACGGCTCGGTGGGAAGCCTCGCGGCGCTCCGCGACGGGGAGCTGGCACTCAGCGCCGACCCGCTGCCGCCGCCCCCCGCTGCCCGTCCGGCCGCCCTGCGGGCCGCGCTCCGAGGCCAGCGACGCCGAGGAGCCGGCCGTGGCCCCGGACCTCCGGCCCGTGCGGCGCTTCGTGCCCGAGTCCTGGAAGCGCTTTTTCCGAGGGAGGCGGAGGAGGGACCCGGACTGGGACAGGCCCGCGTCGGACATCCGATACATCTCCGACGGGGTGGAGTGCTCCCCGCCCGCCTCGCCGGGCTGGCCGGGGCCGCAGCGCCCCAACGGCGGCGGCAGCTGGGGCCCGGAGCCCGGCCGGGGGCCCGGGGGCGGCGTGGACCCCCGGGCAGGGGTGGACGCCCCGTGTCCCGCCGACCCCGGCAGCGCCCTCGGCCGGCCGGCGCTCGCGGCCCGCGCCTACCGCGAGGAGGTGGAGGCCTACCACCTGCGGTACGCCTACATGAAGTCCTGGGCCGGCCTGCTGAGGATCCTGGGGGGCGCCGAGCTGCTCCTGGGCGCCGCCGTCTTCGCCTGCGTCACCGCCTACGTCCACAAGGACAGCGAGTGGTACAACCAGTTCGGCTACGCGCAGCCCTACGGCGTGGCCGGCGTGGGCGGCCTGGGCAGCGCCTACAGCGGCTACTACTACAGCGGCCCCAAGACCCCCTTCGTGCTCGTGGTGGCCGGGCTGGCCTGGATCGCCACCGTCATCGTCCTGGTGCTCGGCATGTCCCTGTACTACCGGACCATCCTGCTGGACTCCAGCTGGTGGCCGCTCACCGAGTTCGGGATCAACGTGTCCTTGTTCGTGCTGTACATGGCAGCGGCCATCGTCTACGTGGACGATACCAACCGGGGCGGGCTCTGCTCCTACCCCGCGTTCAACACGGTGATGAACATCCTCTTCTGCCGGGTGGAGAGCGGGCAGGTCGCGGCCATCGTCTTCCTGTTTGTCACCATGATTGTCTATCTCATCAGCGCCCTGGTGTGCCTCAAGCTCTGGCGGCACGAGGCGGCGCGGCGACACAGGGAGTACCTGGAGCAGCAGGAGGTAAGGAAGGAGGCTCTGCTTCTGCCCTGCCTTGCTCGCTCCTCTGTCGGAGTAAGTTGGTTCCTTTCCCTGTTCACACGTTTCAGAGCGCTCGTCTGCGAGCTTTTGTTTGGGGGCCACACCCAGTGCAGTGCTGTAGGTATGGGGGCGCTTGCTACTTGGGGTCTGTGCTCTGGGATTGTTTCTGGAAATGTTTTATTATTTTGTGATGAATGCTCTCTTTCTCTCTCTCCATATATATATATATACACTATATATATACACACACATATATGTATACATATGTATGCATGCATATATGTGAAATTAATTTTTCTACCCTACGCCTCGCTTCGCAGTACTTCCTTCTCCTCGGGTGACTTCAGTTGTGTTATCCAGATCCACTTGTTTGTCTTTCTTAGTTCGACTTGCCTCTTCATCAATGTTGCATCCTTGTGTGGCACACAGAAGTGAAAGAAAACCGACTGTGTTGCCACGGTTCCACTCTCTGCCTCATCATCTGTTCCTCTCACCAGAACTCAGCCTGGATTCCAGTCATTTCTGCAAATTTATCTCAACACTTTAAGCATATTTCTAAAATATGGACATCTGAATATACAAATAACATGAACTTTTTTTTTAAATCCTTTTGAGTCACCCTCGGTGATGATCAGGGGTTACTCCTGGTTCTGCACTCAGGAATCACTCCCAGCAGTGCTCGGGGGACCACATGGGATGCCAGGGATTGAACCTAGGTCAGCCGTGTGTAAGGCAAATGACCAGCCCTCTGGACTGTCGCTCTGGCCCCCATACTTGAACTTTTAATTAGCATGAATCCCAGGTAGTAAACCACATGCATTTCCTTTTCTTTTCTTTTTTTTTTTTTAAACCTCCCAGCAATGCCTGGGATTGATCCTAGGGACTCATATGCACAGCAAATGCTCTACCACTAAGCTACATCCCTTCCCTCTCAGAATTTTACTTTTTTTTTCTTTTTGGGTCATACCCGGTGATGCACAGGGGTTATTCCTGGCTTTGCACTCAGGAATTACTCCTAGCATGCTCAGGGGACTCAGGTCAGCTGTGTACAAGACAAACACCCACTGTACTATCGCTCCAGCCCCAGAATTTTACTTCTTTCTTTATGGCTTTGGGACCACGCCAATGGTGCTCTGGGCTTACTACCTGGCTCTATGCTCAGGGATGTGTATTGGCGAGCTTTGGGGACCCTGTCGGGTACCAGGAATTAAACCCAGGTCAGCTTTGTGAAATGCAGGTACCCTACCTGCTGTTCTGTCATGCTGGCCCAATTTTATTTATGTTTAATAGCAAAGTTCTTAATGTCAAATTTCAAAATTCTAGTGACTATGATTATCTATTTAGAGTAAGTTAACTTCTTTTCCTGTTCACAGAAGTTCTCATAATGATTGACTACGCTTGAATCACTTCTAATGTTGGAGGTTGGACCTGTTTGTGTATTTGCAGCCTTTCATATGTTAGAAGATTAATGGCCAGCCTATGGCTTTTCTTTTTCTGTTAAGTAATACACATTAGTTTATTTCTAGTGGCCGTTCCAAGTCATTTAATTATTCAGGATAATGAGAGGTACTAACTGCTAGCAAAATCTCCAGGTAATCCAAACCTAGCAGTCTCCCTCACCACTTGTTTCCACTCTCTGCTCTCAGCCTCGTTGACAGGAAATGGTCCCAGGCACCCCATTCCTCTTCCACCTCCTCTAGTTCTCTACCACCCAGGAAACGAGAACAAAGAAGATGAGAAACATCTAGCAAATAGAAAATTGGCCTCTGTGAATTGAGATTGGGTTTTAAATGCAAAAGCATGGAAATGTTTGCAGATAGCTTCACACACTTATGAAAGATTTTAATTCTAACTCTTTTCATTCCAGATAAGTGAGCCATCATTTCCATCGAAAAGGAGAGTGGTAAGAACAAAGTTCAATTTGTATTTTATTTTCAGATTTGCAACTTTTCTCTCATCTGTTTATGTACAGTACAGGATAGATCATATATCTGCAGAACACTGAGTTCATAATAGAACTTTCTATTTATGAAATAGTTTATGAAATAGGTAGATAGTTTGGACACACAGAACCCTAATTCATACATTAGTGTTATCATTAATTTCTTCATTGAACAAATGTGCCAGTGAGCGGCTGAAGCAATAATACAGTGGGTAGGACATTTGCCTTGCATGCAGTCTACCTGGGTTCAATCCCTGGCATTCCATATAGTGCCCTGAGCCCCACCAGGAGTGATTCCTGAGTGTGGAGCCGGGAGTAAGCACTGAACACTGGTTGTGGCCCCCATAAAAAACAAAAATAAATTTTAAAAAGTTTTTAATGTGCCATTGAAACTCCGGGTGGGTAGTATTGCATTGGTTTGCAAATCTAGTTAGACTAAAACAAACCCTCTTGACTTTCTGCCGGTGCAACCCCTTGAACACAACTCCTATGCTGGCCAGGCTCTGTGGTGCCCTGAGTCAGGGCTTGTTAATTATCAGGAAGCTAAATGAGGAGACCATGCATTGAAATTCAGCGTCATGGCTCAGAAAAGGTTTAGTGTGAGCCCAGGACATAGCTCAGTGCTTGCCTTCATGTGTAAGACCCTGGGTTTGATCCCTGGCACTGTAATAATCAGAAACATATTTATATTTAATGCTCCATACTGTGATTCAGTTTCAAGATTAAGCATCATTCACTGGCTCGAAGAAGTGGCAGCCTAACCATGGAATAACAAAGCAGAGGGGCTGGAGCGATAGTGCAGCAGGTGGGGCGTTTGCCTTGCACGCGGCCGACCCGGGTTCAAGTCCCAGCATCCCATATGGTCCCCTGAAGTGATTCCTGAGTACGGAGCCAGGAGTGGCCCCTGTGCATTGCTAGGTGTGACCCAAAAAGCAAATAAATAAATAAATACTTGACTAATATTGAAAAAAAAAAAAGCAGAAAAGATATGCTCCAACCTCTGTCCTGCCTAAAATGCCCTGGGCAGTGGAGACCTGGGGAGGGAGGAGGCGAGGGTCATTCCCTGCCTTCTGGAACAAAGTAGGAGAGTTGTAAATACACCAGTGGTAAAGATTGTTAGGCCAGTTAGTTGCTCTGAAATACTCAGCACTTGTATTTCTTCTTGGCTCCCATTTCCTTGCACAGTCAAATTATTTAGGATGGAGCTGGAGAGATAGCTCCATGGATTATTGTGTATGAACTTACTATTTTTTTTTTTTTTTTTTTTTTTGGTTTTTGGGTCACACCCAACAATGCTCAGGGGTTACTTCTGGCTTTGCACGCAGGAATCACTCCTGGCGGTGCTCGGGGGACCATATGGGATGCTGGGAATCGAACCTGGGTCCGCCGCATGCAAGGCAAACCCCCTACCCATATAGTAGAGTAGGGAAACAGGGTTTACCCGCAGTGCTATTGCTCCAGCCCCATATTGTGCACGAACTTTGCACGCAGGAGGTCAGGTTCACACCCCCCACCATCACAACGCTGGGAATGGCCCCTGAGTACTGCTGGGTCCAGCCCAAAAGTTTAAAAAAAAATTTATTTGGGATGATTGCTTTATAAACTTCGTAGAAATCAAAGTTAATCGATTTCTACTAATAATCAAAGCCTCAGGCCTTTCCATCAGGTATACAGACACTAGCCCCACTCCTGGCTGCTTGGGGTGCACTGGCTCAGCCTGCCTTCTGCTTGGCCATGACAGTCCCCCTTCCACCTCGCCACTCAGGCGAGCGTCTCCTTCCCCTCACCTTCACAGAGGGCTGGTTCACAGCCCGAGTGCGAGTGCGTGCCAGCCAGGGAGTTAGGAGCAAGAGCCGCTTGTTTTGAGAATGAGCTCATGTTCAGCCAGAGTTCAAAGGCAGCCACGGAAGTAGGGAAATCAGGAAACAGGGTTTATCTAAGTTTCCTGGCAAAGCCAAGAGCCAGGCTCGCAGTGGCTTTCATCTTTTGTTCTCCATCAAGTAGGGTCCCTCCCAGGCCACACTCTGTTCAGTTCAGAGAGTCCTGGAAGGCGCATGGGGGAGGGGTGGGGGGTGGGGAGCCTGGAGGGACAGGGCAGGACGACTTCTGAGCCCCCTGCCCACCACATGCTTCCTTCCAGCTCTTGCGGTTCTGGGCTGCAGTTCCTGTGCAACCACGTACGTACTCAGTGCCCGGGTTTCCCTGTGTCTGATGCATCCTCACAGCCATGACCCCCGGGAGGTGTCTCTGCACCCGAGCTCTTCATGTACAAAATAGAAATCTCTTTTCTGGGATCCACTGACCTCACCCACGTGAGCACTGCCTCAGTGGACCCCCCAGAGCTCTTTCCCGAGCCCCAAACCTGTTGTGTCCGTCTTTGCCCACCTGGCCCACCGCTCCTCCATCCCTTCAGCCTGCTCCTGGAGCTGAAGGTCTGCCCCCCGGTACTTCCTGTTCCGTTTCGGGGCCATACCCTGCACTGCTCAGAGACTGCTCAGATCTGGTGGGGCCTTGTGGTGCTGGGCATCAAACCTGGCACCCCCCCCCCCCCCGGGCTGAGCCGCACCCCCAGCCACTTCCTCGTCATCCCCCTTCTTTCGTTGTTTCTGTTTCCGATCTTGTGCCAGTGTCAGCCGTGCTCGGTTCAGTGCCGAAATGGAACTTGCAGCACTGCTGCTCTCGGCCCAGTCACCTCTCTCCCTCCCTGGCCTTGTTTTTCTCTCCTTTGTGTAGTGGGGTGGGGGTTATGGAGGGAGGACCCAAAGAACTTGTTGACTCCCGGCTCTGTGGGGTTGGGGGGTCATTTCTGGAGTGCTAGGGGGCGGGGGGCGTCCACACAGCACTGAGGATTGAACCTGGGCCTCCCACATGCAAAACATGTGTTCATTCGATGGAGCCATCTCTCTAGGCTTTTTCTTTCTTTTAAAGTTTTTTAAAAATATTTATTTATTTTGGTGCTACACTAGGTGGTTCTCAGGACTTACTCCTGACTCTGCACTAAGGAGTCACTCCTGGCGGATTCAGGGGACCCTGTGGGGTGCCAGAGATCAATCTGGGTTGGCCACCATATAAGGCAAATGCCCTACCCACTGTGCTAACGCTCTGGTCTTTTTTGTTCCTTTTTTTTTCCGTGTGGGGAGTCAAACCCAGCGATGCTTGGGGGTTAGTCCTGGCTATGCAGTCAGGAATCACTGCTGGCTATGCCCAGGGTACCATATGGGATGCTGGGGTTTGAACCTCGGTCAGCCACATGCAAGGCCAATCCCCTCCCCACTGTACTATGGCTCCAGCCGCTCTTTCGTTATTTTTTTTGGGGGGGGGGGAGGTCATACCCAGCGATGCACAGGGGTTTCTCCTGGCTCATGCACTCAAGAATTACTCCTCTAGTGCTCAGGGGAACATATGGGATGCTGGGAATCAAACCTGGGTGAGCCACATGCAAGGCAAACACCCTACCCGCTGTGCTATCAGTCCAGCCCTCTTTCTTTTATTTAATGGCAAGCAAATGAGGGCATTTTTATTGATGGGGCCAGCAGAGATGACCCCCCGCTTGAGTACAGAAGTGGGGCTAGGGCCAGCATGCCTTCCGCTTCTCTCCCTTCCCGTCTTTCTTCCGCTCCTCTCTGCCTTGGCTGTGATTTCCGTGGGCAGGGGTCACACACAACCAGTTATGCTCACACTCATGCTAGCAGTCACACTCACCCAGCGTCATATACTTCGCTTGGGGTGCTCATGTATGCTTGCTGGGGTTGCCCTCCTGGCCACAGTGCTTGTTTATCTTTATTTGGGGGTGCTCCCTGGGCAGTGCACACCTTAAGTTGAGAGAGATGTCAGAGAGTCCCAGCCTACAGAGCCTTTGGGATGTGCTCTGAGAACGTCAGTCAGTGGAGCTTCAACTCATGGCCTCTGGCTTTCGAGGCAGTTTCTTTTGCTAATGCGCCATCCCCCGGCCTCTTTCTCATCTTTTGGAAAAACATTTTTTCGAAATTAAAAATGCCTCTAGAGTGACAGGACAGCAGCTAAGGCACTGCACACAGCCAACCCGGGTTTAATCCCCCGCATCCCATATGGTACCCACCCCCCAACTTCTCCAGGAGTGAACCCAGAGCCCAGAGCCAGGAGTAAGAACTGAGCATAACTTGGTGTGGCCCAGAAATCAAAAAAGCCTTAGGAACTCTTGATTTTGGGGAAGAGGGTGATTAAAGCACCACCAGCCACTTCCAGTATTCCTGCAGCCCTGTTCAGGGAACCACACTTTGAAGAGCACTTAAGCAAGTTGCAGATATTCACAGCCTTTCCTGTGGAGTTGCTTCCTTCCCTTTTAGTGGCATGAAAACAATGCAGCTCATTTCCCTTTCTGACATGCTCAGGGGCTGCTGGTCATTGATTCATCTTAAAAGTTCAGGTGCCATTTTCAAAAAATTTTTCTCTTTCGATTTCTGTGGGCTGGAGCGATAGCACAATGGGGAGGGCATTTGCCTTGCACGCAGCCAACATGGCCGACCCGAGTTCGATTCCTCCGCCCCTCTCGGAGAGCCCGGCAAGCTACCGAGAGTGTCTCGCCCACACGGCAGAGCCTGGCAAGCTCCCCGTGACGTATTCGATATGCCAGACACAGTAACAACAAAGTCTCCAATGGAGACGTTACTGGGCCCGCTCGAGCAAATCGATTTCTGTAGCTTTGTTTTCCCTTCCGGAATTTATTTTGAACCTTTACCTCTTTTTCCAGTTATGTGAACCTGTAAATAACATACGCAAGACCCCACATCTGGGACCAGATCGATAGTACGGGAAGAAAGGCACTGGGCTTGCAAGTTGCTGCTGCAGCAACCGTGACTCTGACTTGAGTCCCCAGCATCAGACATGGTCCCCTGAGCATCACCAGGGTCACTTCTGAGCACAGAGCCAGAAGTAGTACCTGAGCACCATAGGTGGGGCCCCAATGTCTCCACTCCCCAAATAACTGTCATCCACATCTGACATATACACACCTGAGTTTATGGGACTTTGTTCAGGGGGGTCACAGCTGGTGGCTTTGCAGTTATTCTTGACTGTGCTCAGGGGTCACTGCCGGAGGTTCTCAGGGGACCATGCAGTGTGTGGTGTTGGTTGCGGCTGGCAGCTTGGAAGACAAACACCTTTTTTTTTTCTTATTTTGCTTTTTGGGTCACACCCGGCGATGCACAGGGATACTCCTGGCTCTGTGCTCAAGAATTACTCCTGGTAGTGCTCAGGGGACCATATGGGATGCTGGGGATCTAACCCGGATCGGCCTCATGCAAGGCAGATGTGCAAGACAAGCACCTTAACCCCTCTACTCTCTCTCTGGCCCCAAGACTGAGGCGTAGGTCATGGCATTTCTCAGGGAGGTGCCCTTCAGCTTGGACAGAAGCATCCAGTTAGCTTTGTGGCTGTAGAAGTTCATTGTAAAGTGCAGGGGTTGTAGGTCCCTACCTGGCAGCGCTCGGGGCTAGTCCAGCTCTGTGCTTGGCGGTCACTCCCAGGGGAGCCCTGTGTGGTGCCAGGGACTAAACCCGGGTGAATGCTGGAAGGCAAGCGGTGCCGTAACCCTTGCACTCTCTCCAACCCAGGCGTGTGAGGTTCATTGCTGTTTCCACTCTTCTTCCTCTGGCCTGTCCCTCTCCCCGCCTTGTCTTTTCAGAGTAAGAGTGGTGGAGGTTTATTTTATTTTTCAGAAATCTGCCTCTGTTTAGAAATGAATCCTCTTTTTCCCCCTTTACTGCAGTGTGAAACAGCAGCCGGCGGTGACAGACAGAGGGACCACGAGGTGAATTTCCAAGAGCTGAGAGGCCCCCAAATGAAGCCCGACGTCCTGAGCGGACACATCCCACCGGGCCACATCCCAAAGCCCGTGGTGCTGCCCGATTACGTGGCGTGAGTAGCTCCGCCCTCCTGGTGGGCGCCGACCTGCCGCCTGTGCCTTTCATTTCTATCTGTCCCCACATTAACACTGCAGACGATCATCTCTGTGTGGCTCTAGGGTTGCAGGGGTTGGGTGCATCCTTGCACGGGATGGACCCTGCTTCCATCTCTGGCACCATGGGACCCTTGCAGTGAACCCAGAATCCCTGATAGGAAACTTCTGGCTTCTGGAGAATCACTCAGGAGCCCTCACCCCACAAAAATCTGATTTCTGTGTAATCTGCTGTGTGTCATCTCAGAGGCTGTGTTTGTTGAATTGAGGGTACAGTATGACCCAGGAGGAATAAAGCAAACCCGATTTCCCCTTGGGTTTGTTTAAACTCCAGTTTATTTTTTTCTTTCTCAGAAAATACCCGGTCATTCAGACGGATGATGAACGGGAGCGCTATAAAGCCGTGTTCCAAGACCAGTTCTCAGAGTACAAAGAGCTCTCCGCAGAGGTGCAGGCCATCCTGCGGAAGCTGGACGAGCTGGATGCAGTGATGAGCAGACTGCCCCACCGCTCAGAACACCACCAGGTCAGTCCTGCGGCCTCAGGACAAACAGGGAAGGGAACTCTGGCCTCCTTGAAGTATCAGGATGCCCATCTCATCTGCTTTCCGTGACCACCAGAGACCTTCAAGAAGGCCAAGGTGACTTACCAATATGATAGTTCAGGGCCCAGAGAGTACAGTGGGTGAGGTGCTTGTCTTGCACGCGGCCAGCCCTGGCTTGATCCCCGGTACTGTATGTGATCTCTGAACACAGAGCTGAGAGTATCTCCCAAAATACGGATATAGGTACCAACACAGGTAGTTGACAGTTGAGATTATTTCTCTTCACTTTGGCAAGAAATCAAAACACCAAACTGATGTTAAAGTACTTACAGTCTTGGGGCTGGAGCGATAGCACAGCAGATAGGGCATTTGCCTTGCACGTAGCTGAGCCGGGTTCAATTCCCAGCATCCCATATAGTCCCCTGAGCACCACCAGGAGTAATTCCTGAGTGCATGAGCCAGGAGTAACCCCTGTGCATCGCCAGGTGTGACCCAAAAAGGAAAAAAAAGTACTTACAGTCTTGGTATGTGAAAGACACTAAAGAATTAAAATATTAAAATATACTTGAAACCGAGAGATAGTACACCAGGTAGGGTGCTTGTCTTGCATGCAGCCAACGCTGGTTCAATTCCAGGCATACTGTGTCATTCCCCCAAGATGGCCAGGATTAATTCCTGAGTACAGAACCAGGAGTAATGCCTGTGCACTGCTGGGTGTGGCCAAAAAATTTAAAAAGAAAAGAAAGAAAGAAAAAGAGAAGGGAGGGAGGGAGGGAGGGAGAGAGAATTAAAATATATTAAGAAGCATACAACATGTAGGGTGCTTGCTTTGCTTTGCATGCAGTTGACCTGGGTTCGATCTCCAGTACCCTATATAGTCCACTGAGCCCCACCATAAGTGATCCCTGAACATAGATCCAGGAGTAAGCCCTGAGCACCACTGGTGTGGCCCAGAATAAAAATAAACAAGTTTTTAAATTAAAATTTATTGAGAAATAATTTAGGTAAGTAGGGAGAAATGCTATCAGGGGAAGGTTTTTGTTTTGTGTTTGGGTCGCAGCCAGCGATGCTCAGGGATTACTCCTGGCTCTGCACTCAGGAATCACTCCTGGCTCTGCTGGAGACCATATGGGATTGGCCACACATGAGGCAAATGCCCTACTGCTGTACAATTGTTCTGGGCCCAGGGATGTTTTTAGAACTATACATCATTACATTTCTTTATTAGACCCACTGTTTCTAACAGGGCTAGAGCAATAGCACAGGGGTAGGGCTTTTGCCTTGCACACGGATTTGATTCCTCCGCCCCTCTCGGAGAGCCCAGCAAGCTACCTAGAGTATCTCGCCCACACGGCAGAGCCTGGCAATCTCCCCGTGACGTATTCGATATGCCAAACACAGTAACAACAAGTCTCACAATGGAGACGTTACTGGGCCCACTCAAATCAATGAACAATGGGAGGACAGTGACAGTGACAGTTTCTAACAATCCAAAAACATAGATTAATTAATTGTTTAAGTAAGTAATTAATTAATTGAATAAGTGAGAGCCTTGTCTGACTTACAGTCTTGGTATGTGAAAGACACTAAAGAATTAAAATATTAAAATATACTTGAAACCGAGAGATAGTACAGTATCTCCTGTGCGTAGACTTTCAACAAACTTGTTAAAACAGGTAAAAGAAATTGGTGGACTGTAACAGATTTTTATATTAACTTTAAAAGAATAAAGGAGGGCTAGAGCGATAGTACAGCGGGTAGGGTGTTTGCCTTGCATGTGGCCAACCTGGGTTCGATTCCCAGAATCCTATGTAGTCCCCTAAGCACCGCCAGGAGTAATTTCCTGAGTGCAAAGCCAGGAGTAACCCCTGTGCATCGCCAGTGTGACCCAAAAAAAAGCAAAATAAATAAATAAATAAATAAAAGTAGAGGGCAGAAAGATAGTAGAGCATGTAGGGTGCTTGCCTTGCACTTGGCTAACCCTCATTCGAACCTTGGCACCATGTATGGTCTCCTGAGCTCTGCCAGGAGTAAGCCCTGAGCATCACAGGGTGTGACCAAAAATAAGTAAATTAATGAATGAATTCAGAAGGAATCATGTGTACGCTATTTGCAGAAGTCTTGACAGACATATTTTCAGATGTCTTAGGTAAATCCTAACACCTAAGAAAGAATTGCAAGAGAACTTCCGGGGGCTGAGGATGTGTTTCTGTGGTAGAGCACTTGCCGCGTGCTCGTGAGGCCTAGAGTTCCATCCCTAGCAGCAAAAAAAAAAGGCCTTCTCAAAGAAGATGAATATAAATCCCAATGACAACTAATGTTCTTGTTATGATGTGCCAGGTACGTGTTAAGGATTATTTTAAGTAAGTGAAACCGCTCACAACCCCGTGAAGTCGTAATGGTTATTAATTCCTTTTTTCCTGACGCGGAAACTGAGTCTGGGTACAAAGCAGGTCTCTGGCAAGCAGGAGCCAGACCCTGGGGTTGGATTCAGGCCTCCGGAAAGCAAGGGCTGTCTCCCGTGTCACGTCTGAGTCCCCGTGCCAGGCGGTTCTGCAGTGCTTGTCAAGTGCATTGCATTTATGTGCATGAACATTTTCATAATAACCTTAGGCACAAATGTTATCAGAGTTAACTCTGAGATATGGTTTGAGTAAATGCAAATGTTTTTGTTCAAGTGTCAATATATTATTTTTAGGAACATGAAAGAATTTCAAGAATCCACGAAGAGTTTAAGAGAAAAAAGAATGTGAGTAAACTATTTCCTTCTTCACTTACAGGTACAATGGTGATAGCTGGCAGTCTTTAGATTTGCTTACCTGATAGATAAATTCTTTGTTTCAAGAGTCTGTAAGTGCTGGGGGCCATGGGTGGCTGCTGCATGCTTCTCTTCTTATCTCTGTCCTGAATAATTCAGCCACTGGCCGGTTTAGCTGCCTAGGGAAATGAGTCTCTGTCAGAACTCTCCGGGGGCATGTCCTGCCAGAGGACTGCTTCTAACTTCTAAACATTCACAACTAAAGCTTGGGAAAGCTTCCATCCATCTTTCTGTCCTTTACTATTTAAAAATACATTTTATGGTACTGATGACATTTAATATGATGAGACACTAAAAGGTGGGCTTCCCACTCGATTTTACTATGAAGACTGGAGCGATAGAACAACCGGGACGGTACTTACCTTGCTCTTGCCTTGCACGAGGCTAACCCTGATTTGATCCAAGGCACTGCATATGGTCCTCGGAAGTCCTGCCAGGAGTAAACCCTGAGTACAGGTGTGGATGTGGCCCGAAAAAATGCAACAAAAGAAAAGGAAAAGAAATTCCAATAAAAGAAGATTTGGCTGAGCAGTCAAGCACGGGCTTTGTATGGATGAGACCTGGTTCCATACTCCTGTACCACGGGTGAAAAAAAAAAGTGCATAACTCAAGTATCTCTCCTGGTAGACAGCTTAGAAATTGGCTACAGGAGAGTCTGCTGTGAAAGTCATTCTCCGGGTAATACCTGTGAAGAATTCAGGAGCTGAAATAATGTTGATTTTTTTCTTTTCCAGGATCCTACATTTCTTGAAAAAAAAGAACGCTGTGATTATCTGAAGAATAAACTGTCTCATATAAAACAAAGAATCCAAGAATATGATAAAGTAATGAATTGGGATATACAAGGTTACCGTTAAGCCTTATTTGAAACAACTTTTTTATATCAAAACTTAATATTTATTTACTGACTTTTTTTTTTAATTCAAATCTCTGATAGAGAAGCCAGGGCTTCCTGATGGACCTCTGCGTTGGTTTAGCCAGTAGCAATGGTCAAACAATATAATTTCATGCAAACATTTCACAACAGGGCCAGAGAGATGGCGCAAAGGGCTGAGCACATGCTTTGCATGCATGGGGTCTGGGATCATCTCTAGCACCGTGTGGTCCCTGAGCACTGCCAGAGCAACCCCTCAGCACAGAGCCAAGAGTAATCCCGGAGTGCCACCCGGTGTGATCCCAAAATAAAGAACCCATTTCTCCATAAATTCGGGTGTATTAAGGGCCCTAACTAAGACTGACATTATGTATTCGTTTATATATAACTTCTTAATCATAGTTCTTGTTAAACTAAGGGGCTTGGGTGTGACTCGGTAGTTGAACACATGCCCAGTATGTTGTATGACCCTGAGTTTAGCTGCCCAGCACCACCAGGTGTGGCCCTGGTCTCCTCCAAACATCACCAGGAGTGAGCCCCCACCCCCAGCCCTCCAAAGCAACAACAGAAAAAAAAAAAAAAAACTTCTTTCAGAGTGCCTGAGGTTTTTCTGTAAAGCACTTGCTCTCACCCATGGAGCTACCTCCCTAGCCAAAATGCCTTATTTTTATTCATATGAACAATGAATGCCTTAAAAAAAAAAGAAGAAGAAGAAGTGAAAACTGCAGGAACAAAAAGGTCTTTAACGCCCTTTGTTATTAACTCCTGTTGGGCAGCATCTGCCTCATGCCTTTTCCCCGGTGCGGTGCTGCCTTGTGCTCGCTGCCTGCTGTGCTGGCTTTTAGACAGTTTCAGTTTCCTAAAAAGCAGAGGCTTTCCAAAACTGCAGCAGGGGCCTGAGTGATAGTGCGGTGGGGAGGGCGTCGCCCTGCACACAGCTGATCCAGGTTAGTTTCCTGGCATCCCATGTGGCCCCAAGCCCACCAGGCGTAATTTCTGAGCACAGAGCCAGGGGAGACCCTGAGCATCACTGATTGTGGCCCAGCACCCTCCTCCCCCTGAAGAAAAGGATCAATCACTCGTGAGATCTTGGGGTTTCTTTCCCAGTGAAATCTAATTTCTGTCTATTGGTAATTTTTAGTTTTGTTGTTTTTTTTTTCTTTCTTTTTTTTTTTTTTTTTTTTAATTTGGGGCCACACCAGGCAGTACTCAGGGCTTATTCCTGCCTTTCTGCTCAGGGATCACTTCTGGTGGGACTTGGAGGACAAAGGTGCTAGGGATTGAACCCGGGCCATCCACATCAAAGGCAGATGCCCTGCCTGCTGTACTCTCTCTCCAGTGCCTGCTGATAATATTCTAAATCTGTGGTTCTAAGGCTGCGCTGAGCATCCTGAGTCTGATGACGCCTCTGACACCCCGGTGCCCTATATCACGCAAGAGTTCCGTGTGTGGGGTGGGGCTCAGTGGTAGAGCAGCAGACAGTGCGCGTGACCTGGGCGCTGGGTTCCATCCCTAGCACCTGAGGGATGAGAATAAAAGAACATTAGTCATTTAAATAAATAAATTAATATGAGGGCTGGGGCTCAGGGATAAGGTGCCGGCCCAGCCTTCATGAGATGCTTGGCGCAGAAAATTTACAAAGGAAAGAGAAAAGACGCAGTATTACCATTTGGGGGAAATTCTGGGACTCAGGTGAGTCTTTATGTGATGTGAAGGATATTTAGCTCTGTGGGACTCTTGTTTTTGTACTGCATTTGTAAATGTTAATCTTTGAAACTCAATACTGTAAAGCTGCTCTTTGGGGTTTTGATGCCTGTGGCGGAGCAAATTAACATTTCCGTGCCTTATTGTTGAGCAGTGCCCGATTGTTTGCTCTCCTAGCATTCCTGTGTTGACTGGGCATGTTCTGGAAATTACTTTCGATTATCAGGAAATAAACTGGAACGTCATTGAAAGCCGGAAGGTCATGGTGTCCAGCTGACTCACTCTTTCCTCGTCCCTGTTATTTGCAAGCATTCAATGTCACAGCCACCGTCTTGCTTTCCCTGCACTGGTCACTGCGGCAGGAGTGTGAGTTCTGGGTACTGCAGGCTCTGGGATGGAGGCTCTGCAGAGCCCAGACTCCACGCTGGTTGGTCTACGGCTGGAGGCTGGTTGGCCCTGGGCTTCTGTTGGTGACCCCACCAGCCTCTTGTCTCCCAGAGGCTGCTTTTGAATTTTCTTTTTCTTTGGGTTTTGGATCCACACCCAGCAGTGCTCAGGGCTCACTCCTGACTGTGTTCAGGAGTCATTCCTGGAAGGGCTCAACGGACTATTCCCACATAGGACTGGGAATCAAACCAGGAGGCTGGCTTTGTGCAAGGCAAACACCCTAACCTTTGGACTATCTCTCCAGCTCTGCTTTTGGGTTTGTTTTTTTTTCGACTTTTTTTTTAAGACTTCCTTTTGTTTTTCTCTTGCCACACCTGGCGGTGCTCAGCAGTTACTCCTGGCTCTGCACTCAGGAATTACACCTGGTGGACTATACGGGATGCCAGGGATCGAACTCACGTTGGCCACGTGCAAGGCAAAGTGCCCTATCCACGGTACTGTCTCTCAGCCCCTTTTTGATTTTAATTTTGTTTTCACTCTTCCTTGCTCTGGTTGTTGGCACTACTGAGGTGACGGGGTTGTGGCGGGGGAGTGGCACGCACACCTGCCAGGCTGTGGGGCTGGCATGTTTCCAGCTGTCGTGCTCGCCGCAGGCCCCATGTCACAGGGTGGCCACGCGTGAGCTCACAGGGGTCACACAAGTGGCAGTGGTGGCACTCACACAGTGCCCACTGGAAGCCACACTCCCTGCCCGTGGCAACTGGTATCAGCCCCAGGAAATGGAAGCACTCACTGAGCCAGAGCCCCGGGCCTGTGCCCCGGCAACAACACCCACAGTCCCCCTGCCTTGCTCATGTTACTCACGCCCCCTTCACCGCCTGAACCTGCCATCCTCACAGTGGGAAATCTCTGACTCAAAGTGAGGGGCCCAGAGGTGACCCCTCTCCCTGGACTGGAGCACAGGCTCTGCAGGCAGGAGCCCTGGCTTTCATTCCCAGCACTGCATCTCGTTCCGTTCCCTCCCCCTCTCCCTCCCCCCCCCCCCCCCCCCCCCGCACTGGAGCTGGTTTCTGGTCCCTGGGAATGTGTGTGGATACCACAGCCCCCTCCCTCAGTCACCCCAAACACCCTGATGATTCACAGTAAGAATCTGGTCGTAGGAAGTTAGTCCCTTTGCCAGACTGCGGTTGCAAGGAGGCTGGAGAACCAGGGACTTTGAACTCCAAAAGGTGGTCTTGACCTTCTGTTGAGATGCTACCTGGGAGGTTCTCCTGAGGGGAGGTGGGATGGTTGGAGGAGGAGCAAGGGATTTGAATACACAGGCAGGAAGAATAAACACACACACACACACACACACACACACACACAGAATTTCGGTTGTACCGTTAAGTGTCTTCAGAAATGTATGTCTCTTCATCACTGAACAAACACCCAAATACAGCCATTGCCGGGACCTCCAGAACCTGAAACTTGGGGGGCTGGAAGTAAAGGACAAAGGGGTCTCCTCTACCCGAGACTAGGCCATGTGCTTCTGGCCTGCTGGCTCCGTGTACGGAAGACATCACTCTTCGCAGCGCAAGGCAAGACAGTCATCGCCCTGTCCTTCCAGACAAGGCCAGTTCCTCCCATCACACGCTCCTCCATCCCCAACCCCTAACTGAGAGGAGCCCAGAAGCGTACCAGGAGGACATGTGCCATGATGCACACTGCAGCTTCCTCCTACAAAGCAAAAGTCAGCAATGGGACCAGGGAGAAAACTCGAGAATTCGAGCATGTGGGAGTGCTGAGCTCAGTCCTGGCTCTTCATGTCCCCCACCACCCACCACCCCACTGCCAGAGTCTGGCCATGAGCACTGCAGCGAGAGGCCCCAGGCCCGAGCAATGCTGGGTGTGGTGCCTACAGAAATACAAATGAGGGACTAGAGGGCTGAAACTTTATGTGAAGTTCAAATCCTGGCACTAAATGTGGTCCACTGAGCACCGCCAGTTGTGACCCCTGAGCACTATTCCAAGAGCAACCCCCGAACACCACCAGATGAGGTCCCCATACCATAAATATATTTCAAATCAGGGCTCAAGTCATAGTACGATGGGCAGGATGCTTGCTTTGCATGTGGCATAGCCGGTTCAGGTTCAATTCCCATTACCCTTTATGGCCTCTCAAACCCTATTAGGAGTGTTCCCTTGAGCACAGAGCCAGGAGTAAGCCTTAAGCATCCCTGAGCGTTCCCCCCCCCCCCGAAAAAAATGCAAAATAAATAAACCACAGGTGCATTTCATGGGCTGGGGTGAGCTCAAAGGGCTGGAGCTCGTGTTTTGCATGAGGACTCCCAGGTTTGCTACCTGGTATTACATGTTCCCCAAACACTGCTAGGTGTGTTACCCCCCCCCCCCAAAATAAACTACAGTTACATGCAAAATGCTACGCACAGCTGAACAAAAGTAAGATACTTTTTTCAGATACTATTAGACACTGCACTTTTTTTTCAGTTACAGAAAACCTGCAAACAGACACAAGACAGTGATGGTGAGTTCAGAATGGCGCTGCTTGGGGAAGCCAGTTTCTCACTGGGTAGGGGTCCGAAAGTTGTCATGCATAGAAATGCTCTGTGTACCCCTGTATGTATAGGTGTGTGGGGCGGGGTTAGGTCTGTGTACAGACACATTTAAGTCTCAAGTCACGCTAGCCTTGAGATTACTTTCATTTTACTCATTCAATATATGTTCCTAACAGATCGATTACAGTTGTTTTAGAAGTCTGGTAAAGGCTGGGGCAGTGGTTCAAATGCTAGAGCACACGCCTGCATCTGCTCCCAGCAACACATGCCCAACAGCCCCAGCACCGCCCTGGTGGCGCCAAGCATCGGACCAGCTGAATTGCACTGCTGGGCTGGGAGTGACCCCAGTCTCTACAGTACTGGTGGGTGTAGCTCCTATGGGAAAAATCGGCCAAAGAGCAAGAAGGAGAGAGACAGAGAGCAAGCGAGAGCATGAAGCATGATGAGCTGAGTGTGTGGTTTGCAGGAACAACACCAGGAGAAACCCCAGGGCACAGAGCCAAGAGCTGCCCCATTGCACTGCCAGGTGTGACTCAAAAAATGTATATAGGAGACGGAACGATAGTACGGCAGGTAGTAGGGCACTTGCCTTCCATACAGCTGACCTGGGCATCCCATATGGTCCTCCAAGCACCACCAGGAGTGACTCCTGAGTGCAGAGCCAGCAGTAATGTCTGAGCATGGCTGCATGTGGCCCCAAAACAAAACCAAAACTGTAAGAGACAAAGAGCTAGGACAGGGATTAAGGTACCCCCCTTGCACATGGCCAGCTCTGGTTTGATCGCTTGCATTACACGTGATCCCCTGAGCACTGCCAGGAATAATCCCTGAGCACAGAGTAAGCCCCTGAGCACTGCTGATTGTGGTTCACCCTCGCCCAGGCATGTATAATTAATGTTTGCATTCTCGCATCATTATACTCTTGCCTCTGAAGGTCTTCACTTTCACACGGGGCCCTGGCTGAAGGCTGTGTGACAGGCGAGGAAAGCACTGGCCAGAGAGGGACACGCTCCAGCCTTTCCAGTCGGCCAGTCGGCTGTCGTGAGCGCAGGGGTCTGCCAACACCACTGCTGTTCCAGGGGACTCTGGAGAGCATGAGTGCCTGAGGGCAGAGCAGATGGTGCAGAACCACCTTGCAAAGTATTTGGAAAGTTCCTGCATGTGACTCAGCATGGTGGCTGTTGCCATGCTCCGGGATTTTCTTAGAAACCCTTGGTGTGCAGGGTTTTCAGTCTGAGAGCACGCTGAGATGTACTGTTAACCTGCCCAGGGCCACTTTCCAGGCGGTACAGTGTCCCAGGGGGATGCACCCTCCCTGGTCACTGTGTCACGAGTCCCACGATGAGAAACTGGGACAGGACTGCGGAAGTATCACTTTCTCTTTGTCCTCAGCAGCTCATCACTGCCTCCCGCTCTCCCCATCTTTGCTTTGTCACATCAGATGGACA